AGAAAGAAGAAAGGAAAAAGAAGATGAGAGGGAAAAAGAAGAACAGCAGTCAGGATTTACAATAACAATTTTAGTAAAGGTTAACGTCTCTGGCTATAGATTTATTTATATGAGACTATATGGAACCGACGTTTTAACAAGGCATTAGACAGGTTCCCAAAGCTCGTAATGTTTTTCAAATATGTTGCAATCTTCCTTAAAAAAAAAGTTTTCGGGATCAGATTCCTTGAGTAAATCACGCTGGTGTACGGCAGTATTAATAGAATACCGCAGAAGAATAACGCAATTTCTAAATAATCCGCCACATGCCTGACGATAAGATATTGTATACTTTTTATGGACAAACATTTTCATTTCAAAGAAAGTTAATTTCTTTTATTTGATTAGTCAATCTTTTTGGAGCTTATAAGTAAGAGCAGCACCATCCTGCAACTAATTCATTTAATTAGGGTCGGCTATCCCTCCTAGACACCAGGTTGGAAGGGCAAATGGAGCAAAACAGTCGCTGACAAGGAGAGGAATCGATATCTGTTATGTCCTTCCATATGGGATCGATGCCGAGAAAAGACAAGATTCTCTTCATGTGCCTCCTCGATAACTAAATTTGATTAGAGTGCATACATATCACAATGTAAAGATAACCCCTGTGTTGTCAGTTTCTTAAGCAAATTCATCATGCCGTTTATTCTAATTCTGAGAAGGCTCGTTAACGTCTTTAACTCGGGATATTTTCATGATCAATGCTATTTGCATTATGAAATACTTTCTACTCTCAAACGAAATTGGCTTTTTTTATCAATCAAATAAATAGTCTCAATTATTTGCACTCCGCATTCTTATTTGGCTTTGGACTTGAAGTGCGAGAGGTCGCAGCCAGTCTACTAAAATAAATAATGTCTCATGGAAACTTAATTAGTCACGTCTGAGAACTTGGCATAACAATTTTGTGGCCAAAAACTTTGACGTAATTAACCATGTTGGTTTGTTAGAAATAAAAGTTTTACGATGGTCTGCTCTTCAAGCCTTCTCGGTATGTTCTTTTAAGCCTTGTTGTTCCTTGCGTCAGCTCGTGCCGGCATTTATTAAGACGACATTCTTGGCAGCCCGAGACATCCGGCTGAATTGGAAACATTTCTCGGAATCTGCCTCCAAGACAGATCGATTTCCTAAGAATTTTGTACTATCACAATAATTTTATTTAAGTTTTCATGAAAACTGCTTGAATTTCACGTGTACCACGTTTCTGTCCCTCTTTTAACCATGGAAATACCATAATTAGTAATTAGTAGATGAAGATATTACTTCTTTATCTAATAACCTCAAATTCCCAAGGGAATGAGCAGTACTGACAAGTGAAACGAAAATTTTGTTAATGATGTCGTTTACTAATTGGACATAAAAAAATCATCTTGAATCTCCAACCGTGAAAAACACCTATGAGACCGGTCATTATTTATGGCCGGGGGAGGGGGTGGGGTGTCGTAGGATTTTAGTCGTGCCCATGACCCCTCTCGTTGGCTGTTAATCGGCAGTCAATTTCTCTAAGTTCCTCCATTATACTTAATTCCCCCTCCTATCTCGTAAAAACCATGTGATCCCCTCACCCCGCAGAAAAAATGATCCTCCGACCCTCTAGGCGATCTACAACGACTGGTTACGAAAGACATATGCAAATTTGCTCTAGTGTTGTATTTCGCGGAAATCAGGGAACGAAACCAATATTCCCTGTTTCTCATGGTGCTGGCGTGTCGTTGATGAGTAGCTGTGAAAAGGCTTTTCGATTTCAGTGCTATCAAATCACTTCAGTGGATGAGACCTTGTCTACTCAGAGCCAAGCGTGTGCGTAGCGTGCCCCATTAACTGAAATGGAGGTTCACCAACGTTGATGTGAGTGATGTATCAGAGTATACTGTACCACACTAGCTGAATAACTAACGGAACAAAATATTACCTTACTAATGAGAAGTGCCAAGGCTCATTCGTAGGAAGTAATTCAATCTCACATGAAAAACGAGCAAACGCCTCCATGACGATGGACTCAACTTGTGCTTCGTTCATGGCTTTAAAAAATTGACATGCATTAAGAATATGGCCGTGCTCACTCAATGCCATCCTCTTTCCCTGTCGTGGTACAACATTGATCGTTAGGCCAGCAAGTATTATTCAATCGCACAAGAATGGAGTGTTTTCTTTCGCTTGCTATCTGAAGTACCGATTTGCCTCATATTTGTCATTCGTTTAAAGTGCGAGGAACTTGCAGATCTTGCATTGTGATGGAGGCTCGAGCTTGGTTACGTTGTCTACCATGCGAGCGTCCAAAAACACGAGATACCTCAGCATTAACATTTGATTGAGTTGGCTGACATTTGTTCTTGTTCTTCCCCAAGAAGTTGACGCAGTTGCTGTTTTGATTGCTGCACCATTTGCCCGAATCCGACAGCGAACGAGGACGCCTCGAGGATGAGAGAATTTCCCGCCAAAATGTAGTCCGCTGCCTAGCTGTTGCTCACCGGCTCAGAATAACTAGTCGATAAATCCGCATAGTGATTTCTCATTCTTAACAGCTAATATTTATTTCTCGGTATATTGCTACGTCAGTCTTTTTCTCAATTAATGTTTTTTTCATTCTCGATGGGTAATTTAAAATCTCACATGACAGTTTTTTTTATTCTCGTACAATGATTTATATTTCTCATGCAGTAATTTCCCAATCTCACATATGGATCACTGAAACTCGATTGGTCAATTTGGACTCAACCCACTTTGTCGTGTATGGCTTGCCATATAAAACATGATGTTGTCATGTTGTGGGTCACTTCTGACATCTTTCGGTTCTGTGAAGACGGCTCTTAAATGTTTTTCAAATTTCATGGAAACGTTAAACTTCGAATAAGTAAAAACCGCGCCGTTCAGCACGAGATTTTAACTCTGAGTGCACCTACAGCTAAAACTTGGGATTCCGATCCAACCGTAACGTGGGACTTGCCCTCGCATGCTAGCAATAAATGGATTATATCGCATATCTAGTGTACTTAGCAATGATGCCGAGAGATTCCAATGATGTACTCTACATCATTGGAATACTTTAATTTTCAACTACAGACTTGTATTGCTTTGTTCTTGAAGCAGCAAATATTGCTTAAAGAAGAAAATACAAGTCAATTGGAAGTCACTATATGCATATTACTGGACTTTTAAGGTTATCTAGCTTGAGCAATCGTGTCAGCGGAGGCACCAGAAGTCTGATCAAGCACTTTTAGTTCATTCGGTCATTTGGTCACGCTTTAAAATATCCTAACGGTAGGCATGTTTGGGCTTACGGAAAAACTGACCTTGGGAGAGTAAACATATTTTTAGAATGCTAACCGAAACAATTTCACGAGACATTTGAAATGAACAACAAAGTACTTAAAAAACCTATATTAGAGAACTCACTAACACCTAACTATCACTTCCCGTTGAGGACTCTAAGCAAGGTTAAGGACAAACCCAAACACGACTATTGATGACGAATATCGTGCACGAATTAAGCCATATTACAATAATCGAGGACAAATCACTGAAAAGGTAAAAATAAATGTGTGGTCTTGCAACACATGCCAAACCGAGGCTGATGGATCAAGGGTCAAAGACTCGTACAAGGATTTCAAGATAATCTAACAGGCCCAAGCAGCTCCCAAACACTTAGTTAGAACATTTCTAATTTTGATAGTTCCCAAACACTTCTAATTTTAGTAGTTGAATTGGAAAGTGATTAGCTGTCAACATACCACGCAAATTTTGCTCAACAATAGAGCATGAAACCCTAAGCAATTTTTTATGACATCACAATGTGCGTAAATAGAAATGAGCCTTCTAGAAAATTACAGATTCGTGTATCATCGCGTCTTCTGTGAATTGTTTAGTTTTTCCTGTTAAATGGTTAAAATTTTCATATCGATTAAGAGTTGCAACTCGTGGTTGTCTGAATACAACGTAGGTCGCTTATCTGTCTTAAAAAGAAATTTCAATATAAAAAGCTTCGATAATGAGTTCATGACACCCGGTAGATTATCATCAACAACGTCTGCGAAAATACAAAACCACTGTGCAATGCATGTTTTGTTTACGTCATTCAATTATGAAAGCCGTATCAATCTAAATTAGATCACCAGTACTTTATTTACTTAAGTCATAAAGGATTGATATGAGACTCTCTGTATCTTCTTAACAAAAACATTTCTCGGAAACTTATTGGATTCCAAGAATCCTCACGGTCAGTACATTCCGGAAAACATGAATATTCCCCTCGATTTCCCAAAATAATATGTTGTCATGTCATGGGTCACATCGAATATCTTTTCGTTTCTAAAAAGGTGCATCTTTTAGCATTTTTAAGATTTTTATGGAGCTGAAGAACATGACTTTGAGCGCACCTATATCTCAAACTAGAGATTCCGACCACACTGTGACGCGGAACTAACATGCCATCAATGGATAATATCACAGTGATCGTTACATTCTATTTCGAGATCCACCAGTTTGGTTTTATTTCATCATTCAAGTTTCTGTAAAAGTCCGTAATGATTTTTTTTTCAACAGTCAACAGTCCAAAACTCTGTCAACCGTTAATTAAATATGACTCTATGATCATTAAAATGACGAACTTCATCGAAAGAATATGCAAGTGAAAAGGGACAGCAACTAAATTGACACCAGCTGACATCGAACAAAACATATTTCCTTAGTCAGCAACTATGCATGGATTTATACATCTGAGATGACAGGACAAGCTCGTGCAAATTTCACATTGATCTTTCTCGGAAACCGTGGAAAATTATTCTTTACGGTGTATTTGCTCAAACAGGGAAATTTCCCTATGATTATCGGGAAAATTCCCTGTTTTCTGGTTATAAAATTCGTGACGATTGAAAATCGCAATTTGTGGTTATCTGAAGACAAGCTAACGTTCCTATCCCTCTCAAAAGGAATTTATTTTCAAAGAGCTTTGACGGTAGGTCATGGCAGCCGGCGGAACATCCTTACTAACTTCTGTTGGTCTTTGTGGACCCTCAGTGGCGGATAAATCGGAAGAAAAAATGAATGGCACAAAGTTGGCAAGACTGCTTATTGATGAAGGAACAAAAGTTCTGAGAAAATTCCTGGAGTCCACGCATCCAGGGTCAACATTACAGGACGCATTGGACAACAATCGCCCAAAGCTCGAGGGTCTGAGGTGGAAGCAATTTTTATTTGATGAGCAATGGGAGAAATTATTTCCTTCCTTAGGTAAACCAGATCCGCAAAAATTCGACATCACGCTCTTACACCTATTGCTACATGAAATTTGTCATCTATCGGCTCCTCCGACTGGATGGCACAAAATGCCTGCGGACGCTGATGCGAGCCCTGAAGCCAGCATCGTGCGTATCAAATGCTATGGAAATGAGCTTTGCCACAGTGTTTCTACTGGAGTTCCGAATGACGAATTCGAAGACAAATGGGACAAAATATCTTCGTCCTTAGAAGTACTTAAGGTTGCCGTCTATCGGAAGAAACTTCAATCCCTGAAGAGTGCTCCTATCGATCACAAAGCTCATTTGGTTGAGGAGGAACTAGATGAGCGGAGGAGGGAGAAAGAACTTGAGAAGAGTGGAAAGGTCTCTGAACTCTCCAGTTGTCTTCCTGATGACTTGCCAGGAGAACATGATATTATCGGCCGTGGTGATCAAATACAAGACATCAGAGAAAAAGTTGAAAGTGGAACGGTTCCTGTAATTCTGATCACTGGTGGACCGGGATTTGGAAAGACGACCGTTGCCAAACGAGTGGCTTGTGAATTAGATAGGCTAAAAGATCGAACTGTTTTCTTTTGTAGTTTATTATCAAAGAAAACGTTCCACGATGTGACCATGGAAATGTTTAATTCATGTAGTAAAGTGGTCAACACGCAAGTGCCGGAGAATCCGGGGCAGTGGCTTAAAGACTGGAGCAAACAGATCCATGACCAGGTCACTTTTGTTCTTGACAATGCAGATGGTGTTCTCGAGTCTGACGATCGTGAACCATTTCTTGAAACCTTACGTGATGTGAGAAAGTTATCGCGACGAAATGTCACATTTGTAATCACTGCGAGAACAACATTTGAAAATCCCGACTTGCCGTTAAAAGAGGTTAGGCTACCCCCGTTGTCGACTGAACAAGCCAAAAATCTCCTTGTTTCTCAGGTTCGCTCTTATAAACAAGATGTTCAACACGAGCTTTGCAAAGCAGAGCAACTTGTCAAATTATGTGGCTGTGTTCCTCTGGCACTGTGCATTGTTGGATCTCTGCTCTCAGATTTCACGGAAGAAACACTCATCAAAAACCTCGAGAGAGAACCACTGGCTGTCCTCGAGGACGATCATGGATCTGTAGAAAAGGCAATAAAAACGTCTTTCGATCTTCTGACAGAGGCTGAACGAGAAGCCTTTGTTCTTATGTCCACTTTTCAAGGTTCGTTCAGCTCAGTCGCTGCTGAGGCTGTTATGAAAGCATGCTCTATCCCTGGAATTTGGCCGATCAAGATTATTCGTTCCTTGAAGAGAAAATCGCTCATAGAGCAGCCAAGTTCCCGAAGATATCAGATGCATCCACTCATTCACTCGTATGCAAGGAAGACCGGTCTAGAAAATGATCCCGACCTTTTAGCTAGAGGGGAAAAATTGGCCTGTGTCCACTTCATTTCTTGTCTAGCGAACAATGCCAACATGTACTGGAGAAAGGACAGCTGCAAAGAGTCTCTTGATTTATTTAACGAGGACAGGGACAATTTCGAGTACTTTTTACACATCTACGCTCAGAGAAGGAAGGACCAGGATGAGAAAATCGCGGAATGCTCTAAGACCTTTTTGGAAAGTTTTCCACAGAAGTGCATGTATTTGCAGAAGTGTCTCCCTCCAAAGATCTACGCTCATATCCTTGAACAGTTACTGGACACGTTTGACTCAGTTCTTGAACCGGTAAACTTTGTGGAACTTTCGTGTACCCTTGGACATGAATGTAGGAAAAAAGATCAGATGAAGTACAATGAACTTATGCGGAAAGTGGAGAGAATTTACTCTTCAAACACTGATGAGTTTGACCGAAATCCGTTGGCAAAGGTCTACTTTCATAACAGTTATGCACGCTTCCTTTCCGATAAAAAAGATCCCAGTCAAAAGCAAAGAATTGAGAGAGAGAATCAAATTGCTTTAGATGTATGCTATGCAAGTTTGGGTGATCGTCATCCAGAGACAGCAGCTACTCTTCTCCTTACAGGAATAATTGCACAACGCCTTTGGAATCGTGATGTAGCTAAAGAAAGGTTAACAAAGGCGTTAGAACTATTTCAAGAGGTCCTTGGTAAACATTTTATGACTGCTGAAACCCTGAAAGCTATTGCAGACCTGTTGCTCGCTCCCGATAAATCTGTAACCGACTTGAAACCTTGCCTTAAGTATTATGAAGCAGCTTTGGAAATGTTTGATCATCTAGGAGTGGGTGGAAGCAAGGAAAGTATCTTGCCATTAAAGAACTTTGCGAGTTGTCATACGACAAGTGGCAACTTTGACGAGGCAATGAAGTTATTTAGGAAGGCAGAACAGGTTGCAGAGCGAGAACTAGAGAAAAATCACACTTGGAAAGTCTCGATAAAGACTTCACTGGGCTTATTGCATGAGAAAATGGGTGAAGTGGAGTTGGCGAAAAAGGCGATGCTTGAAGGACTGTTAATGCACAAAGAACTAGGACTTGCAATGGACAAGATAGGAAACAAACTCAAGATTCGGAAATTTATGAATCGATATCCGAAGACCTTCCCCGAGGCTGAGTTTCCAAGTAAGTACAAGGTTCATTTTCCAATTACATATTACATCGTCATAAAGCTGCTTGACTGTGGAAGAGGTCTGAACGAAATTTTGGAATACTTATCCAGTGGCTACTGTGAATGAGGAAGTTGTTGACTCCACGATCAATAAAAAGTACATAGATCCTTTTAAAGTACACGTTTCCAGAAACATATTTTTGTGGTTCAAAACTCGTAACTATCGTCAGTACGATAATTCATTGTGAACTGAAACGCCATTATTTCCGCCCCTATCTCATCCAATCGAATATCAGTTGATATTCTCGTCTGATCCTAAAAACGCTGTACATTTAAGTGTGATTGCGTCTGGACACTTCGTCATGAATGTTGCAAAGCGATGTACATGATCTTTGTGTTTGATATTCTAATTGGGTGTATTTATATTACCCTTGTAAGTAAATCTGCTTACTTTTCATACCTAGAGGAAACTTGAATCTATGAATGCTTTAAGTCATAAACAAACGAATCCAAATATCTACTTTTGTTTGTAAATTTCAGGAAACGTTTCCGGGCGAACTGGCCATTAAGGCAAACATTCAAGCAAAAAGTCCAAGGCTGGATCACCATAAGAAGGGGACAAAGAAATGTTAGTGGTGACAAGAAAGAACTTTAAGAACAATGTGGTATTCGACTTTTTGCAAACTGACGACCGAAACAAAGGAAGAAGAGGGAAGGGAAATAAGTAATGTCATTAACAACTCGCAAATACCCGACAGTCGTAGGTCGTACTTTTTTAGAACAATTTATTTCAGTATTACAGATCGAACGAGCTGAAAAAAAAATCATTGCTGACCCACAAAAATAGCAAATGTTTAAAACTTCAGTGTTTTGCAATTTATGACAACACAATTTTGTAAGGAAAATTTTACTAGAGGACTTGTATGCGTATGAAACGTTTTAGTTCATTAAATAATGCTCGGTGAATATCTTCGTTGCAAATCACCAGAATTAGATTACAAACACATGGAAGTCAAAAATCGTTACGCGACTTCAAAATGTTTTGAGGGTTTGGCAAAAGATGGCAAAACGAACAGATACTTGCTCGAGCTTTTAGCACAGTCGTACCTGTTGAAAACTAAAAAACTTTTGCGATAACACTAATGAGCCTAAAAAAAAAACTACCCCTGTCTACCTCAGACAAATTGCATCATGATTACATTAGCTGCCTAAAGCGCTGAGGATTTGAATCTGACTACATATGCCTCGATTTATCGCGCCGTTTTGTGATTCCTTGGATAACACTTGAATTAAGAGGTGCAGTTCACGTCACGTCACGTCACGTCACGCATAGCCTCCACTTTGGCGATAGTTTGGACATCTTGATATAAGCTCCCTAATCTTAAACATTTCTTGGAAATTGCTGTCTTCTGAGAATTATGTTACAAAGCATCTCCCATTCAAACTGTCATTTCAGCCTCATATTTTCTTGAGCAAAATGGTACCATGCAAAAGGTCGCGTTCATTGAGATTCCAAAACATTCAATTCAAAATCGAGCTCTCGAAAAATCAGTGACCCTTGCAGCACTGTTCGCCACAGGCTATTAAAAACTAAGGTTATATTGCAAGTGTACAGAAAGGAGCCAATATATATTTTTCTTTTGCGCCCGAACGTGATAAATGTCTGTTCACTTGGAAGGTGATATTTAAGGCAACGATGCTCGGCCTAAATTGCAATAAAGCCTCTATGTAGTTTTATGAACGGTTACTACTACAATATGGTTTCGTGCTCGGGCGAGTTCAGGACGACTTATTGCCACAGTGTCTGTTTTATTTGGTGTGTGAGCGAGTGACTGACTGACTGACTCTTTTGCATATTGGAGTCCCCATAAAAAATCGTTTGCACGAGTTATAAGTAATTATAATGTTAAGCTAAAGTTGAAGTTACACGAACCGTGACATTAAGCTTCCCAGAAACAAACATCTCGAATATCCAGCCTTGCATGACACTTAAATCATGCTTTGACAGTCTCATGCATGACAGACACATGCAAATTGACTTATTATACACCCATAAGTCCAAAGATCTTTCTCGGAAACTAGATCATCTCCTTTTTCTTAGAACTTTTTGCCTTCTTGTAAAGTGGTTTTGAGTTCATTAGGCTGATTAATGTGTTTAAGGATGGCGACTCCGTTCGCTTGTTTTAAGATGCGATCATGAATCCGACAAACACACCCACGCATCGGTGAGGTAAGCTTATTCTTTCATTTTCCAAACGAAATTTCCATAAATACTTGTCTTGCCACCAAGACCATTCCTCGAGTTAAAACACGAAAGATAATGGCTGGCACAGCCTCTACTCCTGTTTCTCCTGTTTCTTCTGGATCTTCTGTGCTAAATGTATCAGAGGAGAAAACGAATGGCACGAAGCTAATGCGACTGCTGGTTGACGGAGGAACACACGTTCTTCGCAATTTATTGCATTCTGTCCACCCAACGGATAAATTACAAGTCGTATTAAATAACAACAAGGCAAAGCTTCAATTGCTAAGGTCCAGAGGTGTAATATTTAAAAACCAGTGGGAAATGTTATTTCCTGCCTCAGGCAATCCACCGGACTCAAAAACGTTCGACATTTCACTTTTACATCTCTTGCTTCGTGAAATTTGCCATCTTACGGCGCCTTCAACCGGCTGGCACAACATGCCTGCAGATGATAATAGTCTCGGAGCAAACATTACCCGCATCAAATGTTTCCGAAATGAGCTGTGTCACAACGTCTCCACCGAAATTCCAAACGCTAAATTCGAGGACAAGTGGAACGAGATAGCATTGTCTTTAGAGGCAATTAAGATTTATGTTCTGCAAAAGGGACACGTAGAGGAAATGGAAGCGCTGAAAAAAGATCCCATTGATCACGATACAAAGCGACATTTGGAGGAACTAGCTAAAGAATGGAACAAAATACAGGAACAAGAAAGGATTCACTCGTCAAGTTTTAGCCCTCGCAGCTGTTTACCGGACATAATACCAGAAAAAAATGTATTTGGCCGTAACCAAGAAATAGAGCGTGTCACGAAAATGGCTGAGGGTGGAGACATCCCTGTTGTCCTTGTTACTGGTGGACCTGGATTTGGAAAGACGACTGTGGCTAAACGAGTGGCTCATGAATTAGAAATTTCAGAGAAGAAAGGAACTGTACTATTTTGTAGTTTACAAACGAAATCAACTTTAAATGAAGTGGCCATAAGAATGATCAACATATGTGGTTCAGTCAGCACACAAGTACCAGAGAATCCGGGGCAGTGGCTAAGAGACTGGAGGAAACACATTCAAAGCCAGGTCACGTTCGTTCTTGATAACGCAGATGGCGTTCTTGACTCGGGCGATAGAGAGTCATTCCTGAGCCTTTTATGTGACTTACGAAGTCTATCGAGGCAAAAGGCAACATTTGTTATTACAACAAGGAAAACATTTGAACATTCCGACTTGCAGCCAAAAGAAGTCAGGTTGCACCCTTTGTCCACGGAACAGGCAAGAGATCTCCTTGTTTCCCGAGTGCAAGTCTATGAAGGTACTCCACAGAAACTTTCCAGGGTAGATTACATTGTTAGTGATCTATGTGGCTGTGTTCCTTTGGCACTTTGCATTGTTGGTTCTCTTCTTTCAGATTATTCCGAAGAAACACTCATAGCAAGCCTTGAAAAGGAACCATTAGCTGTCCTAGAAGACGACCAGAGTTCTGTAGAAAAGGCCATTAAGACTTCGTTTGACCTTTTGGAGAAACCCGAACAAGAGGCTTTCATTCTCCTGTCTTTGTTCCAAGGTTCATTTGATATTGATGCAGTCCAAGCTGTGACGAAGGCCGAATGTTCGATCTCTGGGGCTTTGCCAATCTCCATCCTGCGCTCATTAAAAAACAGATCTCTTGTGGAGAAGCCCTATGCCCGCCGATATCAGATGCATCCGCTCATTCAGTCATACGCAAAGAAGATTGGTCGTGATAGGTATGACGAGCTTTTGGCAATGGGCGAAAAACTGGCTTGTATACACTTCATGTTGCGCCTCGCGAAGAATGCCAATATTTACTGGAGTAAGGACACATGCAAGGATTCCCTTGTTTCTTTTCAAGAAGACAAGAACAATTTCGAATATTTTCTTCAAATTTACGCCCGAGGCAGGGAAGAACAAGATCAAGAGATCGTGAACGGCTGTAAACTCTTTCTAGACAGTTTTCCGCAGAAGTGGATGTATTTAGAAAGATGCCTTCTCCCACGATCTTACACTGAGATTCTTGAGAAGTTACTGAAAACTTTTGACTCTCGTATCCAACCGGTGCACACTGTGGATCTTTTGTGTCTTCTTGGACATGAATACAGGAAAAAAGGAAGAATAGAAAGGTACAAGGAGGTTATGGATGAAGCGCATCGAATTCTCTCAGGGAATACTGCTGCATTCCAAACAAAACCGTTATCTGAAGTCTACTTTCACAACAGTTATGCTCGATTCCTTTCGGATAAAAAAGACTCAAAGGAAAACGCAAGGAGGGACAAAGAGACTGAAATGGCTCTAAAGGTCTGCCATGAGAGACTGGGAAAAATGCACCCAGAGACAGCAGCAACTCTCTATCTCTCAGGAATCATCGCAAAGCGCAATAAAAAACCCGAGCAATCTGAGCAACAGCTCAAGGAGGCTAAGTCAATTTTTCAGAATTGCCTCGGCACACACTTCATGACTGCTGAAACTTTAAAGGCCATCGCAGACCGCCTTTTTTTCTTGAAGGGAAGAACAAAAATTACTCGAAAATGTGCCTTGAGCATTATCAAGCAGTCGTGGAGATGTTCGAGGAACTTGGAGCAGGCGGTAGCAAAGAAATTGTTTTGACCCTAAAGAACTTTGGAATGTGTCACATGAAAAAGCACAATTTTGAAGAAGCAATGGTCTTACTAAGAAAGGCACAACAAGTTGCCGACCGAGAACTAGAAGAAAATCACAAATGGAAAGTCGGCATAAAGACTGCGTTGGCTATATTGCATGACAAAATGGGAAAACAAGACATGGCGATAGACGAAATGCAAAGGGGACTGCGAATGGCAAAAATATTTGACCTGTCAATAGATCGCATGGGAGACAAAGACGACATAATAGACTTCACAGGACGCCATCCGGAGGAATTCCCAGAGTCTGAGTTTCCAAGTAAGTAATGTTTTCACTTTCTAGTCACCTGGAGGATCTGCTCGAGGAGATATTTTAAAATAGAAATCAGTCCTGAACCCAACTTGGCGCTCTTTGATATCGCTTTCCACTCGTTTTAGGAAAACCATAAGAAGAGGTTAGAAATCTAATCTTGTCACAAGGGAGCAAGCGCGTGCCGTAACTTTTAATGCAAATTGCAAGTACCCCTTTCACTGCTTTTTTTTTTAGCCAAAAACGTGCTTCCGCACCAACTGATTACGTTGGTATTTATGATGTCAGTTAAAAAGTCAGTTTTTTACATTCCTGGACATAATGCTATGCATAAGCAGTATATTTAAACGGCTATTTCATCATACTTATAAGTGACTTTGTATTCATTTTATTAAATTATGCGTTTTAAGGCCTTTTAAACCTCAGTTTTTTCATTGGAAGTTAAAGGTGGCATGCTTGAAGTTCGAGCCCAGACCGGAAAGAATAACCCGAAAAAAATGATGGATTGGTCACCTGATAACGCATAGCACCTGATCTGAATTTCAACATTCTTTTATGAATAAATGTGAATAGAAACGTCTTTTATTTGTGCTTTCACCTCCTCAGGCACGCATGTCGAACTTTAGGTAAATAAAGGGCGTAAAAGGTAATTGGAGTTTATCGTGAGCTCTTTTCCCATTAATGAGAAGAAACTTGCACCCCTATCAAATCAGTGTACCGTGATAATTCATGATGCATACTGCGCTTTTACTTTCAGGAAGTGTTGCCAGTCGAACAGGCCATCGAGTCGAACAGCCCCACTTTCCCAGAAAGTGGAAAGGTGGCTTTGGAAGAGGAAGGAATCAATCAGAGAATTGAGGAAAAAGGTTGTTTACTGATGGAGAACAATTTAAATGATAGCGTTAGCATACTCTTAAACTACCAAACTGAATATTCATGATTTGCAAACCATGATGATGAAGATCATTCTTTGAAATGACTGCTGCAAATCGAATTTACAGTAATAATTTTATATTTCACGCGTGAAGATAACGATACAACAAGAGAAAGTAGGGATCTCTTAAATACAACCAATTAGCTTTCGTGTAGTTTTTTTTTTTCTCGTGTATGAAAAATATAAGCAATTTAATCATTTTGAAGCGAGAGACACATTACCGACGATTAACAATTAACCAACTTCTGTCAGCGTGTCTCGCACTAATTATTTTGACAAATAGGTTCCATTGTGTTGCGCGTCTGTTCAGTAATGGTTCACGGATGACGTCAAATGTGGTAAGAACCGGAAAGTGAGGCAAAAAGCGCAGCAGAGTGTGTCGCTCATGTTTTTATCACATTTAAACATCATCTGTGAACTCCTACTTTACAGAATTACTACAACATGGAGTCCATTTGTTTTATACATTTTATATGATAAAAAAACAGTTGTTAATAATTGTATTCACTCCATTCAGAATTTTTTTTCAGATTGTAACCCAGCCGGCTATACTTTATCTTTTGGCTGGAGGGGTAGTTTTAAGGGTGATTTTGGGAAATGTAATGCTCTGATCAGTAGGGCGAAGTATTTAGTATTTAGCAACTTTTAACTTTCTGTCCGCTTGATTATTTTAACCGCAGTATGAGTTTGTCCTCCTCTCCTCGAAATTTTGCAACTTATTTGTTTTTCATATCAAAATGTTGAGCGAGAAATCTTGATTTTTACTCATCACTGTTACTCGCCGTGTAGGCACACACAAAAAAAGGAGCTATTATGAATTTTAAATACAATAAAATTTTATATCTTTTTAGGAAAAGAATGATATGGTCTTTTCCTTTTTCTCAGAGCTGTTAAATTTCGACCGATCTGCTAAAGAAATATTCGAATTAAGTAAAATTATGAAAATTGAATATCTTAACATAATCGCTGGCAGCAACGATAAGTAAATTAATAAATAAAAATTCCAGCAACGAATACATCCTGTTTTTGATGGAGTAATAGGATATTGGTGCAAACTGTAACCGTGAACGCTCAGGACTGATATCAAATATTGAAATAATGAAACACAGGTTTGCGGAGATACTCTGTAAGACAAAAGCAAAACCAAAAACACCATAACTTCATACATGTTTCGTTCCATTAGTTAATGTAGACAAGTCCGAACCTTATCGGGGAAAGTTTCAGTGAAGATTGAAATGAGACCCTTAATGCTTCAATTTGTTATGATTATTTTCATGATGAACCTTGGTTATTTTTACTTATTTCATTGATAATCATGCATGAAATACAAGGGGTACACCCAATGCTGTGCATTGAAATCATACGTGACTTCCTCGGAAACACGATATCCTGGATAACCTTGTATAATAATTTGCTAATTTAGAACATTTCGTGGAAATTACTTGGCCTCATAGAATCTTTAAGATCATTATCTTCCAGACAAAATGAATGCCGCTTCTAATATCCAGAGTGAAATTATGGCAAGCCAAACAAGGCAAACTTGGGTTGTTCAAAATTACCTATCGAGTTATCACTATATGAGAAATATAATTTACCGAACGAGAATGAAAAACTGTCATGTGAGATTTTAAATCACCCATTGACAATGGAAAAACATTAATCGAGGAAAAGACTGATGCAACAAGATTCCGAGAAATAAATATTGACTGTTGAGAATGAGAAATTGTTGCATGAGAAAAAGAAGTTACTACACGAGATTATCGATTAGTTTTCCTGAGCCCGTGTACAGCAATCAGTCAGCGGAGTGTATTTCTCGCAAAATGGCGGAGCAACGGAGTGCAGAAGACTTTACAGCATTTGTTGATTCTCTCAGGAGTACCATCGAAAGAACCGCTTCCGTTTATCACGCATATGATCATGAACGATTAGAAATCTGTGCTAGGAAGCTTGAAGAACACATAGGAATGGTTATCGCGATATCTCTGTCCCAAAATTCCTCTCCAGACCTGTTTGAGGTGTTAGAGCTGTGTTATTAAGAAGGTCGTCTGATATTTTAAATGCATCAAGCTTTCGTCCAAAGGAGAAAAATCCGTTGGCATTATCTGCAAGTTCAGGAGGAAGACCGAGGTACATAATTACAAGGTAAATGATCGAGCAACTGCGTAAGACTGGTATGAACTGGAGAATTAATAGCAACATGCCTTGGAATCTCCGACCAAACACTACACACAAAAAGGATCGAGTTTGGAGTAAGAAACAGTTTCACAGATATTACGGGTGAAGAATTAGACGCGCAGCGACAGCAGACTCTCAATTTAACACCCTATAGCGGGGAAACCCATGTTAGGGGCAGTCTCAAAGGTAGGGGTACAAATGATCAACAGTTCAGAATCAGAGAAAGCTTGAAAAAGATAAATGGTGTAGGTAGAGTTGTAAGACGTCGGTATGCAATCTGTCAAAGAACTTACAATGTCACTCGCCCAAATCATTTGTGGCACATTGACTCGAACCATTTGCTAACTCATTAAGATTTGTCATCCATGGATGCATCAATGGCTACAGCAAAGCCATTGTATATCTGAAATGTTGAGGAAAAAACAAAGCTAGTACTGTGCTTCAATATTTTGAGCAAGGGGTACAAGAGTCTGGTCTCCCTTTCAGGGTTCAAGGTGACCAGGGTATAGAGAATGTAGATGTAGCCAGGTACATGCTCATCAACCAGGGATCTGATAGAGGTAGCTTCATTGTTGATACAAGTGCCCACAATCAGCACATTTAAAGGCTATGGGCATAAGTTAATAGAGTCAGCTCAGCACTTTACAAGGATTTGTTTGATTTCCTTGTGAGTGGAAATTTGGACTCACTTGATGAGTAACACCTGCTGGCTTTGCAATATGTTTGTATTCCTTGGATCAATGCCTCTATACATGAGTTAAAAAGCCAGTGGAATTATCGTGGTATTAGAACAGTAGGCCACCAAACACCCTAGGGAATGTGATACACTGAATTACTCAATGCTCACGAGGAGTCTACTGTGACAAATTGGCAGACATATGGAATTGTTTTTGATGGTCCATTGACTGATATTGAAACAGACAACAATTTTGTTGTTGTACCAGAGTCATTCAGTCAGCTTACAAATCACCAACTGCATAAATTATATACTAGGATTGACCCTCTCCCTGATGGAGACAATGGAGTTACCCACTTTCTGAACACTGTGACAATCATTGAAGGTTTTACAGAGCAGTAATGAATTTAAAATTTATCAGCTTCTAATTAAAAATATTTTGATATTTCCTGTTATGATAATGGAATGACATTCACAAGATCATTGTTTTCCCTCCCTCATATGGGCTTCATAAAGATGGAAAAGCTTACTGCAGACATGTTTTCAATACAAATAACACACTGAGAAGATCAACCAGTCAATAAGATTGAAGTTATGCTGTTGTGTTCAAAGCTTTTATAATGAAGTGGTCATCTCTTTTTTTTCAGTGGTTAAAAAATTGCACTGAACACAAAGAGAGGAAGAAAATTTGATTCATGATTTGTCTGGAGGTTGAAAATGAAAGTCATGACACTTTTTAGCAGCTGTCACAGGTATAGTTGATCCCTTAACAATAACTTCAAGTATGAGTCTTGAATTTTGATGGTTTTAATCTTAATGAAATGTTGTCATTTTCCCTGATTTATCATCAAACCATTTTCACATTTTCTAGATGCATTTACTTTGTGGTGTAAGTAATGCACTAAAACTAATGCAGTTTTTTGTGCAGTTTGAAGTTTAGGCATTGATTTCTTAAATGTAGAAGGCAACTACTGGTAGTAAAAGCAACATGTCACTTTTTACCCTAAGTTGCCTTATTCCAAGGGGCTGACAAATTACTATCATGTTATGTAATGACCACTTACAGGACTGTAATGAATAAAGTCGATTCATGATTTATTTATGTTCATAATATAGGAGGTCAGCTGATAAAATTGTTACTTAGAGTTTGTAGTCTTGAAACTAGCAAATTTTACATCCTGTCAAAAGGCTTTCTAACTTGTAACCATTTAACCAACTGCTGGTGACAACTGTAATTTGAATAGATATAACTGTATGACTTGATCCTAGTTGGAAAGTTCAGAAATTCCATCAACAGTAACTTGTATTCTCTGTTACGACAAATCTTTACACCAGTTATATGTAAATGTTATGCATAGAACAAAAACTGTGACACTGAGAAGCAAATTTCAAAGTGCTCAGGTAGTAAAGTGCACATCAATGTTTTGAAAATTGTAGAACCATAAGAACATGGATAGAGATTTGCCTTTCATTGACTTTACAAACCATTTCAGGTGTTCAAAGAATGTACATTCTGCTTTATTTGCTGGTTCAGCTTTGAATAACTTGTTAATTTTCTTGGATGTTAGCTGCTTACTTTGGTAAAAGATGTTGAGTTTCTTGAGGAACTGAAAGTTTTATTTAAAGCATAATACCTTGAGAATTGGATTCCAGTAGTTGATCACATATCTTGGCCTCTGGACAAGTTCCTGGTGGGTAAGCTTTATGATTATGGCTTCAATGTTGTTCTTACTTGGTGCTTTAAAACACTTGAATGATGTAAGTAAGTCCGAGACATCTTCATCATTAGGTTCAAAATCATCACCAAGGCACTTTTCTAATGCCTCTCTATCTTCTGTAGCTAAAAATTGTCTAAAGCTTTTTATCAAAGTCTCTGAAGTGATAACATCATCCCCATAAAGACACAGGGCCACAAAGAGGTGACACAAATTTAATGGGATGTAAAATTTCAGGAATGATGCTCTGCATGTCATGCCTAATAAATGAACTTTTCCATTGTTTCCAATCATCAGTGATATGAAGCACTTTTGCCAAAAGCATGCTAAAAGATCTAGAAGAATCCCCTTGCCTTCTCACTCCTCTTCTTGCCCAGCAGTGCCAATATGTGGATATGGTAGTTCAAAGTACTTTCATCTTTGAAAATCTGCATCACTTCTTCCCGAATAGCAACTTGAGTAGGCCATCATCAATGGTTTAATCCTGTGAAATGCCTTGAGCTGCAGGCAGTTTACTTATGCTTTCAATGGGTGGCTGCTGTGGAAACCGTTCAGTGATCTCCTATCAGCTGACATTATTGGGACTGGCAAGAGTTAGTTATTGGGACTAAATAATGGCCTGTCCTTCGCTCGATCTAGAGGCACTTCATAATTGGGATTTATGGTTACACTCGCGTTTGCAGCATGAGCTTGTCTAGCACTAAGACTTGTTTCAGTGTAAGAGGGTACACTCTGTGTAGGATTTATGGTTGCAGTAGAAGTTGTAGCATGAGTTTGTGCGCCAGTTGAGCCTACTATGCGGGTGTGCAGTATATTCTGTCTGAAGTTTGGTGTTACCGTTGAAGTTGAAGCATGAGCTCGTGTGAAAGTTGGACCTGTTTCAGTGGCATGAGGTAGTCTCTGTACAGGATTTGCTATTATAGTTAAACCAGCACAGGAGCACAGGAGGGATTGCCTGTAAGTTTTGTCACCGGATCTGGTAACATTGCTGCTAGCAAGTTATCATCATCATCAAATTCAAATTCTGGATCATCTTTAGTGTCAATATCCTTCAAAATTAACAAACAGAATTAAACTAAAGACAAATAAATTTACAAGAAACAGTACATGTATGGATTTTTTAGAGGCATTATCAATTTACTTATAAGCCAATTCATTGTTTGATTTTGGAAATTTGTTTCCATTGTCCTGATTCAATATAAGTATTTCCAGCCCTTCTTTATCAAGCCAAATTATACACGGGAGGTGCAGTATTGGGCATGATTCGAATGGTTGTCTTAATTACTCATTATTACGCATTGATAACTTAAATTTTGCAATCATTTACACAAGAAATCAAGTCGAGTTACTGCAAATCGTACCTTTGATAGATCGGGGCAGCAACACTTTACTTGGCCTTACATACACATACTTGTTTTTGAAAAAGCGATTTTGTAAAATAACCCCAATAATACCTTTCTGACCTGGTGTAAGTGATGGCTTAACGAGCTTATTATGGACTGACATAAGGACTTCTATGTCTACAAGGCGAGGAATGGTTTCTTCAAACGCCTCCATGACGATGACTTTAAAAAATTGACATGCATTAGGAACATGGCCGTGCTCACTCAATGTCACCCTCTTTCCCTGTTGTGGTACAACATTGACTGTTGGGCCAGTAAATATTATTAAATCACCAAGAATGGAGTGTTTTCTTTTTCTCTTGCAATCTGAAGTACCGATTTGTCTCATGTTTGTCATAGGTCTAAAATGCGAGGAACTTGCAGAACTTGCATTGTGATGGAGGCTCGAGCTTGGATTACGTTGTCTACTATGCGAGCGTCCAGAAACACGAGATACTTCAGCAGTAATATTTGATTGAGTTGGCTGTCATTTGTTTTGATAATACTCGTACTTCCTCAGGAAATTGACGCAGTTGCTGTTCTGATTGCTGCGCCATTTGCCCGACTCCGGCAGCGAACGAGGACGCCTCGAGGATGAGGGAATTTCCCGCCAAAATACACTCCGCTGCGTAGCTGTTGCTCACCGGCTCAGAAATACCAGTCGATAAATCCGCATAGTGATTTCTCTTTCTCAACAGTCAATATTTATTTCTCGGTATATTGCTACGTCAGTCTTTTTCTCAATTAATGTTTTTTCATTCTCGATGGGTAATTTAAAATCTCGCATGACAGTTTTTATTCCCGCACAATGATTTCTATTTCTCATGCAGTAATTTCCCAATCTCACATATCGATCACTGAAACTCGATAGGTAATTTTGGACTCAACCCACTTTTGTCGTGTATGGCTTGCCATATGAAATGGTGTCATGTTGTGGGTCACGTCTAACATCTTTTCGGTTCTGTGAAGACGGCTCTTAAAAATGTTTTTCAAAATCATGGAAACGTTTAAACTTCGAATAAGAAAAAACCGCGCCGTTCACCTCGAGATTTTAACTCTGAGTGCACCTTCAGCTAAAACTCGGGATTCCAATCCAACCGTGACGTGGGACTTGCCCTCGCATGCTAACAGTAAATGGATTATACTGCACATCAAGTGTACTTAGCAATAATGCTGAGAGAGGAGTCCATTGTGTATTTGTTTACATTTTCTCCAAGTTTCTGAGACAATCCGGAATAATTGCTTGTCAATATGTTTTGAATCCGGCACAGGTACTTTACGTCATTGGAATACTTTAATTTTTAACTACAGACGTGTATAGCTTCGTTCTTTAAGCAGCAAATATTGCTTAAAGAAGAAAATGCAAGTCAATTGGAAGTCACTATATTCATATTACTGGACTGTTAAGGTTAACTAGCTTGAGATACCGTGCCAGCGGAGGCACCAGAAGTCTGATCAAGTACTTTAAATTCATTCGGTCATTTGGTCACGCTTTTAAATAACGGTAGGCATGTTTGGGCTTACAGGACAACTGACCTTGGAAGAGTGAACATATTTTTAGAATGCTAACCGAAACAATTTCACGAGACATTCGAAATAAACAACAAAGTACGTACAAAACCAATATTCAAGAACTCGCTAAAACCTAAACATCACTTTCCATTGACGACTCTAAGCAAGGTTAAGGACAAACCCAAACACGACTATTGATGACGAATATCGTGCGAGAGTTAAGCCATATTACAATGGTCTAGGACAAATCACTGAAAAGGTAAAAATAAATGTGTGGTCTTGCAGCACATGACAAACCAACGGTCGCAGGACTCTCACAAGGATTTCAAGATAATCTAACAGGCCTAAACAAATCCCAAACACTTAGTCAGAACATATCTAAATTTAGTAGTTCCCAAACACTTCTAATGTTGGTAGTTTAATGGAAAGTGATTAGCTGCCAATATACCACGCAAATTTCCGATTTTTAATGCACGAGGCAAATCAAATTCCGAAAGACAAGTAAGGGCTTTCTTGAGAGCGGAATCGAAACTAATAACTTCACAATCTGAGTTCCCCAACTTTCTCTTTCTCACGAAAGCGAAATGTCAGAATGACGCTCAAATGACATATTTGGCTTGTGGTTGACAGCTAGAGCTTAACCGCACCAATCAGGAACTGTAGACAATGATCTTTCTCGGAAATCATAGAAAATTATTCATCATCCAGTATTTCCTAGAACCCATTGGGAAATTTCCCTGTTGACTGGTTATAAAATTCGTGTCGATTGAAAATCGCAATTCGTGGTTATCTGAAGACAAGCTAACGTTCTTATCCCTCTCAAAAGGAATTTGCTTTGTAAGAGCTTTGACAGTAGGTTATGGCAGCCGGCGGAACATCATCACCAACTCCTGCTGGTCTCAGTGGACCCTCAGTGGCGGACCTCTCGAAAGAAAAAACGAATGGGACAAGGTTGGCAAGACTGCTTATTGACGAAGGAACAAAGGTTTTAATGAAATTCTTCCATTCTATGCATCCAGAGTCAACCTTACAGAACGCATTGAACAACAATCGCCCAAAGCTCGATGGGCTGAGGCGGAAGCAAGTAATATTTGATGAACAGTGGGAAAAATTGTTTCCTACCTCAGGTAAACCGCCAGACTCGAAAGACTTTGACATCACCCTCTTACACTTACTACTCCGTGAAATTTGTCATCTAACGGCTCCTTCGACTGGATGGCGCAAAATGCCTGCCGACACTGATGCCAGCCCTGAAGCCAGCATCGTGCGTATCAAATGCTATAGAAATGAGCTTTGCCACAGTGTTTCTATAGGAGTTCCGAATGACGAATTCGAAGACAAATGGAATAAAATATCTTCATCTTTGGAAGTACTTGAGGTTGCCGCCCATCGGAAGAAACTACAGTCCCTGAAGAGTGCTACCACCGATCACGAAGCTCAATTGGTTGAAGAGGAACTCGAACAATGGAGGAGGGAGAAAGAACTTGAGGAGATTGGAAAAGTCTCTGAACTCTCCAGTTGTCTTCCTGATGACTTTTCAGAAGAACATGTTATCGGCCGTGGTGATCAAATACAAGACATCAAAGAAAAAGTTCAAAGTGGAACGGCTCCTGTAATTCTGATCACTGGTGGACCAGGATTCGGAAAGACGACCGTAGCAAAGCGAGTGGCCTGTGAATTAGCCAAACCCGAGAATGAAAGAACTGTGTTGTTTTGTAGCTTATCATCAAAGACTACTTTCAACGAAACGACTATGGAAATGATCAACTCATGTCGTAAAGTGGTCAACACGCAGGTACCAGAGAATCCGGGGCAGTGGCTCAAAGACTGGAGCAAACAAATTCAAGAGCAGGTCACTTTTGTTCTTGACAATGCAGATGGTGTCATCGAGTCTGAAGATCGAGAATTGTTCCTCAATTTCTTACGTGATGTAAGAATGTTTTCGCCACAAAATGTCACATTTGTAATAACTACAAGAAGAACATTTCAAAATACCGACCTGAAACCAAAAGAAGTCAGGCTACGCGAGTTGTCAAACGAACAGGCCAGAAATCTTCTAGTTGCTCAAGTTCACCTCCACGAACAAGGTTTCCAGCAACAACTCTCTAAAGCAGAGCGCATTGTAGAACTTTGTGGCTGTGTTCCTCTGGCCTTGTGCGTTGTTGGATCTCTGCTTTCAGATTACACCGAAGAAACTCTTATTAAAAAACTGGAGAAAGAACCACTTGCTGTACTAGAAGACGATGAAGGATCTGTAGAAAAGGCCCTCAAGACCTCTTTTGATCTATTGACTGAAGCTGGACAAGAAGCCCTCGTTCTAATGTCAACTTTCCAGGGGTCTTTTGACTCAAGTGCTGCCGAGGCTGTAATGAAAGCGTGCTCAGTTCCTGGAATTCAGCCCATCAAGATTATTCGCTCCTTGAAAAAGAGTTCGCTCATCGAGCAACCAAGTTCCCAGAGGTATCAAATGCATCCACTCATTCACTTGTATGCAAGGAAGATTGGTCAAGCCAAGTATGCCGATCTTTTAGCTAATGGAGAAAAATTGGCCTGTGTTTATTACATTTCTTGCCTTGCGAACAACGCCGAATTGTACTGGAAAAGAGGCAGCTGCAAAGAATCCCTCTTTTTATTCAACAAGGACAGAAATAATTTCGAGCATTTTCTTCGCATTTACGCCCAAGGAAGGGAGGAAAAGGATGTAGAAATTATGCCTCAAACTCTTTTGGAGAGTTTTCCACAGAAGTGCATGTATTTGGAAAGGTGTCTTCATCCAAAGAATTATGCCCAGTTCCTTGAACAGTTACTGGACACATTTGACTCAACTGTTCAGCCAATGCATGTTGTAGAACTTTCGTGTCTTCTTGGACATGAATATAGGAAGAAAGACCAAAAGAAGTACAGCGAACTTATGCAGAGAGCGGAAGAAATTTATCGCCTGAATGCTGCGAAGTTTAAAGAAAATCCGTTATCAGAAGTTTACTTTCACAACAGTTACGCACGCTTCCTTTCCGATAAAAAAGATTCTAAAGAAAACCAAAGAATTGACCAAGAGACTCAATCAGCTCTACATGTCAGCAATGCAAGTCTGGGTGAACTTCATCCGGAAACAGCAGCAACTCTTCTTCTTTCAGGAATCATTGCCAAGCGCCGTAAGGAGCGTGATACAGCTACAAAACAGCTTACAAAGGCGTTAGAACTCTTCGAACGGTGCCTTGGTAAACATTTTATGACAGCCGAAGCCCTGAAGGCCATTGCAGACCTTCGTTTGTTTCTCGGTGGAGAAACAAAAGAGGAAGATGACTTAAAATTTTGCCTCAAGTATTATAACGCAGCCATAGAAATGTTCGACGATCTCGTCGAGGGTGGAAGCAAAGAAAGCATCCTGACTTTGAAGAACTGCGCAGCTTGTCACCAGAAAATGGGAAACTTTGATGAGGCAATGGCTTTATTCAGAAAGGCAGAACAAGTTGCCGAGAGAGAATTGGAAGAGAATCACGAATGGAAGGTCTTAATCAAGACTACATGGGCCATGTTACATGACGAGATAGGAAACAAGGATAAAGCGAAAAAAATGATGCTTGAAGGACTGTCCATAGCCAAAAAACTAGACTTGCCAATAGCAAAGATGGGAAACAAAGACCCGATACGATCGTTTATCAACCGTTATTCAGAGGATTTCCCTGAGACGGAATTCCCAAGTAAGTACTGTATCCAAGTTAGCAGTTAATAGAAGGCCCCCCTATAACTCAAACCTAGCTCAGGCCTACTCAAACCAAAACTGATTTGCCGAAGAACTCCGCCAAATAGTTATTATTATTTTATACTCGATATCTCAAGCCTCTCAATAACTCGAACCAGTTTTCGTTTTCCTTGCGGATATTTTAAAATAACCTTGCCCTCGGTAACTCGAAACAACAACAAAAAAAAGAGCTTTACCGCTATGTAGCGCGTTGAACTGATTTGAAGCAGGCGTGTCCTCCTGCGTTGTAGTAATTCCTGATATCTACCGCGGTGTCTTCAACTTTCAGGAGGAGAAAAGAAGAAAGGAAAAAGAAGATGAGAGGGAAAAAGAAGAACAGCAGTTAAGATTCACAATAATAATTTCAAGAAAGGTGAAGGTGTCTGGCCATAAATGTATTTGCAAGGGACTATAAGGAACTGACTTATAAACAAGGCATTTCTCAAGTTCCCAAAGCTCCAAATATTTTTCGAATATTTCTTCATTTTTCTCTAAAAGAAAATGCTTCTAGGATCAGATTCCTTGAGTAAATCACGCCGGTATACGGCAGTATGAAAAGAATAACGAAGAAGAATTACACAATTTTTTAACTAATCCGCCACATAACTGACGATAAGGTATTGAATACTTTTTTAATCTAACTTCTGTTATTTGATCAGTCAAGCTTTCTGGAGCCTAGAAGAAAGAGCCGCACTATCCTGCAATTAATTCATTAGATTAAGGTCGGCTTTCCCTCCTAAACCTTGGGTTGGAAGGGCAAATGGAGCAAAACAGTCGCTGACAAGGAGAGGAATCGATATCTGTTATGTTCTTCCACATGGGACAGATGTCGAGAAAGGACGGGTTACTCTTCATATGCCTCCTCGACAACTAAATTCGATTAGAGTGCTTACATATCACAATGTAAAGATTACCCCTGTGTTGTCAGTTTCTTAAGCAAATTCATCATGCCGTTTGTTCTTAATCTTAGAAGGCTCGTTAACGTCTTTAACTCGGGATATTTTCATGATCAATGCTATCTGCATTATGAAATGCTTTCTATCCTCAAGAGAAATAGGCTTTTTTTAATCAATCGAATAAATAGTCTTAATTATTTGCACTCCGCACTCTTATTGGCTTTGGACTTGACGTGCGAGAGGTCGCAGCCAGTCTACTAAAATAAATAATGTCTCATGGAAACTTAATTAGTCACGTCTGAGAACTTGGCATAACAATTTTGTGGCCAAGAACTTTGACGCAATTAACCATGTTGGTTTGTTAGAAATAAAAGTTTTACAATGGTCTGCTCTTCAAGCCTTCTCGGTATGTTCTTGTAAGCCTTGTTGTTCCTTGCGTCAGCTCATGCCGGCATTTATTAAGACGACATTCTTGGCAGCCCGATACATCCGGCTGAATTGAAAACATTTCTCGGAATCTGCCTCCAAGACAGATCGATTTCCTAAGAATTTTGTACTATCACAATAATTTTATTTAAGCTTCCATGAAAACTGCTTGAATTTCACGTGTACCACGTTTCTGTCCCTCTTTTAACCATGGAAATACCATAATTAGTAGATGAAGATATTACTTCTTTATCTAATAACCTCAAATTCCCAAGGGAATGAGCAGTACTGACAAGTGAAACGAAAATTTTGTTAATGATGTCGTTTACTAATTGGACATAAAAAAATCATCTTGAATCTCCAACCGTGAAAAACACCTATGAGACCGGTCATTATTTATGGCCGAGGGAGGGGGTGGGGTGTCGTAGGATTTTAGTCGTGCCCATGACCCCTCTCGTTGGCTGTTAATCGGCAGTCAATTTCTCTAGGTTCCTCCATTATACTTAATTCCCCCTCCTATCTCGTAAAAACCATGTGATCCCCTCCCCCCGCAGAAAAAATGATCCTCCGACCCTCTAGGCGATCTACAACGACTGGTTACGAAAGACATATGCAAATTTGCTCTAGTGTTGTATTTCTCGGAAATCAGGGAACGAAACCAATATTCCCTGTTTCTCATGGTGCTGGCGTGTCGTTGATGAGTAGCTGTGAAAAGGCTTTTCGATTTCATTGCTATCAAATCACTTCAGTGGATGAGACCTTGTCTACTCAGAGCCAAGCGTGTGCGTAGCGTGCCCCATTAACTGAAATGGAGGTTCACCAACGTTGAGGTGAATGATGTATCAGAGTATACGGTACCACACTAGCTGAATAACTAACGAAACAAAATATTACCTTACTAATGAGAAGTGCCGAGGCTCATTCGTAGGAAGTAATTCAATCTCACATGGAAAACGAGTAAAGGGGGTTAGTTTCTAAAGAAACTGTGGTGCTGCGTCGGTGGGAGAGTATAACAGGGTAATATAGTATTATCAACTGAGTTGATAACGTAAATTAACCACTGTAAAGAGATTCAAAGCTGACGTTTTAAGCGTCAGCCTTTCGCCATTCGCTCTGACGAAGGGCTAACACTCGGAACGTCAGCCTTTAAATTCTTTACGGTGGTTAATTTACGCCTGTTTCTCTTTTACCTGATAAAACAAAACATTTGAATGCTTTTCTATTTGATTTTGTTCTCGTCTTGAATCGACACTGTAAAACATAAGCTATTTCGAAAGTGGATGCGGAAAAAAGTTCTACCTTGTTGGGCGTAAGAATTATGCTGCGTGGGCAACTGGAGATATACTCAGGCGAACACTTAACAATAATATCTCATTCGAAGACTACATTTCTGATGAGTTTAAATGAAACCACACTTCTTATTATGGACTGACATAAGGATCTCTATGTCTACAAGGCGAGGAATGGTTTCTCCAAACGCCTCATGACGATGGTCTCAACTTGTGCTTCGTTCATGGCTTTAAAAATTGACATGCATTAAGAATATGGCCGTGCTCACTCAATGCCATCCTCTTTCCCTGTCGTGGTACGACATTGGTTGTTGGGCCAGCAAGTATTATTCAATCGCACAAGAATGGAGTGTTTTCTTTCGCTTGCGATCTGAAGTACTGATTTGCCTCATATTTGTTATTCGTCTAAAGTGCGAGGAACTTGTAGATCTTGCATTGTGATGGAGGCTCGAGCTTGGATTACGTTGTCTACCATGCGAGCGTCCAAAAACACGAGATACCTCAGCCTTAACATTTGATTGAGTTGGCTGACATTTGTTCTGATAATACTCGTACTTCCTCAAGAAGTCGACACGGTTGCTTTTATGATTGCTGCACCATTTGCTCGAATCCGACAGCGAACGAGGACTCCTCGAGGATGAGAGAATTTCCCGCCAAAATACACTCCGCTGCCTAGCTGTTGCTCACCGGCTCAGAAAAAGCAGTCGATAAATCCGCATAGTGATTTCTCTTTCTCAACAGTTAATATTTATTTCTCGGTATATTGCTACGTCAGTCTTTTTCTCAATTAATGTTTTTTCACTCTCGATGGGTAATTTAAAATCTCGCATGACAGTTTTTTATTCTCGTACAATGATTTCTATTTCTCATGCAGTAATTTCCCAATCTCACATATCGATCACTGAAACTCGATAGGTAATTTTGGACCTAACCCATTTTTGTCGTTAATGGCTTGCCATATGAAATGGTGTCATGTTGTAGGTCACGTCTAGCATCTTTTCGGCTCTGTGAAGACGGCTCTCAAAATTTTTTTCAAATTTCATGGAAACGTTTAAACTTCGAATAAGAAAAACCGCGCCGTTCAGTTCGAGATTTTAACTCTAAATGCACCTCCATGTAAAACTCGGGATTCCGATCCAACCGTGACTTGAGACTTGCCCTCGCATGCTAACAATAGATGGATTATATCGCATATGACGTGTACTTAGCAATGATACCGAGAGAGAAGTCCATTGTGTATTTGTTTATATTTTCTCCAAGTTTCTGAGAAAATCCGGAATAATTTCTTGTCAATATGTTTTGAATCCGTCACAGGTACTTTACGTCATTGGAATACTTTAATTTTTAACTACAGACGTGTATAGCTTCATTCTTGAAGCAGCAAATATTGCTTAAAGAAGAAAATGCAAGTCAATTGAATGTCACTATATTCATATTACTGGAATGTTAAGGTTAATTAGCTTGAGCAATCGTGCCAGCGGAGGCACCAGAAGTCTGATCAAGCACTTTTAATTCATTCGGTCATTTGGTCACGCTTTTAAATAACGGTAGGCATGTTTGGGCTTACGGGACAAATGACCTTGGTAGAGTGAACATATTTTTAGAATGCTAACCGAAACAATTTCACGAGACATTCGAAATAAACAACAAAGTACGTACAAAACCAATATTCAAGAACTCGCTAAAACCTAAACATCACTTTCCGTTGACGACTCTAAGCAAGGTTAAGGACAAGCCCATACACGACTATTCATGACGAAAGCCGTGCGAGAGTTAAGCCATATTACAATGGTCTAGGACAAATCACTGAAAAGGTAAAAATAAATGTGTGGTCTTGCAGCACATGACAAACCAAGGGTCACAAGACTCTCACAAGGATTTCAAGATAATCTAACAGGCCGAAACAAATCCCAAACACTTAGTCAGAACATTTCTAAATTTAGTAGTTCCCAAACACTTCTAATGGTGGTTGGCTTGTGGTTCACAGCGGGAGCTTAACCGCACCAATCAGGAACCGTAGACCATGATTTTTCTCGGAAACCATAGAAAATTATTCCCAGAACTCATTGGGAGATTTCCCCGTAGACTGGTTATAAAATTCGTGTCGATTGAAAATCGCAATTCGTGGTTATCTGAAGACAAGCTAACGTTCTTATCCTTTTCAAAACGAATTTGCTTTGTAATAGCTTTGACAGTAGGTCATGGCAGCCGGCGGAACATCGTCACCAACTTCTGCTGGTCTTGGTGGACCCTCAGTGGCGGATCTCTCGAAAGAAATAACGAATGGCACAAGGTTGGCAAGACTGCTTATTGACGAAGGAACAAAGGTTTTAATGAAATTCTTGCATTCCATACATCCAGAGTCAACCTTACAGAACGCATTGAACAACAATCGCCCAAAGCTCGATGGGCTGAGGCGGAAGCGAGTAATATTTGATGAGCAGTGGGAGAAATTGTTTCCTTCCTCAGGTAAACCGCCAGACTCGAAAGACTTTGACATCACCCTCTTACACTTACTACTCCGTGAAATTTGTCATCTATCGGCTCCTTCGACCGGATGGCGCAACATGCCTGCCGACAATGATGCCAGCTCTGAAGCCAGCATCGTGCGTATCAAATGCTATAGAAATGAGCTTTGCCACAGTGTTTCTATAGGAGTTCCGAATGACGAATTCGAAGACAAATGGAATAAAATATCTTCGTCGTTGGAAGTACTTGAGGTTGCCGCCCATCGGAAGAAACTACAGTCCCTGAAGAGTGCTACCACCGATCACGAAGCTCAATTGGTTGAAGAGGAACTCGAACAGTGGAGGAGGGAGAAAGAACTTGAGAAGATTGGAACAGTCTCTGAACTCTCCAGTTGTCTTCCTGATGACTTGTCAGAAGAACATGTTATCGGCCGTGGTAATCAAATACAAGACATCAAAGAAAAAGTTGAAAGTGGAACGGCTCCTGTAATTCTGATCACTGGTGGACCAGGATTCGGAAAGACGACCGTAGCAAAGCGAGTGGCCTGTGAATTAGCCAAACCCGAGAATGAAAGAACTGTGTTGTTTTGTAGCTTATCATCAAAGACTACTTTCAACGAAACGACTATGGAAATGATCAACTCATGTCGTAAAGTGGTCAACACGCAGGTACCAGAGAATCCGGGGCAGTGGCTCAAAGACTGGAGCAAACAAATTCAAGAGCAGGTCACTTTTGTTCTTGACAATGCAGATGGTGTCATCGAGTCTGAAGATCGAGAATTGTTCCTCAATTTCTTACGTGATGTAAGAATGTTTTCGCGACAAAATGTCACATTTGTGATAACTACAAGAAGAACATTTCAAAATACCGACCTGAAACCAAAAGAAGTCAGGCTACGCGAGTTGTCAAACGAACAGGCCAGAAGTCTTCTAGTTGCTCAAGTTCACCTCCACGAACATGATTTCCAGCAACAACTCTCTAAAGCAGAGCGCATTGTAGAACTTTGTGGCTGTGTTCCTCTGGCCCTGTGCATTGTTGGATCTTTGCTTTCAGATTACACCGAAGAAACCCTGATTAAAAAACTGGAGAAAGAACCACTAGCTGTGCTAGAAGACGATGAAGGATCTGTAGAAAAGGCCATCAAGACCTCTTTTGATCTATTGACTGAAGCTGGACAAGAAGCCCTCGTTCTAATGTCAACTTTCCAGGGGTCTTTTGACTCAGGTGCTGCCGAGGCTGTAATGAAAGCGTGCTCAGTTCCTGGAATTCAGCCCATCAAGATTATTCGCTCCTTGAAAAAGAGTTCCCTCATCGAGCAACCAAGTTCCCAAAGGTATCAAATGCATCCACTCATTCACTTGTATGCAAGGAAGATTGGTCAAGCCAAGTATGCCGATCTTTTAGCTAAAGGAGAAAAACTGGCCTGTATTTATTACATGGCTTGCCTTGCGAACAACGCCGAATTGTACTGGAAAAGAGGCAGCTGCAAGGAATCCCTTTTTTCATTTAACAAGGACAGAAACAATTTCGTACATTTTCTTCGTATTTATGCCCAAGGAAGGGAGAAAAAGGATGCAGAAATTATGGAACGCTCTCAAACTCTTTTGGAGAGTTTTCCACAGAAGTGCATGTATTTGGAAAGGTGTCTTCATCCAAAGAATTATGCTCAGTTCCTTGAACAGTTACTGCACACATTTGACTCAACTGTTCAGCCAGTGCGTGTTGTAGAACTTTCGTGTCTTCTTGGCAATGAATATAGGAAGAAAGACCAAAAGAAGTACAGCGAACTTATGCAGAGAGCGGAAGAAATTTATCTCCTGAATGCTGCAAAGTTTAAAGAAAATCCGTTATCAGAAGTTTACTTTCACAACTGTTATGCACGCTTCCTTTCCGATAAAAAAGATCCTAAAGAAAACCAAAGAATTGTTCACGAGACTCAATCAGCTCTAGAAGTCAGCAGTACAAGTTTGGGTGATCTTCATCCGGAAACAGCAGCAACTCTTCTTTTTTCGGGAATCAATGCCAAGCGCCGCAAGGAGCGTGATACAGCTACAAAACAGCTAACAAAGGCGTTACAAGTCTTTCAACAGAGCCTTGGTAAACATTTTATGACAGCCGAAGCCCTGAAAGCCATTGCGGACTCTCGTTTTTTCCTCGGTGGAGAAACAAAAGAGGACGACGACTTAAAATCTTGCCTCGAGTATTATAACGCAGCCATAGAAATGTTCGACGATCTTGTCGAGGGTGGAAGCAAAGAAAGCATCCTGACTTTAAAGAATTGCGCAGCTTGTCACCAGAGAAGAGGAAACTTTGATGAGGCAATGGCTTTATTCAGAAAGGCAGAACAAGTTGCCGAGAGAGAATTAGAAGAGAATCACGAATGGAAGGTCGGAATCAAGACTTTATGGGCCACCTTACATGACGAGATAGGAAACAAGGATAAAGCGAAAGAAATGATGCTTGAAGGACTGTCGATGGCCAAAAAACTAGACTTGCCAATAGAAAAGATGAGAAACAAGTACCCGATACGATTGTTTATCAACCGTTATCCAGAGGATTTCCCAGAGACGGAATTCCCAAGTAAGTAAAGTATCCAAGTTAGCAGTTAATATAGTTGTAATTATTTTTTCCTCGATATCTCAAGCCTCTCAGTAACTCGAACCAGTCTTCGTTTTCGTCTTCGTTATTTTTTCAAAATAACCTTTCCCTCGTAACTCCAAACAACAACGAAAAGAGAGCTTTACTTTTGTGTCCTCCTGCGTTGTAGTAATTCCTGATATCTACCGCGGTGTCTTCAACTTTCAGGAGGAGAAAAGAAGAAAGAAGAAAGGAAAAAGAAAGCGAGAGGGGAAAAAAGGAACAGCAGTCAGGATTTACAATAACAGTTTCAGTAATAATGAGGAACCGACGTTTTAACAATGCATTCGACAAGTTCCCAAAGCTCATAATATTTTTCAAATATGTTTTAATTTTTCTTTAAAAGAAAAAATGTTCTCAGGATCAGATTCCTTGAGTAAATCACGCTGGTGTACGACAGTATTAAAAGAATGCCGCAGACGAATAACGCAATTTCTAACTAATCCGCCCCATTCGTGACGATAAGGTATGCGTATTGTATACTTTTTTATGGACGAGAATTTTCATTTAAAAAAATTAATTTCTGTTATTTGATCAGCCAAGCTTTTTGGAGCTTATAAGTAAGAGCAGTACCATCCTGCAATTAATTCATTTGATTAAGGTCGGCTTTCCCTCCTAAACCCTGGGTTGGAAGGGCAAATAGAGCAAAAAAGTGGTTTACAAGGAGAGGAATCGATATCTGTTATGTTCTTCCACATGAGATAGATGTCGAGAAAGGACGGGATTCTCTTCATATGCTTCCTCGTTCACTAAATTTGATTAGAGTGCTGACATATCACGATGCAAAGATTACCCCTGTGCTGTCAGTTTCTCAAGCAAATTCATCATGCCGTTAGTTCTTTTTATTCTGAGGAGGCCCGTCAACGTCTTTAACTCAGGATATTTTCATAATCAAATATACGAGCTATTTAAACATTATGAAATGCTCTCTACTCTCATGAGAAATTGGCTTTTTTAATCAATCGAATAAATAGTCTTAATTATTTGCACTCCGCACTCTTATTTGGCTTTGGACTTGACGTGCGAAAGGTCGCAGCCAGTCTACTAAAATAAATAATGTCTCATGGAAACTTAATTAGTCACGTCTGAGAACTTAGCATAACAATTTTCTTGCTAAGAACTTTGACGCAATTAACCATGTTGGTTTATCAGAAATAAAAATTTTACGATGGTCTGCTCTTCAAGCCTTCTCGGTTTGTTCTTTGCGTCAGCTTTGCGTCAGCTTTGCGTCAGCTTTGCGTCAGCTTTGCGTCAGCTTTGCGTCAGCTTTGCGTCAGCTTTGCGTCAGCTTTGCGTCAGCTTTGCGTCAGCTTTGCGTCACGTTGTTCCTTGCGTCAGCTCGTGCCGGCATTTATTAAGACGACATTCTTGGCAGCCCGATACATCCGGCTGAATTGAAAACATTTCTCGGAATCTGCCTCCAAGACGGATCGATTTCCTAAGAATTTTGTACTATCACAATAATTTTATTTAAGCTTCCATGAAAACTGCTTGAATTTCACGTGTACCACGTTTCTGTCCCTCTTTTAACCATGGAAATACCATAATTAGTAGATGAAGATATTACTTCTTTATCTAATAACCTCAAATTCCCAAGGGAATGAGCAGTACTGACAAGTGAAACGAAAATTTTGTTAATGATGTCGTTTACTAATTGGAAATAAAAAAATCATCTTGAATCTCCAACCGTGAAAAACACCTATGAGACCAGTCATTATTTATGGCCGGGGAGGGTGTGGGGTGTCGTGGGATTTTAGTTGTGCCCATGACCTCTCTCGTTGGCTGTTAATCGGCAGTCAATTTCCCTAAGTCCCTCCATTATACTCAATTCCCCCTCCTATCTCGTAAAAACCATGTGATTCCCTCCCCCCCTCCCCCCGCAGAAAAACCCTCCGACCCTCTAGGCGGTCTACAACGACTGGTTACGAAAGACATATGCAAATTTGCTCTAGTGTTGTATTTCCCAGAAATCAGGGAACGAATCAATATTCCCTGTTTCTCAGAATACTGGCGTGTCGTTGATGAGTTGCTGTGAAAAGGCTTTTCGATTTCAGTGCTATCAAATCACTTCAGTGGATGAGACCTTGTCTACTCAGAGCCGAGCGTATGCGTAGCTTGCCTCATTAACTGAAATGGAGGTTCACCAACGTTGAGGTGAGTGATGTATCAGGTATACGGTACCACACTAGCTGAATAACTAACGAAACAAAATATTACCTTGCTAAGGAGAAGTGCCGAGGCTCATTCGTAGGAAGTAATTCAATCTCACATGGAAAACGAGTAAAGGGGGTAGGTTTCTAAAGAAACTGTGGTGTTGCGTCAGTGGGAGAGTATAACAGGGTAATTTAGTATTATCAACTGAGTTGATAACGTAAATTGGTCACCGTAAAGAGTTTCAAAGCTGACGTTTTAAGCGTCAGCCCTTCGCCATTCGCTCTGACGAAGGGTTAACACTCGGAACGTCGGCCTTTAAACTCTTCAAAGTTACAGTGGTTAATTCACGGTATCGCCTGAACTTAGTTGATAATACTTAATTCACTTGAAAAACGCCTGTTTCGCTTTTAGCAGATAAAACAAAACATTTGAATGCTTGTCTATTTGATTTTGTTCTCGTCTTGAATCGACACTGTAAAACATTGGCTATTTCGTAAGCGGATGCGGAAAAAAGTTTTACCTCGTTAGGCGTAAGAATTATGCTGCGTGGGCACCTTAAGATATACTCAGGCGAACACTTAACAATTATAACTCATTCGAAGAATACATTCTTGATGAGTTTAAATGAAATCACACTGTAATGCTTGTATGATTTTCAGAGAAAATCACGCGAATTCCTTGAGTTTGAAGAAAACAAGGTAAAATTTCCGCACAGCCTCGTCCTACATTATGCATTCGGTTCTTGGATAGAGAAAACAATGGCAAAAACATTACAGTATGCCATTGGAAGAACAGATTTGTTTTAAAATAGTATGGAGCTGTGCGGAAATTTTACCGAAAACAAAATACAACTTTTATGCATGATTGAAATAGCTCAACTTATGGCTAAAAATATTTCATATAAAGATATTTCATCATCATAAAACCGTAAACATAAAGATGTGAAAGAGTTTTATGCTATTGTGGCAATCTTTGCGTGACCAGCTCTTCATTAGAGACGTTTCATCACAAACTTTGCCTTAATCGTTTGCGTCGCGCGGAATTAAATTCAACTCCATAGGTATCACACAATATCAGTTCGGTGAGGTTTGATGAACTTAGAGGCTGTGAAGCAACTATCTTAAGATTAAAGTGGACTGGAAAGGGTTCTGACGACGAACTTAAAAACAGCTCAATTGTTATGACTGAGGCAGATGCAAATTTAAGATAGTATTTTAATGAGTAATTCAGGAAACTAGAAAGTGATTTATTGCAACCTCTTTTCTTAGAGTTCAGAAGGCGTTTTCGTCGACTTAAATCTCACCGATTAGTCAGTCCAGCACGTTAGCATAGCCGTCATCAGCCCACTGACAGGAAACGTCTCCAAATACTTTGCAAGCAAAATTTTCCGAAGAGTCACGGTTGAGAAAGTAGAGAACATGAGTACTGTTTACGACGTATCAGAGGCGAAAACGAATGGTACAAAACTAATACGACTTCTGTTTGATGGAGGAACACACGTCCTACGCAATTTTTTACATTCTGTTTACCCACCGGATAAATTGCAGGGCATATTGAAAAAAAATGAGGCAAAGCTTCTAAGGCTGAAGAGGAAACATGTAATATCTGAAAACCAGTGGGAAATGTTATTTCCTACCTCCGGCGACCCACCGGACACGGAAACGTTCGATATTACATTTTTACATCTCTTGCTCCGCGAAATTTGCCATCTTACGGCTCCTTCAACTGGATGGCACAACATGCCTGCAGACGATGATAATAGCCTGGAGGCAAACCTTGTCCGAATAAAATGCTTTAGAAATGAGCTGTGCCACAGCGTCTCTACAGGAATTGCAAACACTGAATACGAGGACAAGTGGAACAAGATTGCGTCTTCTTTAGAGGCACTTGAAATGAGTGTCCAGAGAAAGAAATATGCAGAGAAAATTGAGGCGCTGAAGAAAGATCCCATTGATCACGATGTCCAGCGGCGCCTGGAAGAACAAGCTAAGATATGGGAAAAGGTGCGGGAACAAGAAAAGATTGACACGACGATTTTCAGCACCCGAAGCTGTCTACCGGACAGAATACCAGAAGAATGCGTATTTGGCCGCAACCAAGAAATAGAGCGTGTCAAGAAAATGGCTGAGGGTGGGGACATCGCTGTTGTCCTGGTTACTGGTGGACCTGGATTTGGAAAGACGACTGTGGCTAAAAGAGTGGCTCATGAATTGGCAAAATCAGAGAAGGAAGGGACTGTGCTATTTTGTGGTTTACTAACGAAGACAAATTTCAACGAAGTGGCAGTAGAAATGATCAATTCTTGTAGTACAAACAGCACGCAAGTACCAGAGAATCCGGGGCAGTGGTTAAGAGACTGGAGCAAACGAGTTCAAAACCAGGTCACGTTTGTTCTTGACAATGCAGATAGCGTCCTTGAGTCGAGCGATCGAGAATCATTTATAAGCATCTTATCTGACGTAAGAAAGTTATCGAGGCAAAAGGTGGCATTTGTCATAACTGCAAGGAAAACATTTGAGAATCCCGACCTGCAGTCTTGCGAAGTCAGATTGGGCCCTTTGTCCGCCGAACAGGCAAGAAATCTCCTCATTTCTAGGGTGAAAGTCTATGGAGATGCTCCGCAGAACCTTTCCAGGGCAGATTACATCGCCAAAAATCTATGTGGCTGCGTCCCTCTAGCACTTTGCATCGTTGGATCCTTGCTATCAGACTATTCTGAAGAAACGCTCATAGAAAGCCTTGAAAAGGAACCATTAGCGGTTTTAGAGGACGACCAAAGATCTGTTGAAAAGGCCATCAAGACTTCGTTTGACCTTTTGAACAAACCCGAACAAGAGACTTTCATTCTCTTATCTTTGTTCCAAGGTCCATTTGATCTTAATGCAGTCCAAGCTGTGACGAAGGCGGAATGTTCAATCTCCGGGGCTTTGCCTATCTCCATCCTGCGCTCATTAAAAAATAGATCTCTTGTGGAGAAGCCTTATTTCCACAGATATCAGATGCATCCACTCATTCAGTCATATGCAAAGAAGATTGGTCGAGACAAGTATGACAAACTTTTGGCAATGGGCGAAGAACTGGCTTGTGTACACTTTATGTTGCGCCTTGCGAATAATGCTAATAGTTACTGGGGTAAGAACACCTGCAAGGATTCCCTTGTATCATTTCAGGAAGACAAGTACAACTTCGAATATTTTCTTCAAATTTACGCTCGAGGTAGGGAAGAACAAGATCCAGAGATCGTGAATGGCTGTGAACTCTTTCTGAACAGTTTTCCGCAGAAATGCATGTATTTGGAAAGATGTCTTCATCCAAGGTTCTACACTGAGATCCTTGAAAGATTATTGAAAACATTTGACTCTGGAATCCAACCAGTGTATGTGGTAGATCTTTTGTGTCTTCTTGGTCATGAATACAGGAAAAAAGGAGAACAAGAGAAGTACAAAGAAGTCATGGATAGAGCGGAACAAATTCGTTTGGTGAGTGACGCTGCATTCGCGACAAAACCGCTATCAGAAGTCTATTTTCACAACAGCAATGCTCGCTTCCTTTCATATAAAAAAGACATTAAAGAGAACAAACGGATTGAAGAGGAGACTGCAATGGCTTTGAAAATATCCGGTGAACAGCTTCATGATCATCCGGAAAGAGCAGCGACTCTCCTCCTTTCAGGAATTATTTCAAAGCGCTGCAAGCAGTTCGATGCGGCCAAAAAACTGTTCAAAGAAGCGTTGGAACTCTTTCAAAAGAGCCTTGAGATACATTTTATGACTGCCGAAACCCTAAAGGCCACTGGAGACTTTTACTTCTTTCTTGCTGAAAAGTCCGAAGTCGACTTTGAAATCTGTCTTTATTATTATAAAGCTGCTTTGGAAATGTTCGACGTCCTAGGAGTGGGTGGAAGCAAAGAGAGCATCTTGACGCTAAAGAATTTTGGAATTTGTCACATGAAAAGTGAAAACTTTGACGAGGCAATGAATCTTCTCTCGAAAGCAGAGCAAATTGCTGAACGAGAGTTAGAAGAGGACCATACTTGGAAAGTCTCTATAAAGACTTCACTGGCCCTCTTGCTCGAGAAGATGAATTACGTAGAGCGGGCGATAAAAGTAATGCAGGAGGGACTGTTAATGGGAAAATTACTGAATCTGACCATTGACAAGATGGGAAACAAAGACCAACTTCGAGAATTTCTAAACCGGTATCCAGAGAAGTTCCCCGAGACTGAATTCCCAAGTACGTAAATATAGTGTTTTGACAGTGTTTGATTTTGTAACTAGTTAACTAATCCATACGAAGCAGCATTGCAAATGTAGCTTTTGTTTAACCTTGGTAGGAGATTTCCAATGACACCGCGAGGTGCCTTAAAAGCACCCTTTGTTGAATTGGAAACGTTTTCTGATTTATAGCTTATATTTCAAAACTTACTTTGTGGGTCAGAACTTCAACATTTATAACTCAAGTTACCTGATTTGAATATCAACATTCTTTATGAATCAGTATGAATAAGAAACGTCTTTTATTCGCGCCCCATCTGTATCTAAAAATTCCCTCTCTCTTCTTTTCTCGAGATTGCGAGCAGACCATCAAAAATTAAAGTTAAGTTTAGACGCTGCTGAAACACAGTTACGCATGTCAAGCTTCAGTTTAGTATAAAAGGCAATAACTGTGCCTCGTAAATTTGTGTAAAAAGGTTGCCATTTTGCTTGATAAGAGAAAAATTTTATCCTTTTTAATTGCACCTTGGTTTTCATAATTTATACTGCGCTGTTCATCTTTCAGGAAGTGTTGCCAGTCGAAAAGGCCATCGATTCGAACAGCCCCATGGGAAGTGAAAAGCTGGCTTTGGAAGAGGAAGGCATCAATCAGAAAATTAAGTAAAAGGGTTGTTACTTATGGAGAAAAATTTAAATGATAGCAATGAAAACTCGAAAACTCCTAAACTGAATCTTTAAGATGCGCAAACCATGATGAAAAGGAATCAATCAATCAATGAAATGACTGCTGCAAATCGAATTTACTGTAATAGTTTTTCAACAAGAGAAAATAGGGATCTCTTGGAAACAACCATTAATCTCTTAATATAACTTTTTCCTCATATGTGAAAAAAAAAATTTACTCATTCTAATGTGAGAACCCAGTTACTGACGATTAGCTTACCAATCAAATATGCTCTGAGGTGAGCTAAAAAAATTTGTTGTCATTTTGTTTCAAGGAATGTGCATTTATTGATTAAGTCTCTCCACTGAATCGTGTGGACCGATTTGTCAGAAATTCACAATATGGTTCAGCACTGAGTCCAATGGAAGGCATGAAATCTTACAGTCATTTCGTTTTGTAAATGTGGTTGTCTAGCAAATAAGCACGGAGTCATCACTGTTATTGCCAATAGGCCAAAAGAGGCTGGTGAGCTCATTTTAACCATAAAATTGCGCCCTTTTTGCACCTGAACAATTTTTTTAGACTATAAAAACAAGGAATACCTTTGTGGATTAACTTTGATTTGTATAAGGAAACCAATCGATCAATCAAACCGTTAAAATTGTCAAGCGCTCGAAAACAATTCACAATGCACAACGCCGTTTAGTGTCGGTCAGGTGGTTATAGTGTACCTTATCGTGTCACAGTGAACCGTAACCGACTCCTGTCAGTGTGCCTCGCGCTAATAGGGATTTACGGTCGTATGATTTTATTGTATTAAATACTTTTTGTCAAATAGATACCATGTTACTATGCGTTTGTTCAGTTATACAGTGGAACCCCGCCAACTCAGATCGATCCGGTTGCCCTTAACCCATTTTTTCAGTCCTTTACTATCAGCTAACTCGAACCCTCGGTAGTTCGAACCATTTTTTGTTTCCCTTGGGAGTTCGAGTTAGCGGGGTTCTACTGTAGATAACAGATGACGTCAAATGTAGTAAAGACCATATGAGGCGCAGCCTCAAAAAGTGTTCAACAGTCTAGTTCCTTTTTAAGGAAAAATTCATTTAACTTGTAACCTTTGAACAGTGCATGATAAAATACTGTCTTTTGGTCTCCACATCTTTCGATGTCTGGGTTGTTTGATTTCTTATGCTCCACCAGTTAAAATTTCACGATCGTGTCCTCTCTAAGTTAAGTTTCATCATAACTTTCTGTAATACGGAAGCTGTGCACTGGCGCCAATCCCATGACGTCATATGCTTAAGCTAAATAGACCCGCAGTACCTCGTCCCTGTTTGACTGATTTGTATTCTTGAATAGAGCATGTAAAAGTGATCAAAACTCATAAGTAACTAAAACGATTGTATTAATCATTCAGATTTTATGTCTCACAAAATTCCTTTTCTGAGTTATGGAGAATTTGTCTGGGTAATTAAGTCGACAGGTTCGCTTTTCACACTTTCTGGTTGAATTTTACGCAGAGCGACATTTCCAGGCACAATATCCTTGTGAAATCCTAAGTTTATTGTCGGCATCCCCGACTTTGACATCGGCAATTGTTCGGACTTCACATAAACCTCGCTGCCGAAGTATTTAATCGGCTCGTCGTGGAAAGGTTCGGTCCTTCGTCTCAGTAAAGGCAGCAACAAGGCAACAGAAATGAGCAAACCCCCCATCGAGAGGACTGCAAGTCCTGTTATCACAAAAACGTCTATGAAGAGATTAATTTGGCTCAATTCATGTCTTTCTTCCGATGTTAAATGTGTGTTTCTAGCTATGGAGGGTTTCTGCGGAACCAAAAATCCCATAAGAATTGCTAGGACTCCAATGATTAGCAAAATACAGCCAAACGCAACACCCCAGTTGCAGCCGTCTGGCGATTGTGTTTTCCTTGCGCGAGAAGGGGCACATTCGCAACAAGGCTCCGGCTGAGGTCTCGGGTCGTACAAATATTTGTGGTACCCTCGTATGAGTCCAAATCGTGGGCCGTAGCTTCTGTCTGGGTAATGATAATATGAAGGTGGTGCTTGAAAATTTTGATTATGTGCGGCGTGTTGAAGATGCCAAGGAGCGTTCGGTGCATTGTTCAAAGTTTTATGGTTCGAATAAAAATTAGCAGTATTCGCATGGTTCGAAGTAGGCAGAGATTTTTGTTGATGATCAAAGGCCATGATGCACGTTTCGTCTATAGTGATCTTCCATTATGGAGTTACTGTATTAGGTGTTCTTTCTTTGGGCGTAATTTGCATCGCTTTTCGCAGAGCTGTCGGGGCTGATCCTCAGAAAATGGTTGGGTCAGCGCTAATATAATTCCTAAGAGTTTTTGCCGCCGTCGATGTAAATCCCATCCACATTAGGCTTCTCTTTAAGATTTTCTGAATCGTCTCGTGGTTTATGAGCAGTAGTGAATAAAAACGATGAGGATTTTATCGACGGTAAACACGAACAGAAAAAAACCCGTTCCGATATCTAAAGGCAAGAATCACAGACCTCTTTTTCTAACAAACCAGTCGAAAGAGCCAAGTGTCTGCCCAACCTGTGAAGAAAGTCCTCTATTTGAATATATTTTCTTGTTTTTTCCTGATAAATGATAATGACTGATGGTAGAGTGCATCTCCATAGCGCCTTCAAGCCTTCACTGGTATTCACCCGCACACAGTTGAATAATTTATAATAATATTTCAATGTGGTGTCAATGATAATGGACTGTGATTGGCTGATCGGAGGTCAGACAAAAGGTTAATTTGAAGACTATTGTTTAAATTGATGGTTGCTCAATTCAAGAGACAAAGACCGACCAAAAAAAAATTTGTATTTATCTTAGTCTGTGAAATTTTACTCAGCGACAGATACATGCAACATTTGTTCGTTTTTAAATGCCTTGTATCCACAAGTACAGAACACTTATTAAACAAAGTGCTACTTTCCTGAAAATTTTATTTATTCGTTTCAGAGGTTTATTTAAGATGGATAAATTCAGGAAGTGAATTAAAAAAAATAAGAGTTTCGTCATGCAAACACGACTGTTAAAAGATAGCGCTGACATGAAGAAACTAGTTTAGAAGAAATTGTAAGCATTGTTTCATCCCGTCGACTTAAGAGGTGAGTGGCCGTAAAGTGAAGTGGGAGAAAGGAAGGGAAGGGTAGGGGAAAGGAAGGGAAGGGTAGGGGAATGGAAGAGAGATGTAGTCATCTGTGTAACTAGATTTCTGTGCACCCTTACTTCTGTCAAGGATGACTGGATCACTGATCCAAAGCGTTCCTTTGAGCGAAGGATCCGAAATTAATCATTTTTCCCAGCGGCGCTGAATTTCAAACAAGTAGGTACTTCATATATTGACCGGAAAGATTGTTGGCAATCGCTCCACAAATTCTGCGATAAACACGAAATAAAATCGATTTTGTAATATTAAATCGATTGGCCACTGATCGCAGGTATTCAGGGTTCCCAAGTATCCATACATAATCAATACTTGCTTCTGTTTTAATTCCATCGTTCGAGTTTACCACGGAAAAATGTGCTTTGTAATGAATAGTGCGCGCTAAAAGCCCGTGCAGTTAGACAAGCCATTTAGGAAAGAGCTCAGTAACCCACGTGCATACACAAGTCTTAAAATAGCGCACTTTTTGGAATTCTCTGAGAGCTCGTCTAAAACTTCGTTCCTTTCATGAGACCAGGATGTAAGGATTACCAGAACATTCGATTGAACAACGGTTTTCGATCAAGTTCTTTCAAAATTTTTTCTCAAAGGCGACCGTGGGAAATTATTATTACTATTGGCGCCAACCTGAGGGATGGAGAGAGTCAGCACAGCAACTGAACTGAGCAACACACCGTTGTGTTATTATTCGGTACTTCCGAATAATAATATGTTCCGAATAATAATGTATTCCGAATAATAATCTCGGAGCGATATCTTCAAGTGCACACTGGGAAGGAATCCTCGCAACTGGCGTTTTCTTTCATTCGCGCTCCCTTTCCGGCCTCATATTTAGATGATCTTTAAGCGACTGCTAAAACAAGGTATGTGCGTTCCTTCTTATTCCTTGCACTGCTCATGTCGTTTAGTGGTGGTATAAATAACTTGTTCTCGGGTTGCTTTTAAACACCATGAAAGTTTCGCAATGAATTCTGCCATTACTCTTTTAAAGGATGCAACCAAGATGGAAGACGCAATAGTGCTGAACTGTTGTTTCCCTTTCTTCTAATTAAATCCGTAAGTATTGAACAACTTAAAAATGGTTCGTATGACATCCTGTTGCTTTTGATTGTAGTGATAACAGAGAAAACGTATGCTTTCAACTGACGTCTATTTAGCGTGAAGCTTACTTGAAGTAAGCAGTAAAGCTTCTTCAAAGTTTGCGAGACGTTTGTAAGCGAACGATGAGTTTCAGATAAAAATGCATGGACTCTCATGTATCTGGTTTTTTTTTCAATTATCTTTAGTTATCAAGACAAGGCTTATTTAACTCATTAAATAAATAATCTAATTTTGTTTTTTTTTTAAGTTTCTAACAGAAAACTTACAACACCTTAAAACGGAAAGTTTAAAAATTAACTCATGAGGAATATTCATTTCGAATTTGGCACTGTAGTTGAAAACTCGTAATGGAAGGAGAGTTTGTGGTGTTGCATACAAATGTAGGAAAAGCTGTTGTCACGCAACATACCTTGTCACTCTTCATTGAACGAATGGCGATCTGTAAGTATGGGTGGGGCAAGTTGGTGAAATAGATTTTGTTCAATTTTTTTTGACGTTAGGATGCTCTACAAAACTGATGATTTTTAAAGGATATTTTTCGTTGGCTGTTACTGTTATTTAGAATTTCCACCAAAAGCCTTTTAAGATCTTTTTGATATAGAGTCAACAAACGGGAAAGGTTTACCACTGTAGTGTACAAGGATATACAGAACTACTGAACAACACCGTTCTGTTTGAAAAACAAAGCATTTAATAGCTATGATTCTTAAAGCCAACTTGGCTTTGAGTTTGCCCATTTTTAGGAAAAATGTGAATGCAATTAAACTGGAATAAGCTGGGAAATTAAAGCCGCCCCTACTAAATTTGTTGGATGTCACGCAAGGCCACTTTACTAGAATTAAGAATTGAAACTAAATTAGATAAAGTATTTTGTTTGTAAATCTTCTCGAAAATGCCACTCTCATGGAAAATCTACTTGAAGAATGTTTTCTGCCAATGGGAAAACCGTAGCACAAGAAGGGAAAAATAGAAAAAAATTTGGAATAAAGTTATAAGTACTGGCAAACCGTTTATCGAACGAGGACAGCGGATGGCGGACGGTGGAAAACAGAGACAACATCAGAGATGAATTATTTAAAACTAGGTCACCATAAGTTGAAATGTCTTCGGGATTACTGCTAGAAATCAGTCTGAAAAAGCTTGGAAAGTTTGCATGCATAGACAGATGCAGAATTAAGTACTTGAGTGTGCGGAGTATAAAATTTAGAACACTTAAACAATTTTCAACTCTTTCCGAACTTTTCCAACAAATTTCTAACAGTGATGCGAAGATGTTTCTGCTTATAATGACGTCATTTTCTATACTTTATTTTTTATTTTAATTTTGTTGTTCCGTCCACCATTCTCAGACCGCCGTTTGCAGTCCGCCGTTCCCATCCTCGTTTTGCGGAATCTCTTTGATTTTCACACGTTAACATTTTTTCCAACATATTGCGTTAGGAGTAACTCCTGTCAACTCTAAAGACTATGTATATCTGCTTTTAGCTTGTGTTGTGGTAATCTGTGTACAAAGTAATTTTTAAGTAAGTACTGACTGAGTAAGAACCATGCCCTTTTAACTTCGCTTTGAACTCAAAAGTCTTTTTCCCTGGTTAAATTGTTAATGCGTGTTGGCGCAACATAAACTTACGGACATCTGAGGGTAACTGAGGGTCACTCAAAGAATAACATGCATATTACAACTTTACACCATTAATAGGATAATTGCTTTACAAATATCAAATAATCTTAATGATTTAACTTTGTTTACAAAGTTGTTAAAGAAATATTTTAAACTTGAACCTTGCTCAATGTTTGCCATCTTTCGCTCCGATCCGGGGGATTCCAGTCAAGGTCTCTTGGAGTTTCTGAATATACACAACGGCCTCTCTGACTGTCTGTAATTTTGTCGTCCTCCTTTGATCCTTTAGGGACGGAATAATCTCTTTAAGTTTCTTATATGCTGTCTGTTCTGCTTCTGTCCTCAGTCTATCTTTGTCTGAATTTCTTTTCCTAGGTTTTTTCGGAGCAGCTCTCTTGTCCGTGTCTGGAACGATTCTTGTTTCACTCGCCATTTTCAAAGTGTGAACCTCTTGATTCATGTATACAAAATTTGGATTTATACCAGGCATACCTTCTCTTTCGTAGAGAAAGTCTCTGTTCTCTGTACAAACAAGGTCGTATGCTTGGGTCTCCATATTACAATCTGTAAAATCGTAGCGAACAGAATTAGAGTTGAGTCTTACGGAATATTTTCAACGCAGAACTAGCTGTAAGATCGAACATAAAGCTCGTGATTGATAACTGTTGGTGCAATGTCAGCTCATGGTCGATTTTCATCTTACCTGAAGTACAAAAGTACGTTTGAATAGACTTAAATTGAATGTGTTTTTGACAGACCGAAGGAAACTACTAGCAACACCACGTGTTCGCCAAGGTCATAGGTAGTCATACAACTGTCAATCAAAATATTGAATTGGTTACGTTAAAAACCCCGGGCGCTGGGTTCACTGTGGTTGTTTTTCTTGTAAAGAAAATCTTATATGTAGTTACTAATCAGCAAGTTCACGCTATTGCTGTCAGTTTATTCTCTAAACTGGAAGGAAAAGTAAAGTCCAGGACACAATCTACAGTACCGTTGCTTCGGGAGCTCCTTCTTATCCAATTCATCCACGGAAAATGCAACGCACAAGTTTCATCAACAAATAAAATGCAGATTTTAGATATATGAAAATTCACATATTTGCACTGCGGTGGAAAGATGAAATTAGGAGATCCTCGCAGCTAAGAACACTACTGAAACGAGTAGTTGTAAATAGGACCTGTAAAAAATTTCAGGCCCGTACGGGATTTGAACCCATGACCTCTGCGATACCGGTGCAGCGCTCTACCAATTGAGCTAACAAGCCAACTGGGAGCTGGTCAATGAATTGAGTCCAAATAAACATCCAAGTGAATGAAGATTTTAGATATATGAAAATTCACATATTTGCACTGCGGTGGAAAGATGAAATTAGGAGATCCTCGCAGCTAAGAACACTACTGAAACGAGTAGTTGTAAATAGGACCTGTAAAAAATTTCAGGCCCGTACGGGATTTGAACCCATGACCTCTGCGATACCGGTGCAGCGCTCTACCAATTGAGCTAACAAGCCAACTGGGAGCTGGTCAATGAATTGAGTCCAAATAAACATCCAAGTGAATGAAGATTTTAGATATATGAAAATTCACATATTTGCACTGCGGTGGAAAGATGAAATTAGGAGATCCTCGCAGCTAAGTAAGCTAAGAAATAAAATGCGTCCGGTGCTACGTAGAGTGAAGACTTAGCAGCAGTTTGTCTTACAAATGAATTTTTAGCCGTTCTGTTTCTTCTTTCCTTCTTTTTTTTTTTTTGCGCGACCTTCCTGTAGATATAACTTAAATCACCCTGTTATTAGAGGACAGCTCCTAACATAAATCGATTGCGACATCGCGACGCCGAGATACACTTTAGTTCTTTGACATAAACATCAACCCCACAGGATCAAGAGAAGATTAAATTATTAAGCTTTGATGGAACTTAATAAAAGCCTTTAAAAAACCAACGCCCCGATGGTTGTAATTTAAGGTTTGACATGGAATGTCTCAATACTTCACCGAAACCCGTGGTCTCATATATTTACAGGGGAGGGAGGGAGGGAGGGAGGAAGGGTTGGTTGGTCACGTGACAGTAAAAATTCAAAATGGCTGTCTTGATCATCTTCGCCTGGTTGCGCTGAGATCTATTTAAAAGGTGAGTAAACCTTTATTCTAGATCCTATCCAAGAGAAGCATATTAAATCTAACTTATATGCTGTGGAAAACCTGCTACTGAGTTATCGATGGTCTCAATATTTTTTCGTGGAAGAAAATCTTTCTCTATCGACGGGGACGTATCCGTTGATGTTGCGAGATTCTTTTTAAGCTTGTATGGCCATATTGATGATATTGATGGATAAAATATCATGATGTTAATATTTATTTACTTAGATCTATTTAAAAGGTGAGCAAACCTTTACTTTTAATCCTATCCAAGAGGAGCGTTTTAAATCTAACTTATATGCTATGAAAAATTTGCTTGTGAGTTATCGATGGGCTTGGAAGAAAATCTTGCTCCATCGACAGGAACGTATTCGTTGATGATGCGAGATTCGTTTTAAGCTTATATTACCATATTGAAGATACTGATGAATAAAATATTATTAAGTTAGTATTTATTTACTTAATTAAGTCATTAGAACTAGATTTTCTTCGAGTCTATTGCCAACTCGTAATAGAGTAAAAAATGATTTGAAGATGATCTGTAGAGGTCTATCAATACTGTGTATTTCCCGAATCTTTTTGTTGTCTCGGGCCAGGTTCTTAGTTGGGTTAAAATAAGTTAATGTTAGTGAGAAACTGGATTTCAGATCTGAAAGCTTAAAAAGAAAATTTAGGACAATTTTTTTTGTCCACTATGATGAATGGATGCTCTAAAAAGAATAGAGGAAATTACCCCACAAAGGCCATGAAAAAAGGAATAAAGAAACCCTGATTAAAATTTAACCTGGGATTTGGGCTAATTGGCCTTTGAAAAACTGGGCCTGGAATCTGTAAGATACATAATTATTCCATGAGGACGCATTGGATATGAGATGGTAAATGACCACTGAGGTGCTTAGCACCAAGTTGGATATAACTAATCTTAAATCCAACAAGCACCAATGGAATAATTGTTTTATTAACTTTCATCGTCAATCCTGAACATCTGGACATTTTCAGCAGAAAATTTCAACACTTGTCACAATATAATTCCATTTAGGGCAACTCTAATTTTACTTGTTTAACCCTATCCACCCTAACATCAGTATGCATATTCTCCATACTGTTCTGTATACATTTCTTATGGTTAATTGACATAAGGAGACAAATTAATTAGTAAAGAGGGGAAGTCTCCAAAGAAACTGTGATGCTGTGTCGGTGGGAGAGTGTAACAAGGTAATTTGGTATTATCAACTGAATTGGTAACATTATTTGGCCACTGTAGAGAGTTTTAAAGCTGATATTTCAAGCCTTAGCCATCTGTCATTCACTCTGACAAAGGGGCTAGCATCAGCTTTTAAACTCTTTCTGGTGGCCAATTTATGTTATCAACTCAGTTGATAATACCAAATTACCCTGACATTAGGAGCATTTGTTTGGCGACACTATAAGCCGGTCACTCTTAGGGGTTAAAAGGATAATACTCTGTGTCAAATTTCAGGCCTGGGTGATTTTCTTTGCAGGGTGATCTGTTTTCCAATCAATAAGCATCACTTATTCAGCAATAAAACCAAAGTGCATGAATCACAACCAAAACATTTTTGCACAAACTTTTCACTTAATATCTGAAGTCAGTATGTAAAATCTGGCAGGAGCAACAAACAAGAGAAAGTGCAAAGCTACAACATGTAAATGTTTAAATTTTTCCTATGGCATCTTGGGAAAACAATTAACCCTTCAACTTCATGAGTGACGAAGGAAGAATTTTTCCTTACAAAGTCAAAATAATATCAAGCAGACAGGTGATGAGAAAAAAGAAAATTATCAACTAGGAGATTATTGGTTGAACCAATATTGAATTCTCTGTACCAATATCATAAGATCTGTATGGCAGACAGTAAGGAGAATTATTAAATAAATGAAATCTTGGGAGTGAAAGGGTGAAATTTGAGGAAAAAATTAACATGGTTGATAGAGCTGAACAATATGCCTCCAGAAACTGTATTTGATATATTAGTGGTTTGTTAGAATCACGCATAGTGATGTGAGGGTGGCAAGGGTTATAAACAGGTTACAGCCTAGTTTCAGTCTTGTAATTAGCTCCTCTTGGGGTTAATATGGACACTTGGTGACTATTCTGTTTTGTTCATCTTTAATGATGTCAAAAGATTACTTCTTGTCCGATGGATATTTTCAAAGAGCTACAAAGTGTATTCATGTATCATGATGACCTGAGTCAATTTTAGTAGGCATTGCAGGTTCTCCCTGGTATTTTGTTGGCTTTCCCTGACAGTTTGTGGGCATGCAGTTCACTATGAAAACTTATAAGATTAAAGTGTTGTGAAATAAAATCAGGTGGATTCCAGATGCTTTAATTTGGAACAGCACTCTTGACAAAGTTCCTTGAGATAGCTTTTACTTTGGCCTTGTTTGCATTGCTGAGTCAGAACACTTTCGTATGTAGGCTGAGGGCCTTTTCAGTGCATTTTTCAGTGCATGAGGAGCATTTTAATGATGGGGGTTCTCTAATAAAGTTAATTTTCTGTCAATAGGCAATATGGACAACATTATCAGGACTGGAACAATGCTGGACATCTGAAGATCCTCAATGGAATTGATACATTGAACAGGTGAGTTTGAATGATCTAATGGAATTTAAAAACTCTTAGCACGACATTGCAGACAAGGAAAGTTTCATTTTTTCACTTGAAGTTATGACTTAAAGTGATGTCCATATCACCAAAACCCTATTTACCATGGTACTGTTCAATTGTACATTGTATAGCGTAAGTTCCTCAAAACATTATCCTTGACTCATGAAAACTCTAAGGATCAAGGCTCTTGGTGAGTTAAGAAATGTTCATGGCTGTTCAAGAAGTGTTTTTGTTCAAAAACTAATAACTTTGGTGAAATTAATTAATTTTTTTCTTTTATCCTTCTGTCTACTTCAAAGAGTAGAAAAAAAAATTTATCACACATTTTACATCTAAGGTCAACAATACCTCTATGAATCTTTGCTAAAGTGTAGTTTTTTTTCTGCATTTTAAACTGGGTTTGACACGTAATTTATATGTAAGACAGTAACAGTTTTGATGACTGTTTTTTTGTGAACGAGAACATTGTGCACAGCAGCCAAAATAATGAAATATGAAAAACCTGCACAAGAGGGCTGTCCTGAAATAAAAACTAAACACCAACAGACAGGCTTGTTTGGGACCAGATGGTTTATTAAATGTAAATATCCTACACACACAAAACACTAGAATATTACATCAAAGGTATTTGATGGATACACTTAAAAATAAAGGGCCAGTAATGGAATATGGAAGAGGTAATATACTAAAGTAGAGAGTTAGCATGGTTCACAGCCATTGGCTCTATCCAAGTCTTTTGACTTGCATGCTGAACATATTGCTCAATCTAGGAAAGGACTAATATGTAAACTGTCAATGTTATTGATGTCTAGATTCATATTAACCCTTTCACTCCCACAAGTGATCAAGACAGAATTTCTCCTTACAATATCAATACAATATCAAGCAGGCAAGTGATGGGAATAGAGAAGAATGTCAATCATGGGATGATTAGTTGATCCAATACCAAATTCTCTGAACTAACATCATAAGAATTGTATGGCAGATAGTAAGGAGAATTACTAATTAGATTTTGGGAGTGAAAAGGTTAATAGAGATTGATATTCTTTGATGAACCACATGATGCTTTTGAAGTTCACTTTTTCATATTTTTAATGAATACAAACATGTTTTGGATGAAACATCATCATTGTCAATTGTATAATGAGAAATTAAATGAAATTATGCAATAAATAGTATAACAAAGTGAGATGTTAACAAGAATAACCAAAAAAAAAATGAAATTATTTAAGCTAAGAAGGGAGACTAATTAATATGAAAGGGATAAATTAAGATGTTTGACCTGAAAATTTAATATTCACAAAAACTGTATCAGATTAGTGCAATTCCCAATCATTATACCAATATGTCTGTATTTATTGATTCTTTTATCTAATAACAATTACACTTTGTTTTTTGAAGCATGACTTGCCATCATTGCTGCCAAAAGAACTAGGGCAAATGAGAAGCCAAAGATTGAGAGGGAGTGCTCCACATGCTGCTGATTATTGTCCAAGGTATGTGTGTACTGTACATTTACTCTCAATAAATTTATGTTTTTAACTCATTAATTTAATGCAAACTTCCCCTATTCTCCAAGGTGCAACTGTTTTGGTGGGTTGGGTGAATAGGAGAAAAATACTGGGGACTTTAGTGGAGCAAATGTTGCTAGTGTGATGATTTGATTTTGGCAACCAACTGTAATGTCTATCAGTTTTTATGGTTTAAAATTGAAATGAGATGATAAAAATAAATCCTGATCAATAATGCACTATCATTTCTTCCATAAAAAAGAGCTTCTTTCTTTATAGTTGTCCAAACCAATAACCAGCCATATTGCTTTGCTCGAAGGCTAAGGGTGTGGATGCAACATACATGTAGCACATTTATGACATGTGATAGGGTAAATTGGCCACTGTAAAGAATTTCAAAGCTGACGTTTTGAGTGTTAGCCCTTCGTCAGAGAGAACGACAGAGGGCTAACACTCAAAACATCAGCTTTAAAACTCTTTACGGTGGCTAATTAACGTTATCGACTCAATACTGAATTACCCTGTTATACTTTCCCACCGACGCAGCACCACAGCTTCTTTAGAAACTTACCGCCTTTATTCATATCTCATGTAACATCAACCAAAGTGTCCTTTTATGGATTCTGAATTCTGAGTTTGCAGTACTGTGGTTCCTTCTTTAAGATCTCAGTATGCAATTGAGAGGATGATATATAAGCTTTTTATACATAAAGAACAAGATGCGCTCAACAGTTCTTTTGCATGATGTCATTTGCTGAAAAGACACCTAAATATTGTTTTCATTGCGGCTCCTCTCTGGAATGTTTTCCACCCTCTTTTTGTCATCATTTGAGCATTCTTGTGATCTCAATGCTTAGGGAATACTTTCTCGTTTGAATTCACTAGCTTTCGCCTTATAACGGAGGCTTTGGGTGAAACAAAAACAAACTGGCTTTTATTTTTTCACGTGTGGTGACCATTAGTGTGAGGATGTTGTGCTGTTGGTAAATTGTGGAATTCCTGAAGAATTAGGAAGTTTACACGAAGCCTTTTTCTTATGCAGAAAAATTATTGTGGTACCCTGTAACGCTCTTGACCCTCATTACTTTCGTTGTTTATCAGTTCAATCGCCCGTAACCCACTTTGTATACATGCTCTTATTTTGATAATTTTGTTAGTATCTCGCGCAACTTTAACTGTCTTCTTTATTGGATTGCTTACATTAGTATCTCGCGCAAATAAAGCTGTCTTTTTATTGGAATTGTTTCCTAAGTATGTTGCGCAAATTTAGTTGTCGTCTTATTGAGACTACCGTTAGTATCTCGCGTAAAATTAGCTGTCGTCTTTTTGGATTGTTTTGTTAGTATCTTGCGCAAATTTAGCTGTCTCCTTATTCGGATTCTTAGGTTACTATCTCGCTTAAACTTAGCTGTCTGCTAATTTTGTATTGTTGCATTAGTATCTCTCGAACGTTTAGCTGTCTTGTTATTTGAATTGTTACGTTGGTGTCTTGCGCAAACTTTAGCTGTCTTTGAATTGTTACGTTAGTATCTCGTGCAAATTAAGCTGTGTGCGTATTTGGATTGTAACGTTAGTATCAAATTTAGCTTAGTTCTTATTTGGATTGTTACGTTAGTATCTCGCTCAAATGAAGCTGTGTTCGTATTTGAATTGTTACGTTAGTATCCAATTTAGCTGTCTTCGTAGTTGGATTGTTACGTTAGTATCTCGCGAAAATTGATCTGTCTTATTGAAACTGTGACGTTGGTATTTCGCGCAAATTAAGCTGTGTTCTCATTTGGATTGTTACGGCAGTATCTCGCGCAAATTTAGCTGTCTTATTTGGATTTTGACGTTAGTATCTCGCGCAAATGAAGTTGTCTTATTTGGATTGTTACATTGGTGTCTTGCACAAACTTTAGCTGTCTAATTTGGATTGTTACTTTAGTATCTCGTGCAAATTAAGCTGTGTGCGTATTTGGATTGTAACGTTAGTATCAAATTTAGCTTAGTTCTTATTTGGATTGTTACGTTAGTATCAAATTTAGCTTAGTTCTTATTTGGATTGTTACGTTAGTATCAAATTTAGCTTAGTTCTTATTTGGATTGTTACGTTAGTCTCAAATTTAGCTTAGTTCTTATTTGGATTGTAACGTTAGTATCAAATTTAGCTTAGTTCTTATTTGGATTGTTACGTTAGTATCAAATTTAGCTAAGTTCTTATTTGGATTGTTACGTTAGTATCTCGCTCAAATGAAGCTTTTTTCGTATTTGGATTGTTACGTTAGTATCCAATTTAGCTGTCTTCGTAGTTGGATTGTTACGTTTGTATCTAACGAAAATTGATCTGTCTTATTGAAACTGTGACGTTGGTATTTCGCGCAAATTTAGCCGTGTTCTCATTTGGATTGTTACGGCAGTATCGAGCAAATTTAGCTGTCTTATTTGGATGAACTGAATTGTTACTTTAGTATCTCGTGCAAATTAAGCTGTGTGCGTATTTGGATTGTTACGTTAGTATCAAATTTAGCTTAGTTCTTATTTGGATTGTTACGTTAGTATCTTGCTCAAATGAAGCTGTGTTCGTATTTGGATTGTTACGTTAGTATCCAATTTAGCTGTCTTCGTAGTTGGATTGTTACGTTAGTATCTAACGAAAATTGATCTGTCTTATTGAAACTGTGACGTTGGTATTTTGCGCAAATTTAGCTGTGTTCTCATTTGGATTGTTACGGCAGTATCTCGCGCAAATTTAGCTGTCTTATTTGGATTTTGATGTTAGTATCTCGCGCAAATGAAGCTGTCTTATTTGGATTGTTACATTGGTGTCTTGCACAAACTTTAGCTGTCTAATTTGGATTGTTACGTTAGTGTCTTGCTCATGAATTGTTACGTTAGCATCTAGTGCAAATCTGTGTTCTCATTAGGCTTACGTTAGTGTCTAATGTATCAAATGATATTGCAACTGTTACGTTAGTATCGCGCGCAAATTTAGCTGTCTTCGTATTTGGATTGTTACGTTTGTATCTCACGCAAACTTATTTGTCTTCTTATTTGGGTTGTTACGTTAGTATCTCGCGCAAATTTAGCTGTTACATTCGGATTCTTACGTTAATATCCCGTTTAAACTTAGCTGTTGAATTGTTTGGATTGTTACGTTAATATCTCGCGCAAATTAAGCTGTGTTCGTATTTGGATTGTTACGTTAGTATCCAATTTAGCTGTCTTCGTAGTTGGATTGTTATGTTAGTATCTCGCGTAAATTTAGCAGTCTTCTCATTTGAATTGTTACGTTAGTGTCTTGCGCAAATTTTGGTGCCTTCTTATTTGAATTGTGACGTTGGTATCTCGCGCAAATTTAGCTGTGTTCGTATTCAGTTTAATTGTTACGTAAGTATTTCTCTCAAATTTAGCTGTGTTCTTATTCGAATTGTTACGTTGGTGTCTTGCGCAAATTTAGCTGTCCTCATATTTGGATTGTTACGGTTGTAGCTCGCGCAAATTTATCCGTCTTATTTGATTTGTTACGCTAGTTTCTCACGCAAATGCAGCAGTATTCCTATTTGGGTTGTTACGTCAGTATCTTGCGCAAACTCATCTGTTTTCTTGTTTGGTGTTCTTAAATATTTGAGGAAATCAAAGCCATTAAGTGTGGATAACGTGATTGACTCTTTGGAAAACTGGGGCCAGATCTTGTTTAATAATGAATAGCTTACCGTGCAATAAAATGGAAAAATCATGGGAAAAAAAAGCTAAATTAAATCAGCTAAGAAAATAGTTCTCGAACCAAACGACTGAAATTGTGCCAGGTTTAAAGAAGTGGATTTTTATTCCTCCAAGACTTTCCATCCCACTTTCTTTCTTCCTCCCCATTCTTATTCATAATTTTTCTTTTAGTCCTTAGGATTTTTTACCGTAATTTATCCAGACAGGGAAAAAAATCCTCTATTGGAGTTAAACCCTCATGTGATGCCCTTTATGTTTTTGGAATTAAACTCTGAATTATTCCATATTTTTAGTGTAACGACTCAGAGAAAAAAAACTCCAAAGGCACTGTTCAACTATGGTCTTTGGTAAAGTAAATTGTTTTAATATTCATAACATTGCAGATAAATCTTTCACATTCCATCAATCACGTGTACCTTCGCTCGAGGATGAAATGGCGACCGATGGAAAATCTCAGCGTCGTTTTGCAGCGAAGAAAATGGCTTCTGTATGCAATTTTATGTCCAAACCCGTCTTTGGTACAGAAGTTGTACTTCTTCTACAACTTGGACAGAATAAGCGCTGTGCTAGAACAGGACGAAAGACAAATGGAAACACGCTCAACCTCGAACTGTTACCCTCGTTGTAAGGTAACTTATCATTACTAGCGTTTGCGATGATATTTAATGGTAGTTATCCTCTTCATAAACCGTATTTTAAATGTTTAATAATTTCTACCCGTAATTTTCCATGCTAAACGAGGTTTGTCTCTGTTAAATTCAACACAAAAGCGCCATTGGTGTGATATAATTTATTCAGGCTTTGAAGCGATTGCTTTAGGATCCCGACCTTTGCACATCCATCATTCATCTCGAGTTTTTGAAGAAGTTATACTGATCTAAGAAAATAATTTATTTTTTACGCTTGCATATGTAGGAACAGTTGATTTTCTGACAAATTTTCATGAAATTTGCTGGAATTTCACTGATTTTATCGAGAAGTTTTGTTGTTTTATTTCTGTGTTTTAAAACCGAAATATCACTAAAAAATCACAAAATTTTATGACGCCTTCTCCATGAACACATTATAATTTGCATTTTGGTTTACACGCAGAAGGCCGACCTTTCACGAAATGTAAGATCCCTTTACAAAAACTCGAAACCACTCTGGCTCCAAACTTGTACTTATTCAGGTTATTCTTCGAGAAAAAAAAATAGGAAAGTATTACAGTCTGAAAAAGAAAAGACATTTAAGTTTTATAGCATGAGGAATATTAAATTTAAAATTAAAAAACTATTGAAAAACAGACATTGTCGACCATAATTAAAACAATATCGTGTCAGAATTCTTTCTTGGCTCGTCCACTTGTTGCAATACAGAAAAATGTCGAGAGCCTCAGAAATAGAAGAATTATTCCACCTAGCTCACAACAATCTGTAAATTTAGGGTAAATTAAACTGTGTTTTGAAAAAGGTTCAATATTTCTCAATATAAATGCTAAGTAAATGATGATGTTTATGGTTAAATACATGCTGTTTTTGGCGAAAGAATTATAAATTTTGCAAGTGGTGATTGATCAGAAGGCTTGAATGTAAGCTTGCGCGAGATGATGAACCCATTGTGTTATAATTTCATTATAACATTTTATTATGGTTGACATATTATTAATTCGTTTGTTTCTTTGCTCTTGCAGACAGCTGAAGTCACAATCAAGCACTAGGAAGGAACGAGGTCTGACAGCTCAAACTCAAGTTCAAAGCAGAGGTAGAAAATAACTGTTAAAGGAGTTCAAGTACGTCAAGATTGCTTGCGGAGAACTGTACTAAGTTCTGTTCGTTTGATTGATTTTCTGAGAGTTTTTGTTTTTCTTCAACATGGAGTATCAAATTCGAATTCAACACATTTTGCTAAATTACTCCGTCAATTTTTATGAAGACTTTTTCCTTTGTAACCCCTGTTAAAAATTTTTAATTTTCCCGCCAAAAAACTTAGAAAAAATACGGGCGCCCAAAATACGCATGCGCCAGTTTTTTTTTTTTTTGAAACTAAGTAAGTAACATCTGGTTAAAATGGCGTAATTTTCCCGCCAAAAAACTTTAAAAAAATACAGGCGCCCAAAATACGCATGCGCCGTTTTTTTTTTTTCAAAAGTGTGTTTAAGACTTGATCTCTTACTGCTATTATATTTCTGTATTGTTCTTATTAAATAAAGTCAATAGACTCAACAGGTTTCACTCGTTTCTTTTTTGAGCTTTATTTTCATTCTTTAAGTAGTAATATTACAGGTCTTGATCTATTAGTTAAGTTAATTTCCATTAAATAATTAATAAAGGTGTCAAGAAAATTTTGTTCAAATATATACTAAGACTTTTGGCGGGAAAATTTGGTAGAATTTGCACAGAGTTTCCCCTGACAACATTTTAAGCAAAAAATTCAAAATGGCTTCCCTTGAATTTTTCCGCCAAAAAAATGTGAACATCACCTTGTGCAAAAATTTCATGGCAAAAAATTGTCAAACAGCCTTTCATTCCAAATTTTTCTGATAACTTTACACAATTTTAGTTTACTTCGTTTTAAAGTTCAATTTTTCAATCAACGATCCTTTCTTAAAGCCGATTTGGTCTTAAGAATTTTTTGCACAAGATGATATGAACAGACTTCTACACTACCATTACTCAATATGGCAAGCTAAACAAAATATCCAAAGCTTGCCATGTTGCCGAGAAAAAATATCTTTTCCAGCCATTTAATACGTTTTAGTCAGTTGCACAGGATAAACTTAACGAAAATTGATCAGAATTTTCAACTGTATGATTTTCTTTTCGGTGGCAGGGGTTCAGACTATCATGGCTTCACATTTCTTTTGATGTAACTTTGACAAGATTTTGGGCGAGTAAACTTTTATTTTTCACCGATAAATTCATCAATTCAGTGTTCAAACTCCAAAATTTCAGTAAGTCCTGTGTTACAATAATTGTTGGCTGATAAAGGTCTTTCTTCATTACAACTAAGGCGATGAAACCCAATGGCTGGTTCAAGGAATCAAATGAAAGTAAACTCATTTTGCGCAGAATTTTACTTAATTCAATGACGAAGTTTTGTAACAAGTTATACAGACCACAAGAGTAAACAGTTCTATTCACTTTTGTTTTACAACAAATTTCCAAGAAACAGAAAACTTATAGCCGGTAGTATCCGACAATTTTTGTATGGTGATTCACGTTTGGTTTGTTTGAAATGTTTTAAAAATAGGATGACATTTTTAATATTCTGACAACTTACGTTTTGTTCGAAAAACGACGCTAATGTTGATAGATACTCTTAGCTTTTAACTGAGTTCGCTGTAAATTATAGGCAAGAACTGAATTCGTGATAAAACTTTTCTTATTCCTGAAAATTTAGCAAGACGAACCGAATTGCACACAGCTTCCATCTGTTTTCGGTTGAATTTGACATGAGCTTTTTTCTTTAGAACAATTTATGATGTCAAAGATCATTCTCGACTATTTTCAACGTTTCTTAGAACCATGAACATGTGAGACTTGCTGTTCTATTGTGGCGCTTTCGAGTTTTAAACAATTTTCTCTCATAAACATTATCAATGCTGTGATCTGTATAATTGTAAATAAACATTTAGAATCCTTTGAACCAGACATTTAAGTTTTACACACAAAACTTGCAAAACGACAAGAGAACTTTGGTGTACAGGATTTTCGTCGGGTTTTTTTTTCTTAAGAGATCGCAGATTTTATTCATTAGTGATTCGATAATCATTACTTTTAACTGGGAATGACGGTGAAAAGTTTTTGTACCGTGATGTAGTCAAATATAAGAATTAGCACTGTTTGTCAGTTGTGACTCGCTAGTGTTATTGTTTCTTCAGTTCGTTTCCTTTGTTATGTTCATGTCGAAAATAAATGCTTTTGTAGGGTGTTAGTTTTCTGTTGAAAGGAGCTGTCCTCGGAAATAAACTGCTAATAGACAGTCGTTAAAAATTGTCTCAGAATTTTGGCTGAACATTTGGCGGTGTGCCAGGCAATATCATGATTGTGGTTTGATGTTCCTGATCTCTCTATTTCTCATAACTTATTTGCGTTCAGTCAGTCTTGTGTTATAGTAACAGCTAGTTTCGTGATGAAGAAAGCTTAGCATTCGAGACACTTGTTCAAGTAAACTTCTGTTCTTAGTTTCACCGTTGTCTACAACATTGATCATTTTGTGTCGTACTTTGTAAAGATTTAGGATCAGCCAGTTGATTTTGGAGATGCTCACTATGAAAGGTATCATTGTAGTCATAGCAGTCTGGTGCAGTTAGCGTTCGTTTCAGTAAATTCTGTACGGTGTCATTTGTGTCTAACTTGAATGATGTAGTAGTCATTTTTCTTAAAAATCACAATACGGTAGTTTTGGATCTTCTTCCAAGTCCGTGATGCCTTGCGAACTAGTTGTACCTGTTTCGTTAGATCTTATATTGTTGTATCTCTGTGTGACTTAATGGTAGGATGATGCACCCATAGAACTCTTTCGGTATTCATCGGTTTTATAAAGGGTCTAGAAATTTCATGGTTATTTCTCTGAATTTTCTCAACGTGAGCGTTCTGTTCGTCACATTTGTCATTGTGTGCGGCGGTCAAAGTATTGTCATCCCAGCAAAAGCAAAAAAAAGCTTTTGTTTTACGCTAGTATTTGAATAATTTTTGTTTTTTTTATTGTACTTTTTGGTTGCCATTGTTCTCTTGTCCATTGCAGCATTAATTAATAAAATGTGTGAAAATTTCAAGGTGGCACTGACAAAGTTTTGACCAGATTATTCGTTCAGAAATTTAAACATTTTCAACACAAAATATTTCGGAAACCAAGACAATTCTATGCCGAGTATGGCGGAATGTTGCATTGATATATGCGGCGCAAACGTTTGAATGATTATTTGGCCGCTGTTAGTATTATAAAAGGACGATCTTTGTTTTTTTGTAACATTCTGAACTTCAAAATATCGTTTGTCTCACAATGCCATCTTAAAACTCACTTAACTGGTGGCTGCCATCGTCGCGTATGACTGAGTTTTCAACTGAACTGCACTCTTACTTCTCCCACGCTGGGTTTTTTTTAAACTGAGTCTTTCCTCATAATCATCACATCGATTTTAAACTCATTTCATTGAAGTTTCGTTTCAACTTTAGAATTAGAGACAGCCACCATTTTCACCACAACTTTAAGCTAACGTTATAAAGTTCTTATCTTGGCAGATTATCCTCTTGATTCAGTTATTCCAGTTTGTCCTCTTTAATTCTTTGTTCTGTTGTCTTCTTCACAAACGTGTTCCTCTGTAAAAAGAAACGAGAAAGACAATTTTAAGTCGTTTGACAAGTTCTTTGGCAAGATTTACAAATATTCCAGTTACATCTGCATATGCTAAGGCAAGAGTAGCGAGCTTCCAGAACGTAACACGTACGAACGATACTCTATGTAGCAACACGAAGGTCACTTTAGAAATACAGTTACAACACAACTTCAAACGCACTCAGCTGCACGAGTAACACAGAACTAGTTTTACTAAAACGTTACATTATTAAATCAAACAAAGCAAAGCACTTCTTCCTCGGAATGTTTGCGCACTTCATCTTTGTCTCGCAAAACGTACGCCACTTGTTACATATAATCTTAAAATTCCCTCTGCATTTATGGCAAGTAACGTTTGTTTCTTCTACTTCATGAACGAAATGAGTGCCAGTCTTTGAGAGATAAGCACCGTGTCAAAGGCGAACCGAAAGCGTGTTCTTCAATAACCGTGGAGTTTACTCCTCTAAAACGGGCATTGAGTTGAACTTTACAAGAGCAAAACCCACCTTAAGACAACTTTTAAGCTCCACACCTGTTCCAACATCAAGCACGTTTCTGGTACCAACTATTCTCACAGTAACAAGTCCTCGCCCGTCCACGATCTGTTTGGTTTGAGAAAACCTTACAATTTGCTATGAATTACAATTATGGAAACAAGCCAATCACGGATAACTACGTCACCAATATGACAAGATTTTTGTTTCCACGCCCCCTATAGGACGTATGCGAAACCTCCGCTGAATTAATTCCATTGCTGAGTCCATATCACGTGCTTCTTACTTTCACTCGGTCCCTCGTGTTCTTAAAAAAAAAATGCAATTGAGTGTTAATAAAAGATAAACTAGATATGAGGATGACATCTAACGTAGGAGTTCACTAAACTCAGAAGAATATATCTGTAAAAATAGATTAGAGAAAAAAATGATAAAAAAAGAGTCAAAACAAAAAAACGGCAAGTTCCCCGGAACAGGATCTCCATCCTGACTGGGACCGCTTTCGCGGTACAATGCTCTACCCACTGAGCTGCGGGGAACTTGCTATGAATGGAGAGTAAATTTTAGAACTATATGGAACAAGAGGAGCACATAATGCATGGATCAAGTGCACAAACATTCCGTGGAACGCTGAGTGGTTGGACTATAAAACGATTTTCCTACAAAAAAAAATGTTTAATTTGATAACATTCCGATTTAGCAGCATTCCGATGCATGTCCCTAATTTAGGAGTGTAGGAAAAGGGTAAACTTGCCAGTAAGTGGAAGAAAACCTTTGCTAATGTAATGAAGTAAAAAGACGGGTATACGGACACTTTACATTTTTTTTGATTTTCGTACAAACTCGGAAAAGAAAAGAACCTTCCAAAAAGAACATTAAAAAAACTATAAAAATAAAAAAAAAAACAAAACAAAAAACGGCAAGTTCCCCGGAACAGGATCTCCATCCTGACTGGGACCGCTTTCGCGGTACAATGCTCTACCCACTGAGCTGCGGGGAACTTGCCATGAATGGAGAGTAAATTTTAAGATTATATGTAACAAGTTCAGTTGGGAACAAAGATTCTTTACAAGAAGTGTTTTGACCCTAAAGTAACTTTACTACAAAAACTTTGTTGTTCGATTTAAAAATGTTCAAATTTAGCGGCATTCCTATGCGTGTCCTGAATTTAAGACTGTAGGAAAAAGGTAACCTTGCCAATAAGTGGAACGAAACCTTCTCCTATGTATTGAATTTAAAAGAAGAGCATGAATAAAAAGATACCACGGACTATTTCTAATCTTTGTTTAAAATAGGACAGGAAACGAATCTTCCGAAAACAATCTTGAAAAAGTAAAAAAAAAAACAAAAAAAACGGCAAATTCCCCGGTACAGGATATCTATCCTGACTCGGACCGCATTCGCGGTACAATGCTCTACCCACTGAGCTGCGGGGAACTTGCCATGAATGAAGTGCAAATTTTAAGATTATATCTAACAAGTTCAGTTCATACTGCAAGGAACAAGAGAACAAAGATTCTTTACAAGAAGTGTTTTGACCCTAAAACAACTTTACTACAAAAACTTTGTTGTTCGATTTAAAAATGTTCAAATTTAGCAGCGTTCCTAGGCGTGTCCTGAATTTAAGAGTGTAGGAAAAAGGTAACCTTGCCTATAAGTGGAGCGAAACCTTCTCTTATGTATTGAATTTAAAAGAAGAGCATAAATAAAAAGACACCACAGATTATTTCTAATCTTGGTTTAAAATAGGACAGGAAACGAATCTTCCGAAAAAAATCTTGAAAAAGTAAAAAAAGAAAAAAACGAGCAAATTTTAAGATTATATATAACAATTTGGGTTCATACTGCTTGGAACAAGTGAACAAAGATTTTCTAGAAGAAGTGTTCTGACCCTAAAATAACTTTTCTACAAAGGCGTTGTTGTTCGATTTAAAAACGTTCAAATTCAGCAGCGTTCATATGCGTGCCCTGAGTTTAAGAGTGTAGGAAAAGGCTAACCTTGCCAAGAAGTGGAACGAAGTCTTCTCTGATGTATTGAAATAAAAAAGGCGAGTATGCAAAGACACTCCACATTATTTCATATTTTGATATAAAATAAGAAAGGAAACGAATCTTCAAGGAAAAAAAAAAGATAAAAAAAAAGCAATGAAAAAAACGGCAAGTTCCCCGGAACAGGATCTCCATCCTCACTGGGACCGCTGTCGCGGTACAATGCTCTACTCACTGAGCTGCGGGGAACTTGCCATGCATGGAGAGCAAATTTTAAGTTTATATGTAACATCTTGCGTTCATACTACAAAGAACAAGTCTGTAAAGATTCTGTAGAAGAAGTGTTTTGACCCTAAAATGACTTTACTACAAAAACTTTGTTGTTTGATTTAGGAATGTTCAGATTCAGTAAAGTTCTTATGCATGATCCGAATTCAAGAGTGTAGGAAAAGGGAAACCGTGCCAATAAGAGGAAAGAAGCCTTCTCTAATTTATTGAAGTAAAAAGACAAGTATACAAAGACACTCCAGATTATTTCTAATCTTGGTTTAAGATAAGGGAGGAAACGAATCTTCGAAAAAAAAAAAATAATGAAAAAGTAGTAAAAAGAAAAAATTAACAAAACGGCAAGTCCCCCGGTACAGGATTTCTATCCTGACTCGGACCGCATTCACGGTACAATGCTCTACCCACTGAGCTGCGGGGAACTTGCCATAAATGCAGAGGGAATTTTAAGATTATATGTAACAAGTGGCGTACGTTTTGCGAGACAAAGATGAAGAGCGCAAACATTCCGAGGAAGAAGTGCTTTGCTTTGTTTGATTTAATAATGTTCAAATTCAGCAGCGTTTCGATGCATATCCTTAATTAAAGAGTGTAAGAAAAGGGTAAACTTGCCAATAGAGGAAGAAAAACTTTTTGCTAATGTACCAAAATCAGGAAGATATTGATATACAAAGACAATCCAAACTGTTAATCAGTGGGTATAAGATGAGAGAGGGAAACAACTGGGAACACTTATACAATGCAACGCTCCACCTGCTAGGCTGTGGGAAACTTTCCTCACATGGACAGGAAATTTTAAGCTCCCCACACCAGGATTTGAAGCCTCGCGAGGACTGTTCCTACGATCGCCTACTCTACCCACTGAGCCCCAAAACCTGGCAGAGAATTCGATGGGAAAACTGGAAAGTTTGATATCTTATGTTTATAAATGCCAAAAACTCTCTGATGCTACCTCTCGACCCCTTAAGTAAGCTGCTAAAACAACACGTTCAAAAGTGTTTTAGAAGAAGTACTTAAGGATCCCGTATTAGCATTTGATTTCATGTTCTGACAAAACTATTCATGAAGTAACAACACTGATAATTGAATTTTCATGACAGGCTAAGCTTTTTCGTTGTTCTAATAGCTAGTTTACTTTTCTATTTGTGGCAATCAGAACTCGAAATTTACAAGTTTGAATGGCTCATTTGCATTCTTTCAAAAAAGAAGTCCCCCCCCCAAATTCCTTGAATATACATGACATACAATAATTCCCCAGCAAAGTGTGAATATTAGTCAGCTTCCATGTGGAACGACTGTTAATGAATTACGTTTTGTAAAACCCCATGTCAGCCTGCCTTATCCAGAGCTGAGAATGCTACCATGCAATTTCGGTGAAATTGTGGGAAGATCCGCGCGCAGTGACGTAGTTTATGTCTGTCCAATTATGGAAGAAAAAAAAGATAACAGGCACGAGAGAAATTTTACAATTGTAGTATAGAAAAAACAATAGAAAATACCGTTTGGGGCCCTTTACACTCCTTTGAAGGTTGATTAATAAACACGGAGTGTTACGCACTAACCAGACTGAGCGTGACTCAAAACCTCGACCTAGACGGGCTGGGTTCCTAGAATTTAGCAGGGGAGTGCCTCATGATGGCAGCGAACACGCCCTAAAGTACACAATCAAGAAAGTTTAAAAGTTACCTGCTTTAAAAGTTACCTTACTTAATCAGAAAAAAGTAAACCTGTTGCTTTGAGCCGCCATTCAAAAAGAAGAGAAGAACACGAAAGCAGGAGATGAGCTCCTGACGGATCGGAAGTTGTTTCCAAAACGGGTCATTACGTGTTAAACTTGAAAGAAATACTAAAAAGGGGGGGGGGGAGGTACCAAAATAATGACATCTTTTTAGTCTTGCGTCATGTAAGAACACCTAATTTTGTACGAAAAGGGGGGAGGGCAAAATCAGTGGAGACCTGTGCGACAAATACTCACCCTTACCAGTCCTACACGGGTGTACCTTATCGCGGAAAAAGCAAGGTTCACACTATTTGTTGCAAGCAATAATACCGCTTCGGGTCGTAGTCTCACTACTTTGAAAATACCACGAGGAAGACGCATTCATTTTGGATTCTCTGTATTTAACATGCTAATGACGAGTTTATTACAACTTAAGGTTCACCTGTTAGAGACATTATGACAATCAGTTAATCAGTATTACTGATATAGCGAGGTTAAGCATCATGTTTGCGGAAACAGCAAATCGCAAATATTAACTCTGATTTAATTTAATAATGTAACTCATTTTGCCTCCAATCCTTCAATACCTCCAATACAAAAATGACGAAGGTTCTCTCGTTCACAAGCAATGCAAGTACGTTCACATAAGTGTACAGACGGCAGAACGCAGACGGTGGGAGAAGTTTTTGTGCTGTTTGCCGTTTGCCGTGAACGTCCAACATGCATACCATGCCAGCCATAGTAACAAATAAATAACATAATGTTTCAAATGGACGTTTATAAGATGACAAGTTATAAAGCTCTTTAAAAGCCTCCTCGTAAATGTTGTTCGCAAACCCAAAACAATCTCTACTTCGCGTTTTTCTTTTAACCATAACAAAACATGACATTAATAACTGTTGCCTTTTTCTTTTTTTTTTTTTGCCCTTTGTAAGCAAATTGTTCAGTTAAAACAGTATTCTGTTACTCTTCAACACGCTTAATTCTTCTTCTGCAAAAGGCTTCTAAAATACTCATTACTAAAACCTTGGTTAACTTCAGCGCCAGGTTTGGCTTTGGTCTTTTCTTCGCTCGATACGGTTGAGTTATCTGACGAAGAAGCTGGTGCAGTGGACGCAGTCTTCTGCAGTGCCCTGGGGATGAGTTGCAGCTGGGTTCTTGCTCGGCCACGACTGAAACGAAATAAGGGAAGGACATTTTTTTTTTTTTTTTTTGAAAGAAGATTTCTTCATGACACATATACGTGCTCTGTCTCTGATAACCCACGGAGAGGCCCCTGAAACATTCAATCTCGAAATACGTAAATGTCAACTTTCGTTTTGGGAATATACTAACCTTATTAAGTAAAGAACTGTTAGATAAGATTTTCATAGACAACTTTTTTGTATCATCAAAACTGATTCTAGTAAATCAACATGATAACGTTTTGAATGTAAAGGTTAAGTGATGTAGTACTTTGATGCTGCGTCAAAAGATAACTTGGTTTCATCTACTGAGTTGATGATGTAAATTGGCAACCGTAAAGAGTTTCTAAAGCTGACATTTATAGCTACCGCTCGAAATATCATTGAAAAACTTTTAACGGTGGCTAATTAACCTTATCAACTCAGTTGATAAAACCAAATCATCATGATAATATTATGACTAGTTTAATAACAAAATTTCCCTAACATTTATCCCCACACGAGAGCCCCAAACAGCATCAACAAACAAACAAAGAAAGTGCAGAAAAAAAAAGCAAAGCATAACACTTCAACGCATCACTTCGAGCTGCTGCCAGGAGCAGGTAAACAAGACAGTGGGTTGTGATTCAGAAACATTCAAGCGTGCATACCTTCCCGGCTGTTCTATCTGTCTTTGCTGTTGGTCGGCCCCGGGCTGCCTGGGTTTTCTGCTGGGTGGATTTGACACAGCAACTGAAATCTGCCTGTCTCCGACCTGGCTTCCGTCCAAAGCTACGATGGCCGCTGATGCTCCTGTCTGTTGACAAAAATTTCAATGATATATCACCATCACATGCCATATTCCATATAAAATGCCACCCGCTTTATTTTCACTTCTCAATGCTTCACCTTTGAACCTTCACATGATAAAATTTAGCTTCATGAAACCTAGATTTTGCCCGATACTCTACAACAGTGACAGCGTGCGTTTTCTATAACTTTAGAACAAAAAATTCGAAAGTTAAGCAAAAAGTCAAATTATTCAATAAGTTTGTTAGTCGTGGTAAAGTACAAGAACTAACAACTGTTATTGCTTGTCTCAAGCTGTTATCACTTTCAACTCAGATATGGTTGCGAAGAACGTAGTTAACTTTTAAGTATGACTACGTCGTACCTTTCGAAATGCCACTAACTTCAAAGTAACCATTTGCCTTACGCAAATATGCGCGCATAAGTTCTTTGCTCAAACCTAACGCAAACAAAATCTAAAACCCTGAAACCGAGGACATTGTAATTTTGAACAACGACACGTACACGACCATAAGTAAGTTGAAAACCTACTGAGAGGCCGTTGGAAACGTAAACAACATATCTACTCACCTCATCTTCTAACTCTACGTAACCAAATCCTTTCGGTTTACCAGCTCTGTTAGTCACCAGACGAATTTGCTTCACTTTTCCATACTGGAATGAGACATCAAAGATAAGGGTTCGATTGACAACTTTTTAGTACTAGGCCCAAACCTTTGTATCGGATGTTCTTTTTGAAAAGTGAGATCAAGTTAGGAAGCACCCTTAATTATGAGTCGCTAAGAAAACATTTGCAAGAGACAAACGGAAATAACGGAGAAACATCATGGACAAATTCTAGACCTTACTTTGCAAAGAGGCACTAATAACACAAACAACAAGAAATAAAACAAGGACATCATGAAACATTACCTTTTCGAACAGATTCTCCAACTCTGACTCTTTAACTTCGAAAGGAAGATTGGACACAAACAATGTTTTCTTGTCGAGAGTCGTAGGAAACTGTCAACAGAAGGAGGCAATAAATTATAAATCGCATCTTTGAGAAGATCAAAACTGTTTTAGATCAGATTTTCGTATTGGCTCAAGTAAAAACAAATAACGGAACATCTGAAGGCCAGAGACACAAAGGCGAATCAAATTTCAAAATGCAGTATAAAAATCTCGTTACCCATCTTACTTTGATGGTGCATGGAGAGAATAAAGTAAAAAAACCTCATACTAACCTTAAATTGCGTTGGATTCTTAGATTTGTCCACCGAAGGCGAAACAAACATCGGTCTGCCATTTAACTTGGTCCTGTCCATGGAAAGGGCAGCTTGTACCGAGGCCTAAATTGAAACATCAGCAGAAGAACCATGTAAAGGTATGGAACTGTCACTGTAAAGGGTTCCATGCCGCCTAAAGATCCCTTCCACCAAATGAGCAACAGGGAAATAATGCTTTACTAATAATCATGTTACTCGGGTGAGCAGCAAAACAAATTACAATTTAATCGTATAAATCCTGCACACCCCTACATCAGCGTGTATATTCTCCATACTGTTTCCAAGACATTTCCTATGGCACTGACAGGGGATGTTGAGTTAAAAATCAGGAGCTTCTCAAGTTTTGCGATCATTTTCGTAATTCTCATAAGCTTAATAGTTGATTCAGCAGTGATACCAAAGTGAGAAATTAGATGCTTGTCACCCTCAGAGGTTAAAGGATTTAGAGACACAACAACATTGCCTTCCTCTCACCTGGTTCTTAAACTCGATGTAAGCGAATCCTTTTGATTTCCCCATCTGGTTTTTGACAAGTCTTACTTCGGTTATGTCGCCAAGCTGGGATCAAAACAAAGTGTAAAACGCCACTAATTGCATACCCGATATATATATGTTCTTACAAACAAACCTACTGTAACATCGCAGTAAACAAGAAGTTCAAGTACCACTCTAATTAATGTACTCTATAGCAAAAAAGAGCATCTATTTGCTGTTAATTCATGACCAAAAATTCTCTAGTGTTAAGGACTTTCCATAAAACAACGAGAATGGCAATAATGTGAAAAGATCAAAGTGAAATTAATGGATTGTTGCCGTTAAAACTTCACAAGATGTACAGAAAAGGGAAGAGAAGGTATCAACGCATATAAATCCATCATTTTTTGACCTTTCACGCATTCACGTCGGTAATTAAGATTTTAGGAATTAGTACATTGCGTGAAGTTTCAATAATAAAACTGGTTAAAAGATTACGAAAGATCCGACCAACTTATCTTTAATTAGCTTGCAGAAAAGGCGTTATTTCTAGCGTTTTCCAGGAAGAGCGGACGTAAGCGCGGGGCGAGCGCAAAGCGCAAGTTACACGCGAGAAAGGGAATGGGTGATGAGCCCTTCAGGCTCGCCTCGCGTCCGTCTTTGCACGACCTGCGTGAAAGGCTAAAAAGACTAAACCTTCGCTGACAGTAGCACTTGGCAATTCTATACCAACACAACAAAGAACATAAACCTACCGGTGAGAAAGTCTTCTTGAGCCGCTCCTCATCAACTGAAAACAAAAGGTTACTAACGAATACTGTGTTCGGATCCTTTGTGCTGGAAAATGAATTAAAATAAAGTCAAGGTCAAGATATAAAACAGAACTGATCTATTCTCTTTTATTCCAGCCTTAATCGCGGCCTTTCTCTTTACGAGCTCTCTGTTCCTTAGTTTTAAAGTATTCAAATGGTAATGCATAAGTTACATTGGTTCAACCGTGATTGGTTGAGAAAGTAGCGTGAGTCTTTTGGACCAATTACAGAGCAAGTAAAGCAAAACCAATGCAATTGCGGATTACTTACGACACTCGATAGAAAGTTGTTCCATACCAGGTTACCATTGTGACATTGCTATCTTCACACAGATATAAATAGCATGTTCTCTACGCGCGGGAAAGATATACTCTTTTTAACAGAAGAAATTTTGGCATCGAATTAATATCCAAACCTTAAAAATTTTATTAAAAACGACTAAATTGAGGAGTAAGTATGCATAACTAGCGAGCATGCGCTAATCGTTAGCGCTTCGGCACCACCGTTTCTTCGCCCGCGATCAACGAGAGTCGCGAGCACTGATACCTCATTATTAGTGCCACTCCCGAGCAACATTCCCCTGACTCGTCTGAAATCTTCCCGCGGTCGGAGAAACGCGCGTCCTGTAACGCTATTAATGAGAGCCTATTTAAGCTAAGCACTAACCTGTCATGTGAAATTTTCGTAGATGGTTCTCCTGCTGGCGTCGATTGAGTTGACGAGAGATTTTCACTTTCATTCTCAACTAAAAAACAAACCAAACGTGCAGGTACAGTAAGTCAAAAGATCACTTTTCTTGAGAGGACCCGAAAACAAACAGACAAATTTGTCCTGAAAGGATTGTGTGTCTTACAGACGATTCAGAAAAGGGAAGTCTAAACCATACTGTCAGACTTTTGGATGAAAACAGACTCGAGGCCACATGTGTCGAAAGTGAGGGGGTATGGATGAAAGAACTTAACAAGGGGAAAGCAAATTTGAAATATTCCTTTCGAGAATGAGGTAGCGGTAAATAAATTCCTTACGAAGAAGATAGAGTAGAAATCGCATCTACATGTGGGAGAAAGGAGAAGGAGGCAAGAGAATCTTACCCCGCTTTGAAAAAAAGAGTGAACATCGAAGTCTTAAAATGGGCAAATGGGAATATTTCTGTTGAAAGGATTAACCAAGAACCTTCTCTTACTTTGGAAGAACTAAGGAAATCAAAGTTTCATTTTAGCGAAGGAGGAAGTTGAGGGGAAGAGAAAAGATCTGTGTGCTGGTAGAAAAAAAGGGGTATTGGAATTTTCGCATTTAGACGGGTGTCAGAAGATATATAAAACGTACCGTGGGGCTTTTTAGCCACTGGTTCTCCCGAATCTTGTGTATTATCGGTCATTTTCTGAGTTTTGTCTCCAGGAGTAGGTTGGTCATTGGCCTGACAGTAAAAACAAATACACAGCATACATAATCTCATGTCGCCTCCCCAACAAAATAAATTGTGAAGATTGTGAAGATTTTATTCTAGACGCGCAGCTCTGACTAACGTTTTAAAAACCGGACAGACAATGGGTCAAATCATGACATTACCTTTCTCTTCCTCATTTCAAACTTGGCCTTTTTCTGTTCCATTTTCTTAGTTGCCTTCCTCTCTGCATTCGCAATTTTTCTTTTCGCTTGGGCTTCTTCTTCAGCTTTTGCACGTACAGCCTCTTTTTCAGCCACCTACCCAGATCAGTTAGTCAATCAATCAATCGATCCATTAATAAAACTGTAAGAGTGCTTGTAAAATGAGTTTCGCAAGAGTAAAACCAAATTAATCGTAGCGGTGTTCGTAGTGGTCTTTGAATGGATGATGAAAGTCCTTAAACCAACTATTTAACCCAAGAGGGTAATTGTTTCATTCATTGGGCATTTTGAATGTCAATCTCGCTCAAAGAATTTAGCAAAGTTGATTGCTTTACCATGCAACTGTTTGGTGCTATAAAATACATGAAGGTGTCTTAGATTAAATCACCTTCTGTCTTCGTTCGTTGACTCTCAATAGTTGTACTCGACACTTTGAAAAAGCTGCATCCCAGTCCTCCAACGTCCCTAATTAATGAAATACAACCATAAAGATCAAATGTCTTGTTCACACATATTCATAAATGGTATCAGTCTGAACACCAGTACTTTGTGAAGGTCATAAGCCAAATGAATAGCAAAGATTTTGGAAAACATTAACGTTTTCAAACATCATTTAATCAAACCATTTTTTTTCTCTCATTACTGTTAAGGTTGGTTTTTTGGAGAGTGGAGGTGTAAGTGGATGTGGAGGGGGAGGGGGAGGGGGGAGACAAAGGAGGGAGGGGGGGAAAGGGAGACAAAGAGAAAATGAGGAAGAGAACAGCAGAGTCATAACAGTATAACACTGCAGCTGTTGCTTTTTGCAGGGGTGGGAAAGGGAGAGGAGGTGGAGGGGGACGGGGAGAATGAAAGAGAAAGAGGAAGGGAAGAGAATGAGAGTTTAAGGGAAGAAAACACCACTCTCATAAAATTATCAAACTGCAGATGTCACTGAGCACAGGCCCAATTGGTTCCAAGCTCTTCTAACCTTCTTCTCGTTCAAAACTGAGCAAGGCTTGAATCACCATTTCAGGGTTATCACTGGCTGACTGCACAGCCCGCTGCAGAATTTTACGACACTTTTTGATGTCACGACAAGACCTGCAAACGAAATGGAAATGATTAAGTTACATAAAAATAAAATAAATTTTAAACAGTGTCTAAAGTAGGGCAAGATTTGTTAGGTTTACATACTTAATAAAGGGGATAAGTTTCTTAAGAACTGTGGAGCTGCGTCGGCAGGGGAGAATAATTTGTTTTTAGTTGGCCACGCTGTTTAATTCGTCAAAAGAGCTGCTACCGAGGTACTGACCTTAAAAGGTTCGCATACTCGAGCCAGAACTCAGCTTCTCGTCCATGCCTGGAGAGTATCACATTGTCCCAAAGTCTCTGACATTCTGATATATTATTACAGTGAAATGCCTGACAATCACAACCAAAAATAAACAATACGTTAGGGCTAACAAATGAGCTAATGAAACAACAGAGAAAATTCAAGACAATCAAGTCGAACTGCGACAATTGCGCTATGGCATTAAAACAGACCACTTGTACTGCTTGGTAATTCTCTATTAACCCTTTGACTCCTAATAGTGACCAGAATCAAATTTCTCCCCACAATATCACCCCTGAATCACACATTAAGGTAACGAGAATAAAGGGAATGATCACCAACTACAGAAGCTCTTGATTGTTAAAGTAAATTCTCCTTGTCAGCACCTTAGGAAATGTATAAAGAACTGTATGGAGAATATGCATACTGGTTATCGGATGTAACGAGTAACGTTTAAACCTTACCTCAATTCTTGCCCAGTATCTCTCTAAGAGATTCGTGGGATCACCGTCATTGCCAAAATCTGCGTAGCAGTACAAGAGCAGTGTAAGAAAAAGACCATTTTAGCACATGATCATATTAAATTGACCCATAAAAGCTCAAGATATAACACATTTAACTTACAGTTCTGCAAATATTCTGTTGCAGTTTTAAAATTCTCCCTGAGGTCTTTGACACTCTGACTATCTGTGGAATGGTAAAATTCATTTGTAAAAACCCAATGAATCAGTTTCCAATATATAAAGGGTTAAGTTTCTGAAGAAACTGTGGTGCTTTGTCGGTGGGGAGTATAACAAGACAACTTGGCTTTACCAGCTGAGTTTATTAAGTCAATTGGCCACCGTAAAGAGTTTCATAGCTGACATTTCGAGCGTTAGCGCTATTCGCTCTGGAGAAGAGCTAACGCTCCAAACAGCAGCTTCAGAAATTCTTTACAGTGGCCAATTGAAAATATCAACTCAGTTGATTACCAAGTTTCTAGCATGATTGCAGGAGATGGCACGATCTCATTGAGTGAAGATGACGTCATTCCACGCTCTTATCAATCTTGTAGGACGGATAAATTCATCTGATAATAAATCAATCGGATTTGGCGGAGTTCAATAGGAGCGTTCACCATACCGAGGTCGATTTGGCTTAGGAAGAGTTTGTTTTTGATTATGAAACTGAAGCTTTACTGAAGCACTTATTTCTAAAGAGGCCTTTGTGCTATTTCTTGGTGTTTTACGAAGCTGATCACTTTGTTCTTATTCTGCAAGAACAATGAGGCTACATATATTTCACAAAGGAAGGTTATCGCTCAGGTCACATCTAGGTAGGAACAACATTACGTTACCATAGTGGCTTACGAGAAGTGAAATGACGATGTACGTGCGTAAACCTCTAGCACAAGCAAACAGGAAAATCCAGTTTTATGCTGAGTTTTCTATCATTTTCGCACTGAAAGGTGTGTATGGAATAAGGTGGGGGGGGGGGGAGGGGGGGAGGGAAAGGTTGCCCCCTAAACTTTCAGTTCAGGGCGTGTAGCTTAAAACCCGCTTTCCCCCTGCTCCGTCACCGTGGTAATGACATCGTACCTTCTCCCCAGTCCTCCACTCTTCTTCTCATGTAATCACAGTAACAATGCCAAAGCTGGAGGTAATCGTCACTGCCAGAAAAACCGCATCCCAGAGCTGTGTCTAGAGTTTCTGTAACAAGGCAAAAATAACGTAACTGCTACATGGAAACTCATTCAACTTCTAGAGCTGCCTTAGATTTAAAGCCAGGTTCCTTTGTCCATAACAAGACAAAGAAACATGCACGCTCACAGTTTGGAAAGAAACTTTCCAACGAGAATGGCACAGAAATCTAGCTAAGTGACTTTATAAATGAGTCAAGACAACGCTTGCCATCAACCCTTTGACCTAGCATCTAATTTCTCCTTAAAGTATCACTCATGAATAAATCATCAGGGTTATGAGAGTAAAGGAAATGATCACCAACAATAGAAGCCCTTGTTTATTAATCAAATACTGCTTGTCGGCATCTAAAGAAATGCATAGGGAACGTGTATACACATGTCGGAGTGTAAAGGGTTAATTTTTTTTTCTACAAGAGCCAAACACGATATATGAAGTGACGACGACGACAGCGAGAAGTAAGTCAATGTACACGAAATGTTTATCTTGCAACAAGCAAACCAATAACAGAGGACAATATAAACAAACACATCTGTCAAGTTTGATTTTAAAAAAAGCTGAACTGATAAACATAACGTTAAGCTGAGTAAAAAAGCAATTAAATACAGAAAAACAAAACGTTTATGGGAAATTAAGATGCCATCATACCTTTCACTTTATTGCCGTCCTGTTTGTTGCGTTCCTGATAAAAACAAAACAGTGATCAGGTATTTTCTGTACTACTTGATTAATGATGTCCATCGGATTAGCTAGAGAGCAATTAGAGAAGACCATTTTATAGCACATTTAAAATAAAAGTAATCAGTGACGCATCTAAATGTAAGTAATGATCCAATCACGATTTACTGTAGCTTTAGTCAGTTATGTGTCGATTTCGATGATCAGTAACCCATTAGGTTTGTCAGCCAGACTGCCAGACAATCAGTCAGTCAGTCAGCCAGTCAGTCAGAAAGTTAGTTGATCAGCCAGTCACTAAACCAGTCAGTCAGTCGGTCTGTCGATCAGCCAGTCACTCAGACAGCAAAGAGATAGACTTTCAGTTCAGTCAGTCAGTTAGTTAGACCAACAGACAAACAAACAGACAGACAGACAGAGAGATGGTCAGTCAGTCAGTCAATCAGTCTGTCATAAATCTATCATTCATTACGTAAAGACACAAGAAGGACAAGAACTATTACTAGAAACCACATGGATACCGAATTTGATATTTTGTTCCTAAAAATTGAAACGTTGACAATTAAATACAAGAGATAGTGCTTTGGAGCACAAAAAAGAGCATTCTATAAAAGAGCCATAAACCTTCAGTTGTGATTTCACAAACTGCTGTTAAAACCCCGTCAGTTTTAAGAAAGAAATGGGTAAAAACTAACCAGTGCTCGCATGTAATTCTGCCAGAGAAGAGACACCCAGGGACAGTTTCTGACAGCACGCTCATGCACTGGAAGCACCACTGATGATATCTTCAACGTTGAATCCTATTTAAGAAATTAACTTAGTCACTCATACAAAAAAATGATGTTACGATCAACGCAAAAACTAATAAACTTATTGTTTTGCAGTTAGAGTTTCTGGAAACATGAAATAAAATCAGGAAAATATAGCTTAGGCAATACAGCCTGGTATTCAACATAGGCAGATCATTCTCCCGTTCCTATAACCCCTTCACATCCAAGATTTAAATATCGACTCTCTCTTTCTCTTCTATACACTTCCTATAATTCTAATAAAAAAATTACCCACAATTTGAATTTTTATTTTAATTATATCTCTCGGTTAGTAAGAGCGCTATTAAGTAATACCATGGAAAAAATAGTGCACGAGATATCAACGTTACAGTCAAACCTGTCAGGAAACAAATAGTGCGCGAGATACTAACGTAAATTCAAAAGTTAGTTTAGCCCTTTACATCCTAACATCAGTAAAGGTATTCTCCATACTGCTCTCCCCATACATTCCCTAAGGTGTTGACAAGGAGAATTTGTGTAACAATCAAGAGCTTCTTTTGCAGCTGATCATTTCCTTTATTCTCATGACCTTACTGCATGATTCAGGTGTGATATTGTAAGGAGAAATTGGATGCTAGTCGCTCTTAGGGTTAAAGGGTTAAATTGTAAATAATGAAATGATAAATATCGTACTACCCTCGTTCTCTTAGTGCGTTCTGTACGTTTCGGAACCTCGTTTTTCTCCTCGGATTTGTGGTCCGCACACTCCGCACTTGGGCCATAAATCAGAACAGAACTAGGTCCGTAACTTTCCGATCGGACCTCAAACTCCGTTAGTAAGGGACATTTTTTTTTCTCATCACCTTTCTCGTTAAAAGTGTCGATATTTTAGGGAGAATTTACTCTCTGATCCCTCCTAGGTTTGATAATCTTAAAGCAAACTTTCCTCACCAAATAAGAAGTATACTCAGTCCACATATCCCCAACAAGACAATTTTCCTTCATAGCTCTCTCGTACAAGCATTGTATTCTGGCAGGATCTCCTTTCGTCAGTTCATACCCCAGGTATGACTTAAATTCAGTAGTCTTGGGCGGTTGAGCTGAACCCTGAATGACAAGAACCATGGCATTGTGAATAAGCGCCTTACTCAAGAAGTCTACGGTTAAAATTTAAATCTTTCTTTGAATTTAACTTTACAACAAAGAGCAAATTTTGAACCGTAACACTCACACAAACAGAGAACAAATAGTGCGTAAGATACTAGCGTAACAGTCAAACAAAGCTGAAAACAATAGTGCGCGAGATACTAACGTAACAGTCAAACAAATCAGAGAACAAATAGTGCGCGAGATACTAACGTAACAGTCAAACAAATCAGAGAACAAATAGTGCGTAAGATACTAACGTAACAGTCAAACAAAGCTGAAAACAATAGTGCGCGAGATACTAACGTAACAGTCACACAAACAGAGAACAAATAGTGCGCAAGATACTAACGTACCAGTCACACAAACAGAGAACAAATAGTGCGCGAGATACTAACGTAACAGTCACACAAACAGAGAACAAATAGTGCGCGAGATACTAACGTAACAGTCAAACAATCAGAGAACAAATAGTGCGCGAGATACTAACGTAACAGTCAAACAATCAGAGAACAAATAGTGCACGAGATACTAACGTAACAGTCACACAAACAGAGAACAAATAGTGCACGAGATACTAACGTAACAGTCAAACAATCAGAGAACAAATAGTGCGCAAGATACTAACGTAACAGTCACACAAACAGAGAACAAATAGTGCGCGAGATACTAACGTAACAGTCAAACAAACAGAGAACAAATAGTGCGCAAGATACTAACGTAACAGTCACACAAACAGAGAACAAATAGTGCGCGAGATACTAACGTAACACTCAAACAAATCAGAGAACAGATAGTGCGTAAGATACTAACGTAACACTCAAACAAAGCTGAAAACAATAGTGCGCGAGATACTAACTTTACAGTCACACAAACAGAGAAAAATAGTGCGCGAGATACTAACGTACCATCAAACAAACCAGAGAACAAATGGTGCGCGAGATACTAACGTAACAGTCAAACAATCAGAGAACAAATAGTGCGCGAGATACTAACGTACCATCAAACAAACCAGAGAACAAATAGTGCGCGAGATACTAACGTAACAGTCAAACAAATCAGAGAACAAATAGTGCGCGAGATACTAACTTAACAGTCAAACAAATCAGAGAACAAATAGTGCGCGAGATACTAACGTAACAGTCAAACAATCAGAGAACAAATAGTGCACGAGATATCAACGTTACAGTCAAACCTGTCAGGAAACAAATAGTGCGCGAGATACTAACGTAACAGTCAAACAAATCAGAGAACAAATAGTGCGCGAAATACTAACGTAACAGTCAAACAAACCAGAGAACAGATGGTGCGTGAGATAGTAACATAACAGTCAAACAGAGAACAAACAGTGCACGAGATACCAACGTAACAGTCAAACATGCCAGAGATACCAACGTAACAGTCAAACAAGCCAGAGAACAAATGGTGCGCGAGATACCAACGTAACAGTCAAACAAACCAGAGAACAAATGGTGCGCGAGATACCAACGTAACAGTCAAACAAACCAGAGAACAAATGGTGCGCGAGATACCAACGTAACAATCACACAAACAGAGAACAAATGGTGCGCGAGATACCAACGTAACAGTCAAACAAACCAGAGAACAAATGGTGCGCGAGATACCAACGTAACAGTCACACAAACAGAGAACAAATAGTGCGCGAGATACTAACGTAACAGTCAAACAAAGCTGAAAACAAATAGTGTGCGAGATACAAACGTAACAGTCAAACAGAGAACAAATAGTGCGCGAGATACCGACGTAACAGTCAAACAGAGAAAAAATAGTGCGCGAGATACCAACGTAACAGTCAAACAAACAGAGAACAAATAGTGCACGAGATACTGACTTAACAGTCAAACAAACAGAGAACAGATAGTGCACGAGATACTGACTTAACAGTCAAACAAACAGAGAACAAATAGTGCGTAAGATACTGACTTAACAGTCAAACAAACAGAGAACAAATAGTGCGTAAGATACTAACGTAACAGTCAAACAAACAGAGAACAAATAGTGCGTAAGATACTAACGCAACAATCAAACAAACCAGAAAACAAATAGTGCGTAAGATACTAACGCAACAATCAAACAAACCAGAAAACAAATAGTGAGCGAGTGACATAATCAAGTTCTCAAAACAATATGATTTTTAGGTATCTACTGGTTTGTGCTAGGATTTCAAATGATGACCTTAAAAAAACTACCAAGTTGCTAAATGGCTCTCTCAACCATTCTTATATTGGACCAGAAACAAGCGAAAATACAGTAGCCAAGTCACAAATAGTGTTGGTTTTGCATGTGCTAGTTTGAGAAGGATAGTGCAAGTAATCAACATCTATCGCCAATTCAGCTTAAGCGGAAACAAGCCATACTTCTTTAATTTTAAAAGTTAAGGTGGACATCGCTTGATATTCTTTTCACCACATTAAAATATCTTACCAGTGCATCCTCAAAAGGAAGACATTCCTCTAATTTAGCTAAAGCTTTCTCATAGGCAATCATGATTGCATCAGGAACAGAATCCTCCAACCAGTCTTCAAACTCTCTTAAGGTTGCCTGCATACCTTTAACAGAATATCAAAAAAATTGCAAATAAATAATTTAACATTTTACAAACAGCTATTGAACATTCAGGACATTACCGTGAACACAAGGAAAAGAAAACTTATCGAAGGTTTAGGGTAAAACATCTCTCTTTTTTCACAATTTTTCAGAATGATCAACAGAGCTGGCATTTGGTATTAAAGTCTCATCCCACTTGAAATACATTGTGCACAAAGTTGTTTTGAAGTTGATGCTAGTTTGTATTTCCTTTTCAGGGCAAAATGTACAAGCACACAAGAAACTTTGGGTGTTGCATTTTTTCTTTTTTTCCGCAGCTCTTTAATCAGTGATCATGACACTTGTAAAAGCCCAAAATTATTTGGAGGAAAACAAGTTAATCAGGTGTGAGACATCCAAACTCTCTGTTGTAATTTACAAATAGATTCTATGGTACCATAAATCTGTTCAAGTATAGATCACAGTTTAAGTCAAAATACAGTAAGAAAAAAAAGGAGTACATAAGGTGCAGCTAAATGTGTCACTGATGTTACAATCACAGGTTATTGTCTTCTGTGATCTACTGCTGAACAAATCCATGGCAACAGCAGTCTTTAGGTTTGATTGACTCTGATTCTGGCTCAGTGGTAGAGCATCACAGTGCGGAATCTTAAGGTCAGAGGTTCAATTCCTCATGGAAACTCAGAATTTTTTCTCTGTCCCATGCTCGTGACAAGACAAAAAACATCTTTCTTCATCATTCAGCTCATTGTTTATAAAATTGCTCTTGGTTTTGAGTTAAACTCTTGTTTCCTGATCTCCCACATGATTAGTCATTACACAACAAACTTTCTAGATATACTCTAGATGTTCTTAGTTTTCTGAGTTTGATGGTAAAACCAAAACAAACAAAAGGCAAAGAAACCTTTTACTTCAAATTTTGGCTACCTTTAAGAATTATCTTTTTCAACATATAGATCACTGCAAAGAAAGTATCCTAACAAAAGATTATATTACCAAATGAGGTTTACAAATAGTTTTGGCAAGCATATAGCTTGCCACTTAAATGGATCAGAAGCTTGGTTTACCAATGGTTATATCAATTCTGTACCTAACAGTGGAACAGCAAGCTGCCTTTTAAATACTGACATCACTCTTTCTTTTTGAGAGGAGCTGTGAAAAAAGTTGTTACGTTTTGTCAAAAAAGAGCTATTTACTTTCTTAAACCTTTATGATAAATGCATGAAGGGCTGTTAAAATAAAAAAGAATTGTTGCTAATGCACCAAAGCTTACATTTATGGAAGATAGGATTCCTTACTGCATAGGTGAGTCTAATGTCTAATAATCACTCATACTTGCCACCACAAATTCCAATTTGGACTCACCCAGCTAACTTTTAAGTAGAGGCATACAGAGCAAAAATAAAAGGCTTTTTATAAGAAGCTGCAGTTTTGCTGTGGAAATCTTGATTTTACATAAAATTATCACAATTTGTTGAGGAACAATCATCCATTTTTTGACAAAAATTTCAGGTACACAAATAAAGACGTGTGATTCTGAAGTTACAATACATCAAATAATAGTTATTTAAACATAGTGCAATCACTTTGAACTACTGTTAAAAAACCTTTTCTAAGACATGTTTGTATGCTGCAGCATTTTGTTTTTCAGAAGCACTGTAATAGTTCCATAATTTTGGTGTTTTTGTCTTTGTGTGGTTGTGCTGGTGCATGTCTTTAAGTAATTTGATAATAAATAATTGTTTATAGACTGATATACATCATATCTTACATCTTTTCAGCCATGCTTTCTTTGGTTTCCTCTGTCACGATTTGCTGTGTGAAACAAGAATGGGACAAAAATAAAATACTATTATTTCTGTAATTTTGATTACAAGAATCTGTTCATGACTGTATTAAACCCATTAAAGCTTTACCTTTATCTCTCAAAAATACATTTCATAAGAAAAATCATATTCTACCGATAAAATGCATAACCATATCTGCAATAACCCAAGCAGAACCTGCCATTTTTTCTATGTTTACTACATCAAGATAACAAATGTATCACACTGTCCTAAAAGTACATTAACAGACTGAGCAGAATGTGTCTAACTTAAGTGAAAAGAATAGCTACACAAAGTGAGAATTTAAAGCAAATGTGCAGGCTTGCACCACTAATTTGCTTCACTGCAATAATTTGATATACATAAATTATATATCCCTAGAAAGCTAAACTTCAGTAAAAGAAGGCACATTCTTACCTATCACAGAACTGAATAGACATTGCAAAGTAGATATAAAGACACACCTCTAGCGATTCTAAAATGTCCATTTCTAGCTCTCTATAGCCTTCCCAGATTGAGGATCCCTACAATCAGAAAAGTGTAAAAGCAATCAAAAACAAAACAAGGGAGCAGGGATGGTACAGTGGTGAAAGCACTTGCCTCCCACCACTGTGGCCTGGGTTCCATTCCAGGATCCACCATCATCTGTGGGTTTAGTTTGTTGGTGGTTCTCGTTCTTGCTCTGAGGATTTTTCTCTGGGTCCTCCAGTTTTCCTCCCTCCCCAAAAACCAACATTTCCAAATTCTAATTTGGTCTGGAAACAGTTAACAGGAAGGGCCACCTTGTGAAAATGTCCACCGCTAAATTATTATTATTATATCATTATTATTATCATCATTATTATTAAACAAGGACTAGAACAGATTCAGTTCATCGCTATCAAAGATAACCTCTACCTTGCTCCTAAAACATTGCCAAAGAATGTTTGCATTTCTTGTCAGGGACCTGTTTATCAAAAATCCTTGTAATTACACAGGCCTGATGCCATTTGTGTAGTGTGGGTCTTAGCGCAAAAATTGGTCTTCTGTTTTTCAGTTTTCCTTTGACCTTGTTAGTGTTTGAATTTCAAAACTATCAAATCTTGATCTATATTGAAAACACAGCAAACAGAAAAAACAGCATCTCTGGAGCAGTATAAGTACTTACTATTATAGTATAAGTACTATTGCAGTATAAGTATTATTGTACTTTGTACAATAGGCTCCTAGCAATTACAATTATAATGATAACTTATGTATTAACTGCATTATAGTACCTCGGTTACATGAAGACCAGCCGCAGTTAAAGCTTTTTCAAAAGTTGATCTCACTGCCTGAAGACTGTCTTCTCCTTCCATGATATCCATCATAAACTGACAGTATAAAATCCAAACTCGTACAGCTGTGAGGAATGAAGAAAAGTTAAATCACAGACAAGCCATGGTGCTTTTCAGGCCTAAGCTTATTTCAGGGAGTTAGCCATTAGTCAGAAATCGCATCTCCTGATGAAACAACCTCTCACAAAAATGAAAGAGGAAGGAGCAAATCAAATCAACAATAATAAAAAGTTCTCTAAGTTTCATCAATAAAGAAACTTTGGAATAATTGCAAATAAAAATTGCACAAAATAATTTACTTTGCCTAAACAAGATTTTAAACACCAAATCACAGTCGAATAAGTAAACAACTCACAAACTTCTTTCTATCAATCAGATCAACCACTTTACATACAACAGTGTTTGATTTTTCATGTCTCTGGAAGAGTCCTATTCATCAAAATATGGCTACTTTTTTGCGCAATCCCAACAACATATATTGCAAGGAAGATAAGTGCTGTTGTATATGAACTTACATTGGTAGTCTTTCACTGCTCTTTCAAACAGAGCAATGACTTTTTCTCTCTGTTCTGGGATGCATGCTAATGGAATCTCATCTTTGAGCCACTCTAGCCATAGTTCTAGGTGGAAAGATGACAGAACATATATAATTTTGTACTTAATAATATACATGGAAAAATTACTCAGTTCTGATTGGTTAAGATAAATGCAATTTTCAGGTAATTCAGTGCAGAAGAGAGTTAATTCAGTGCAGAAGAGGGTTAATTCAGTGCAAAGAAAGAAACAAATCAGACATTCTGATTGGTCAACAATCAAAGGAACTCACAGGAAGCCAATCAAATGCAAGCCTTGAATGTCGCAACAAAATTTGAAAATTTGCGAGCAAAACGATGGCCAGCATTTTAAGTAGGCTTTCTTTTGCCACCGCAGCCGAAAAACAGCTTAAACAACAAAAACACTGTAAAAAGCACTGCTTTTTGGTTGTCGGTTTGGAAAAAGTGGTGTTTAGAGAAAGGAATTGCTGAGGAAATCGAAAATTACAAGCCGACCCAGCTTAACACTTTGCTTGAGCGATCCAACGCCAAAATTAAAAAAAACATGGTTAAACCTCAGAAATGACGATTCCATTTCATCGAAAGTGATTCGGACACAGACTGAACAATTCCTTGAACTGTTTTGCCGGACTTTGAACTTTTTTGCACCTTAAAGATGTGAGGATATCATTGCATAATCATAATTATAATTTATTATTGTTTTGATCATACGTGGTTGTTTTGACCGAACGCACAGTTTGAATAAATTATTTTTGCGCTTGCTGCGCGCTTTGCTTATGTTTAATTATGATAAGCCATCTTGTATTTTTCCATGTATATTATTAACACGTAATCACATGATTTTTCTCGTGCAATTTGGAATAAACAAGCACTTGTTAATTTTTTCAAAGACCACAATTTTGTTAGTCTTTAAAAAAATTTACTCATGCTTATTTATTCCAAATTGCACTTGAAATCATGTGATTACCTATACAAATCATATACCTCAAAAAAACCTTTCCATTGTGTTTAACCCTTTAACTCCCAAGATCTGATTGTTAATTCTCCCCTCTAGCTTCTACACATTTCTTTGTAAAATGGTTATGAGAATTTGGTGGTCAATCAAAGTAATATCTTGTACCTGATGAGTTTGAGTATTCTCATTACCTGTTTGCCAAATAATGTATGAACATTATAGGGAGAAGTTACGTGTCAATCACTTCTGGGAGTTAAAGGGTTTAAACAAAACATTTCAAAATTTATTTCAATTATTATAAGACTGCTATTTCAATTGCTGGAAACTATGATCTATTAATAGGAGTGCCTCAGGGCTCTGTTTTGGGACCTGTTCTGTATCTGATGTATACCATACCCATTTCTGAAGTCATCAGAAAGCACAAACTAAACTACCATTTTTACGCAGACGACACCCAGCTTTATGTGGCCTTCAAAAATTATAACATTGACTCGATTACTGACCGGATTGCTGACTGTGTATCTGACATTTGCTTATGGATGGAGCAAAACAAGCTAAAGCTTAACAAAGAGGAAACTGACATATTATTAATTCACTCTAAATTTCAGAATAGCCCTTCACTGGATGAGATCATCCTTGGTAATGAACAACTCACTATGGCTGGAATAGTTACTAATCTTGGAATCATCTTTGACAAGGAAATATTGTTCAATGATCATATAAATCAACTTTGTAGAACTTTCATCTTAGGAAACCCGTTTAAAATTTGTAAATATCTGACAGATGATGCCACTTCTAAGGTTGTACATGCTTTTGTAACTACAAAGCTAGATTACTGCAACCATCTTTACTTTGGTCTGCCCAAATATCAAGTTAACAAAATGCAGAGGGTTCAAAACACAGCTGCTCAACTAGTCACTCGTTCATCCAAGTACAATCACATCACCCCTTTATTACAGCAACTTCACTGGCTTCTGTTTTGTATTGCATTGTTTTCAAAATTTTACTCTTTGTCTACAAAGCTCATCATGGACTGTGCCCTGGATATGTCTCTGAACAATGACAGGAGTGAAAACAATCTCGAGTAATGTGCTCAAGTTCTTTAGGACTCCTAGCAACATCAACATCAAGAACAAAAACATATGAAGTTAGAGCATTCTCAGTCTGTGCACCAAAATTATGGAATGGCCTGCCTAACCATGTCAGAAATGTTGGAACACTGCCTTTATTTAAAAAGAATCTAAAAACATATTTATTTTCTATATTTATCAACAGTTATTGTGTTCATTTTTAAATTAATTCAAATTAATTTCTTATACTTATTGTAAAGCGCCATGAGAGTTTTTTGATATGTGCGCTATATAAATATTGATTATTATTATTATTACTATTATATCATAGTAACATTATTTCAATAGAGATCTGTGAAAATGAACAACTCTTAAGAACAAACATGTCTGGTGGTTTTTAAAACACACAAAGCACAACTCATATGACCTTTTGATGCAGTAAATCAAATGTTGTTACTGAGGGGTTCATGCTATCAAGAGAAAATTACGTATGAAATGGATTAAAGGATAAACAGCAGAACTGTTTGTGGTTGTTTTATGAAGAAAAATCAAAATTCAACATAAATGTACATGTACATGCTGCAGAAGTAACTCAAGATTTTATTCCAAGGAAAGGTTTCTTCACGCTTTGAATTAGACACGATCTATTTAAAAATTAAACTATGTCAGGCAACAAATTCCATATTTGATTTACATCATTCTCTCGGCTACATCTCAGAAACAACAAAGTGAACCCATACTGCTAACGCTTACAGCCGCATGATTACAAATTACCTTCTGTCAGAGGAAAGATCTTGCTCATACCCTCTCTAGCATCCCTCAATCTATCAAGATCACCAGACTCTCTAAGAAGTTTGACGAGTTCTACATGAGAATCATAGTGGTATGGATTGCTTGCTACCTGAAAATTACAAAGCAAAAATCAAATAATAACAACTTTAATTATTCTTTTGGTAAAATGTATTTATCTCCATCTCTTAACAAACATTTGTACAGACAAACCAAACAAGGAAGACTTTTCATGAGTAAATCTTTGCTAACTGGCTCATTCCTTCTCTCCCTCCCCTCCCTCCTCATCTATAGCTCTCCTTTTTAAATCTTTAACTGTGATCTAGTGAAGGAAGGTACAGGAAGGTTCTCAGGTACTATGATTCAGTATGAGCATTTCAACAGCATTGTAAATGCCAATAGTTACTCAATTTAGTAAGCTGAAGACATGTATTTTAATTGAGTCTTATTCATGATCTATTGCAAGAGGGATGAGAACAATTTCATTCATGGTGATCAGTTAATGATTTTAGGTTGCCAGATGGTGAGTTTTGAAGTCATGAAGGATGTTGAGGAACAAGAAGGTACTGCTATGACTCAGTGAGATGAAATACATTACACAGACAGTCCCCTTGACAAACTTTACAATATTCACCTACAGGGAGGGGAAGGGAAATGGGGGATATGGCTCTCATTTTCCATTCTTTGAACTTAAACTATTTTGTCTCTCCCCAAAACTTATTTAAATTTAAAATGAAGAAAAATTGAGAGAGGGAATAACGCGTCTCATCCATACTTTTGATCAGCGAAAATGTGCAGAAATTATTTATTTCAAAATTTAAAATTCTCCTATGTCAAGATAAAAATTAAGAGCTTTTCAGGTCCCGCGCATGAGCATACTTCTGCGAATTAAATTTATGCAAAATATAGAATGAAAATTTCACAGACGCTCTTCAGTACAACGTGAACAGGTCATGAAACACTAACAGCTGTGCACATGCAAGCGTGCAGAGTTACAGCACCTGGAGCTCAAGCTGCTGAATTCTTGGATCATGAACGGCCTCATTATCATCAGAGTCTTCGGAGTCCGAGCTTCCATCTTCCTTGTTCACAGCTTCATCCATGTTCTCTTCAATATCTTGATCCTCTGTCGTTTCGCGTGCGTCATCTTCCACTTCCATCTTCGAATTATCCGCCATGTTGAACCTAGAATATAGCAAAGGTTTCTGGGTAGGAAATTTCAAAAGCCCGCGATATATTAGGGAAAAACTTTAGAGCATGCGCAGAATTTGAGATGAAGAGCAAGAAAAAATAAAAGCAAAACTGGTGAGACTGATGGAGTAAATATGGCCGACTTGGGAGAGAACTTATGCTCTCCCGATTTGAAGGAAGAGGAAACTGTCTTAGCCGTGCGACTTGCTGAAGCTCTTCGGGCAGATGAAGTTGAAACCTTTCTCGAGATTTATGACAGTATTCCATGCTCCACCAACAGGAAACGGGTGAGTTTGTAGATCTCAAAATTTGAAAACTGTTTCGGTTGCCATGTAAACAATCTGAATTTTTTTCATGATGATACTGGTACTAGGGTGTTGATATTCAAAGAGCTGTTGTCTAGTTGTTAAATACTCCAGTCTCGACAGTTTCCTGGCGGGTATATCCGAAACCAGTTGCCCGGTGGCGAAATTTATGCATTTTTGGACATGTGACCATCCATCGGGTGGATATTATGCAATTCTTACCCAATACGTCCCAGATATAGAAACGTGGACGTAAAGGTCACACAAGGTCTTGGTTATTTAAGACGAACAAGTAAAACTCCTATCAGCCCCGCGGCCATCGAGTCAATATCAGTGCGTCAGCAGTCTCGTTAAAATTCGATTTCATCAGACGAACTTTGCTCGATTGCATTACGTGGGTCTCCTACCATACTACAAAATTTTCCACGCGTGCGATTTCACTCTTTACGGAGCTTACGCATGTTTGTCAACGTGGAGTGAAGGTAAAGTGATTTTAAATATTCCAATATTTTTTCGCTTGCCTTGGATGATGGCGAGGAAAATTTGTAGTAAACCTTCTGATTCATTAGGCTGTAAGGAGAGTTCGAAGCTAAAATGTGTAATGTACAATGTGGCTTGTGCCCCATGTCAGACGTGATGTGATACGCTGCGAGTTTTTCGATGGATGATTCCATCGCTAAGCTAACCTTCTTTAAAACAGATCTAGACTTAGTAGATCAACAAAACTTATTAGTTTCGTGGATTGGTACCGAAATTCGCAGTCCAGTCGTAATTTTTTTCTCGAGCCGTGTACGCATATTAAGTATGAAACTTTAACATGTGAGATTGATATAGAGCTTGCATGGAGTACAATGGAAAAAGGATATCCGTTTATTGGTTCGCATGAACAACTGCACGAAAAAAATTCTTACTAAGCTTGTGTATTTTGAATGAGTCTGTTTAAAATCTGCTGTCTGAAACTGTTGTTGATATTTATTGCAAACATGCTTAGACAAACTCTGTACCATGCACAACTTTCCGCAGACATTTCATTTGTACTTTAGGTGCTCAATATCACTTAGTGTGTGGTTGATGAAATGTTTACGTAAGATTTTTTTTATTAATTTGTTGGGTGTAATCAAATCTACTGTAAAGTAATTTGAAACTATATGGAATTATTTTACGCCACGTCTACCGAAAGAGTGATTTACTTTATCAACGATCTATTTTTCTTACTTGCAAAGTTAATATTGATGATTACATCATCTGATAGAAGTGCATTGTTTTCAGGTATAAACCTCTCCAGAAGCACAGTTTTAAAAGAGGAAAAATTACTTAATGTTGAGATTAAGTGACAAAGTATCATTATCCTGTTGAAATCCGGCAATGAAAACTGTTCAGTTGGAAAAATCCTCAACCATTAAGATTGTTATTATGTAATCCGTGGCATCATTATGCCAGACAATTGGAAAGATCGTCTGGACAAAATTCAAATTTACCAGAGCCAGTAAAGCTTGATATTAGTGGTTATTGGTTTGCATCCTATATATATATTTATACTTGTACCACTTTTAACCAAATATCATAATTGCATTTGAAATGCATTTTTGTTTTACTTCTGTGAGATTGATCGCGAATGTATTCTTGTATTGGGACCTTTGTTCACATTGTATTGTTAAAGGGAAGAGATTGGTTGATCTGTTTGTTAAACAATTAATATTTTAGTAACATTTCAATTTGTCCTCTGCAAACTTTGTTTTATGGCAGATTATTTTTTATTTCTAGTTTTACGTAAAACATATGATATTATATTTGACTTGCCTTCTTGGTTACATCTCTAGTTGATGGCTGAAATGGTCAAGAAATCTCATAGTTTAACTGTCGGGCGACTCTAGCTCTTAACATTCATCTGAAAAATGTGATGTTGGTGGTTTTTGTTTGCTGTTTTGATACTTGAGATGTTGTCGTTTCAATCATAATAGCATTATTTTTTTCAAAATAACACATGAAATCTAATAACTTCATAAGATGTTTTCCCTTTTGTTCCATTTTCAGGTTGATAAAATAAAAGAGATGGCCAGACAAGTTGCAGCACTTCCTAAGAAAACATTTGAGCTCTATCGCTCAAAGAAAATACTATCTAGTGGGGATCATGCATTTTTTCCTCCAGGTTCAAACCAAATTTTAAAGGACAAGTTAGCCCCAAATTCCTTCTCCATAACAACTACAATCAACAATTTACCAAGGGAGCTAAGTAAAAATCAAATTAAAGAGGATATAAATGGACCTGCAAATAATCCTGTGGCAGAAGAAGAAGACCCTGAAGTGAAACCAAAAAGTAGAAATAAAAAGAAGAGAAAATCAAAAAAAGGCAAAATACCAAATTCTTTACAGGAATCTTCAGTAGCAAACAGCATTAATAATACAGAAGAACCAAATGCAAGTAATTTGGAGATGAAACACAAAGTTCTTGGTCCAGAAACTAATGCTCCTCTACATGTCAGTATGAATACCAATCTTGTTGCTGACATTTCAAATGGAAGAGATTTGGAAATGACACAAAGTTCCAAACCAATTGATGTGGACTTGAGGTCTTGTGGAAGTTCCTCATCAAATGACAGTGGAATAGTGACCCCAGATTCTGGATTAGGTAGGGATCTCTGTTTTTTAACAATGTTTATAATAATTGGGGAAACATAAAACAAGAAATTTAAAGGGATATTTAGTGAGCATTTTACTTTTCTTGGTTAATGGTATCTTTGAAATGCCATTTGACCCAAGTATTCTTGCCATGTTTGGTTTTCACAGCGCAAGTTTTTTAGGTTATAGTGCATTCTAGTTGTAAGAATTTTATGGTTTAGCTTTGTTCACTGCCCAAGGTTTACTTGCATGCTAAGTCTATAGCTCTTTCAACCATTAAGTGCAACTTGTTTGTCAGGAAAATTTGTATTAAGTAATCCTATGAAAATGATCAAGAAAGGAGTTTGCCTTGAAACTATATCTGCTGTTCCTTGTTGTATTAGCTCAGTAGTTAGAGAAACTCAGCTAAAGGAATATTCACTTGTTGCTTGTACTGTGAGGGCTGCTGTGTTGTTATGATTAACAGACAATATTGGAGAATTGGTATACATTGTGGAGGATGTATTGGCAAATAGTGATTCAAATCAACTACCCTTTCCTACTGTAAATGATCATTCTGTTAAGCCATTAATAGTGCAAGATGTAAACTGTTTCCATTTACTGGTACTTGCTAGAAATTTATGCTTTCATTTTTTTTTCCTATAACCTAAGGATCACATACCTCACCAGTCTTTACCAAGGAACCACCATTTGGATTCCCACCTTCCTCTGAAAAGCTTTTGGAATCTGCCCTAGGACTCTTACCCAATGTAGAAGTTGGAGAGGACAATTCATTTAATAGGACAGAAACTACAAAAATGATAAAAAACAGCTCCCCAGACCATGTTAGCAACCAAAAAGAGGCAAAGCAAAAGGTAAAAAATTGTCAAACTTCATCAACAGATACTAAGGACCTATTAAGGAAAGAAATTGTGAAGGAAAATATGAATTCGTATGATATAGAGGATGACCCTGTCAGTGACATTTCTGATGCTAAAGAAGTGTGTAAAGACTTTGTCGTACTTGAGGGAGATTCTGTGGATGGGGATGTCTCAAGTTCATCTGCGGTTGAAGAAGAGGGTGGCTGGCAGTCACAAACAAGAAGATCACAGCGCAAGAAGAAGAAGGATCTTGCAGTAAGAACAAGCAGGGAAAAGAGTCACATGGACAGATTTCAAAGGAGAGACTTTCACAAACAACAATCTGACAATCAATTTAGGAAGAATCATCATCATAGGAAGTCTGTTGATGATAAAAAGAATCACTTCAAATCATCTGACAGTAGACACAGTACTGTTTACACAGAGCCTTCAGTAATGAATTCAATTGTGCATGGCCAGTTACAAGCTAAGACTGACAGAGACAATAAAGTAAAATTTAATACAAGACCTGATGATAAAAAGGAGGTGTTGGAAACTCCCAAAGGGTTCTCTTATAGGGATGCATTGATCAAGGCAAGAGGAAAAGGTAGGTTTTCTGTAAAATTCTTTATAATATCAGCTCTATTCGTAGAGGCAACAACTGTAGTAACTGATTTCAGTTTAGTGGCAAAAATTAGCCCTGATTGGCATTGGAAACTGGCAAAATTAAAACAATTGGAAATTGTGAAACAATAAAGGTTCATCTTTCAGTGTGATGTTTTTCACCATTTCCAACATCTTTCCCATGTTTGTACATACATGTATTATACATGCTGATAGGTTGAGTGTATGATTCAGTCATGTGAAAGATAAATGAGAAATGTATAAACAGTGCATGAAATAGGCAAGTATAACTGTGACATGAGTTAATACTTTAAGACATTTTTGTCAGAGATTGTTTTTTAGAATATCAGCTTTAAGTTCAGTGTCAAATAAAATGTCAAACAAGTGCCTTGAAACTATCTCTACTGTTCAGTTCTGTAATAGCTCAACAGTTGGACCAACAAGGCTATAAAAAAAATTTCTAATTACTTGAGAACCACTGTCTTGTTACCAATACAGAGTAGTGGGGTAAAGATTAGGGACATATTTTATCTAACCCTTTATACCTTAACATCAGTGCACATGTTCTTTGTACTGTTATTTGCACATTTCCTAAGGTGCTGATGATGAGAATTTGTTTAACAATCAAGAGTTTCCTTAGTTGGTGATCATTTCTGTTATAAATACTGTTGGGAAAAATAAGCAATGGTCACTCAAAGGGGGCAAAGGTTTAAGGTGCAGTTAGTATATTGCTTAAAAAAGAAAAAGGAAGAAAGCAAAAGAGATTAATGTGATGTTAAACATTATGCTTTAACTTAGTACATATGTTGATTATGTTTTACAGTTGAGCCTCATGAAAGTAGTGACAGTGGAGTTGATGCTAACAGTGTCAGCTCTTGTGAAATGAGCTGTCTGCAAGTGGAGACACAGAGGGACATGTTCAACCAAAAGCAGTGTGTGGACTATTTATGCAATGGTGAGTGTTTATCTTAAAATTATTTCTTTCTCATCTTAACTCATTTACTTGATTGTAAGTCAAAACTTGTCCCAGCTGAGATGTCAACAGACTGAGTGAATGAAGGAACTTTTCAGATGGAGGATGTTTTCTTTTTCAGTTTATGCTGGATGCAAATAGACAACAGCCCTGAATATTTTTGTTTGTATGTGCTTGAAGCAGCTATTTTATCTCTTTGTTTTTTAACCCTTTTACTCCTAGATCAAATTTGTCATTCTCCTTACTGTCAACTGTTCAATTCTTGTATTGTTAGTTCAGAGAATTTAGTGTTAAGTCAACTAATTATCCTCAAATCGATATTTTCCTTCATTCTCATCACTTATGTGGCAGATATTGTATTGATATTGTAAGGAGAAATTCTGTCTTGGTCACTCATGGTAGTGAAAAGGTTAATGATAATAATTATTTTTCAACTCGTTTGTTACTTGTCATTTCAGCATGGAAGAAAGTAATGCTTGAAGCAAAGGAAGGTGAGTACAGATGTAATATTAGTCTTGATTATATCATTTTGTTCACTTCTCCACAGTTTTTTGTTGCAGGCATTTCTGCAAATTTCTGTATTTGTTATTAGAAATATGAAAGAAAACTCTTGTGTAAGGCAGGTTACTGCACAGGAATCTTTTCTTTTCCTCTGCTGAGCTGTCACAATTATGACACAAGATTAAAAAGTGTTCCTAATCCTTAAAGAATGACCATATGGTTTGTCATCATCCCTAAACCAAAACTGTAGAACAAATGGAACAAGGGAAGTAACCTTTTTGAAAATTATTGCCCTCTGTTTTTCTAGGTCGTGTGATTTACTTCAGTGTGGATTCAAATCCAGTTTTGTGTGAGCAGAAGCGTAAACAACAGGCTGCCAATAAGATGCGTTCAAAGCAGCATTAGAAGGAGCTAGTTCTTTTCTCCTGGCAGAATATGAAAATGTTCTAAAATGTTTAACTTAGCAGCTGATCTTAGAGTGGTTAGTCCACTGGGCTCTATTTATCTTACTTACAGAGCAGCAGCTAATTTAGTTAGGTAGGTATTTAATATTATTTCTCTCAGCAAATTGAGTGTTGTTTTGAGAGTTGATTTCAATTTCAGAGTATATTCTGGAATCTTGGATATAAAGTTACATTATAATTTAAATTTGTAGGTAAGTGTGACATCTGAGTGTCAGAAATCTAAGTAATTTATTTTAGGTTACAATTTCATTTCAACTCAATGATCCTTTATGATTGAGCTACATCACTGATATACTGTAGCAAGCATTGAACTAAGAACACTTCTCATTAGTTAGAACTGGCCCATCAGATCAGTTTAAAAATCTCTCGGTAGAAAAAAAATTAAAAACATTAAAAAAAGATAGTAATCAATTGATTGATTGTGGATCAGTCCATTTTCAGTTCGTAGAGATGAAGTTTGGACTAGGAAATGGGGCTCATTGCTTGACTTTTAAGTGAAAAAATTCAGAAAATCTAGCCAAACTTCAAAGCAAATCATCTCAGACAAAAAAGAGAGATTAACTGAAGTATATTCTTCAATGTTAGATGAGACAGAAGACCAAAACTTGCGGTCTTGGAAATGTACAATTCCTATTAAAAAGTGAAGATGTAAACTAGGCTTAAAAGGGTAGTATTTGTATGAAGAGTGGCTTTCTCTTCAGTTCCTGATTCAGGAGCTCCAAAAATGAGAGCTTAAAATTTACATATTCTACAGGACCTTTTTTATATTAATAGTGTTTCTAAGCCTTAGATGATCAGTTACATTTAAGTCCCAACTGCCTTATCGAAATTTCAACCCACTATTTAAGGGCATAGGGAATGATAAGGAAGTGAATTTTTCATGGAATATTCTACTCCTAACTTAAAATATATTGAACTTTGTACAGTTTATGGGCTCTGTCTGATCCCTTTTTCATACCATCTTCACTTTACTAGGAATTAGTAAAGAAAACTAAAAAACTTCAGGTCAGTTTTCATTTTTTTAAATTTATGTTGAGAAACCAAGAAGACGTTTTTGTTTGTTTGTTTGTTTTTTTTTTTTTTTTTTTTCAAGACTCGTGTTAGGTGTTTGACGATTCACAGTTTGTTTCGATTTATCTTCATAATAAATTATCAGTGTGAATGATTTTTCTGCAGAATTAAATCTAATCATGTATATAGTTTGGGAAATTATTTTCAAGCTGTGCTAAAGGATTGTTTCTTCAAGGTATTTAAAAGATTATGAGGGTGGTGACAAATCTAGAATGCATTTGGTTGGGATTTGATAGCGTTAATATCATTAGTTAAGAGAAGTGTGAACAATTCAAACCCCAATTTTTCTGTGAAACTTAATTAGGTGAAAATTTTGACCGTTTGCAATTTCGTTTCTTTTTGGGAAGGGTTCGAGCTGTATTGAATGATAGACTTTTCGAAGATTAATTTATTTTTTGACATAACAGACCCACTGCAAATCTTGTCTGCTGTGTATGTGTGAAAATCATAGACTCCTGGATTTTCTTTGTCTTCTTCTTTCAGGAGCAAATATGAGGGAAAACATATTTGAATATTTGAAACTAATTTGCAAAAAAAGTTTCCCAGTTTTTCCGCTGGTTTGTTGAAAGTCGCCATGTAGGTAGATTTCATTGGAGTAACCGTGATGAAATATCTATTTTTTCAATTGAAAGATATGAAAACTTTATTTTAAGCATTGGCATATTTATGTAGTTATGGTAGAAGGCTGGGAACAGCTTTAAAAAACGGCAGCTTTGCTAACAAGAACCAATGTTTTGCGATCTGTGGTGAACACCTTAAGCTTTCATGAAAGACACGAGCTCGAATATAATTTATTTCTTCTGAGACGACTGCTGGTTTCCCGCCTTGTGCTGAGTAATTTTGGGGGTTATTTTTGTAAGGTAATTTATTGTTCTGATATTTCTGATGAGAACCAATTATTTCGAGTAATTTATTGTTTGAAAAATACATATTTGATACATTTTCTGACGAATCCTGTAGAATAAAGCTCTAGGAAATATAGACATACTTTTTCTACTCGTTTAGAGCTTTCTTTCCCAAGCTGACTTGAATGATGTACGATAGGCTTTATTCATCTCAGTAGCTTGGTCTCGACTTAACTAGTTCGTCATTTGCAATTCGTCAATTAAAGGTACGAAAGCTATGGTTGCAAACTTGCTGCTAGTCAGGGAAAGATTTAATTAACTCATTATTTATAGTTTGAGGATTAAAACATGAATTTTTACAGAAGTTCAAACTGTGTCTGCGTTTACTTGTGTCAACCTTGCTTGCTAAGTGAATTGTAGTTAGACGGTCTTGTCCGCGTCCCACGGGCTTATGTTAACCCTTTACACCCTAACATCAATATGTATATTCTCCATACTGTTTTCTATACATTTCCTAAGGTGCGAACAAGGAGAATTTGTTTATCAATCGAGAAAATATTTAGTTGGTGATCATTTCCTTTATTCTCATGACCTTACTGTGTGATGCAGTGGTTATACTGTTGGGAGAAATTAGATGCAAGTCACTTTCAGGGGTTAAAGGGCTAAGGAAACTTTACCCTTGTGACCAGTTTTAAAGGTGTCTTGCCAACTTACATTCGAGATGATTGTCAGTGGTTATGTAGCTTACTCTTACGGCCGAAACACCCATTCTAAGAGCTCTCAGTGTCTCTTTTATTTTTTTTTTAACCTAGCGAGTCATTACCTTGTGTTATGACTTCTTTTATTGCTGATTTTCAAACATGTCCACGTACAAACACTTAAGTGACGAGGAAAACAAACTGAACCCATTCCATGGTGGTGAAGGGGAAAACAGTGATAAGAAGTTGAACCCCTTGCGTAGTTTTCCTAAATGCGTCCATTGTACATCAGCACCAGTACGGGATTGACGGATGTCTAAAGTAATTTCCTCGCGGAACTTTTGATTGCAGAATCAAACTATGATTCATTTGAAAGTCTCAACAGATGTCAAAGCCCCACACGAATACAAGAATTTAAGCACTCAGAAGCGATTCACTTAAAGTAAGACATCAGATTGACGATGTGAAACGTCCTTTTAAATTATTAAAAGTCTCGACACACTATCAGATTACGAGAAAAAGGCCAGCTATTGAAGTCCACTAGCAAGAGCCTCGGAGTGATGGAAATTCGTTAGCTGTGGGTTGTCCAAACTTTCCAATGAGTTCGTCATAGTCAGCGTACTTAGAGAAGAAATGGAACGGACGTATTGTGGTCGAAGAACTCCGATAGGCTTTGGTTCAGGTTTGGGCTCGTATGGTTGGTTTTTCTCAGGGCGGAAGATAATTATGTACAACTTTGGTCCAAAAAGGCAAACAAGACCTACAGTGCAGCAAAGTATGAAAAGAAAACAAGTCGTAATTGTTCTGTGAAGTCCCTTTGTGCCTAAAGCTGTTGGAATGAAAACCGCTCCGCTTATACACACGGTGACCATGCTGAAGGCGATGAACTTGGCTTCGTTGTAATTTGCGGGAACTTTTCGTACTAGAAAAGCTTGGTATGTACAAAGAAGAATCAGGGCAGCGTTGAATGCCGCCCATATCGTCACGCCCTCTAGTGACTCCCCCATGCACTCCAGCACGACTTGGTAGCTTCCGTAAGTGACTCTCACAGATTTTTGCGGCGAGATGATGATCCAAGTGGCTGCAATGCAGTTCTCAACCACAACACACAACAGTACAAAGAGAAGCTGCCACTTATTGCTCAGGAAGTAAGCCTTGCCAGTGCGCATGGTTTTCAAGCTGAAAATCCGCGCGATACGATTGGTCTTCGCTAAGAGAGCGCCAATCACCAAAGCTACTCCTGTGCTGATTAAAAACGGGCGAATTTGGCACAACAGGGGTGTCGGTTGCAATATGAACTGGATGGGAAGGGCGTAGCACCATGCTAAACCAAACAGAAGCACGTAAGAAATTCCTCGGCTAGAAGCCTTCACAACAGGTGTATCCCTTTGTTTAAACATTGACACAAAGGTTACCAAAACAGCACTTATGCCCACTCCACTGACACAAGCTACTACCATGCCGGGCGTGGTGCGAAATATCTCTTTCGAGGGAATTATGATGCAATAGGACTTGCCACTATTGGCTGTCATTCCATCCGGGCAACTTACACACGCCGTCGCTTCTGATTGGTTGCTGATTCTGTTGCCATCACAACGAAGGCAGTTCCAACAGCATTCCGGGTAGTGTTTCTTCGGCTCTTTCCAATGCCCAGGTCTACATCTCGGACTACACCTTGCAAAGGACTGAAAGTCACTGAAAGGATGTCGATAGAGCTCGAACGGAGAGCAAAATTTAAATCTCTCTCCTAAATACCAACTCCCAAGAGTGTCAAAAAAGAATTTCCCGCCGCGTTTGTTAAGAAAAATTATATTGTAGTAAGCTTTCGCGCTTCCACTATCGTCAAATGACACCCGCTGACCAGTAGGCGATACAAAGGAAGAGTTCTTGATGAAGTCGTACACTTCAGATTGTATGGTATTCGAGACGTGGATAAGACAAGCCTTGTCAGAACAACGATACATGTTATGCAAGCCATACGCCACAGCATACACTGCGTCTATTGCAGTAGTCGTATATGAAGAATAATCTATAGGTTCAGTTGAATTTAACAGTTTCTTAACATACCGTTGGTAAGTCCTCAACCAGGGGTTCCGATTCAGGCGTTCTTGAGTGATGTTCTCAAAATAATCTCTGAAAGGCTCGTAAACTTTCGAGTTGGGTTCTATGTTGATCCAGTATTTTAAGATTTCTTTGTTGTTGCGCAAAACTGAATAAGATCGAGCGAATGCGTCAGAACCAATCCATATGTAACCAGCCATGTTTTCCTCCCGAGCCACGTTAATGAAATAATCTGCATCATTCAGTTCGGCGAAAAGCACGATGACTTTTGCTTCGGGATGTTCGCGAATTTTCGACATAATTTCGCGCACTTTCGCCTTAGGTGTTCGCACGGTGAAGACTTCGTCGACTGCAATACAAATGCGAGAATAGTTTTGACTGCTCCCGATCAGTTGCTTAAAAGCATCGATTCCCGAGCGTCCGTACTCCGTATCTGAGGCAACAGTCGAGACAAAGTTCCAATCCAATTTGCGAATGATGTCAACCATGGCTTGAGCTTGACGCGTGTCAGACGGAACAGTGCGTAAAAAGTTCTTGAATCGTTTGCGGTCGCTTAGAAGCCGACTGGTAGAAGCGTAACTAACGACCGGAACGTGGAATAGTCCTGCTAGATTTGCCACAGCGATTGTGATTCCACTGTAAGCAGCTCCTACAAGAGCAACGCCCTTATCTGGAGACGTTTTCAGCATGGAGGCGTTAAGCGTCAATCCACAGGCTCGAATATTGTCAAGTTCCGCGCGCATATACGCTGCACGGATAAAACCGAACTGTAAAGATTCTTGAATCGTATGATCAACGCTGTTGCAAGTGTCTTTAATGTCGACACCCAGGAGGATTCCCGGCAGTAAGGTTTTGTTTTGGTTGATTTGATCCAAGGCATAGAGAATCGCTTCAGCATGCTGAATGCCACGGAAGTTGAACGGTCCCCCGCAATGATGAGAGAACTTTCCGTGTGAGTTCTGCTCCGGATCCTCTTCTCTTGTGCCCTGAGGATAATGAATCGGCGCTAGACCAGCTAACATGACATCTCCTGCTATAAAAATCCTTGGAGATTCATTCTTCAATATTTTCGCTTCGACAAAAAATACATTTACACTTAACAGAGTCAACCAACAAACAAACATCTCCATTGGAAGAAATCGAGAAAGTTTTCACTTGGAGATGCTCATGCAATGGTGAATTTTTTCAGCAGATGAAAAACTTCGGTTTCCTGTTGTTCTTCTTCACAATGTGATAACTATTTATTGAGCCTCGTAGCGGTAGCCTTTAACTTCGTTTTGCAACCAAAATTAATGCCTTTACGACTTGAAAACCCAGCAATTAAAATACGTCCATCACTCGGGGAAAAAAAAACTTCGTCTCAGCTTCTTGCTGATAGCCCAGGCCTGAAGTTGCAAACACCTTACTGAGGAGTGCCTTTCGCAGTAAATGTTCTAAAGAAGTTTGAATCAAAGGCCAAAATGTTTTGCTCTAATGTTTGGCTCCTGTTCAAATGCACTCCCTGTATGTCGTTCGTTTCCGTTTTCCGCGGCATCTATGCGTACATAAGAACGGCTAACAGAAATAATGAGATGTGTGCAAACACTGAACGAACAAAGTGTCAAGTTAAACGGTGTGAGCCTTTTAAATTGAGGTTCGACTTGACGTTATAAAATTTAACTTCCCCTACAACCGGATATCAATTGCTGTACAGCAGACATTGTTATTTAGGGATTTTATCAGCTAAAACTTCTAATTGTCCAGGCTCTTTAGGTTTGATTTGAAAAATTAGATCACACAAAAGTTGAAAATTTGAGTCAGTTTGAAAATTGAAAGCCCTAATCGGCTGTTCTTGTTGCTGAAATTGGTTTGCGGACTAAAAAAATTAATTTACATACAAATAAAATTCTGATAGCAGAGCAAATACGAAGAATTCCGGCAGGTGTAAAGTAGTTATTAAAATTTAATAATGAGCTCAATATTTTTGAAAATCGAGGCTTCTGATCGGTGATGCACTCGGAGTAATAGTGAAAATTGTCCTCGGTCATAAGTAAATTCCGCTTTATCATCCAATTGTGGACAGTTTCAAGGAACATCAACACCTTGTTTAAAAACTCATCTCTTCGATGTCATTTATAGCATCATTTGTTTGCACTTTTGGGAGACCTGAATCGGTGTTTATTAACTTTCATTTGAGTTTGGCAATTGAGTCTAGAAACCTCTCAAGTCTTAATGGAAAGGATTTCTTAATATCTATTATCTGTAAGAGAACACGACGGTCTAAGGAAATTTTGATCGATATCGTCTCAATCGATAAAGCAGATCAACAGCTTTCAGCATGACATTTTTTTTCTGTCAGCTTAATTAAAAAAATAAGTTCAACTATTTGACTAACTTGATGACAACAGCTTGATAATGGAGTTTTTCAAAACAGCCACACTCTTCAATAAACAGAGTTTACAATGCAATCGTTTTTTCCCTCCTCTATTGATTTCTTGGTATCTCAAAATTAGAACAGAGGGTAAATTATGTGCTCAAACCAACTGTCACAACATTTCGTTCCGCCGAGAGTTAACTGGGAATTAGTTTACACACAGAAACAAATACACCAATCAACACCCTCTTTTAAAAACAACTGCGCTTCCGATAATTTGTCTCTCTTCTAGTGTTCCAAAGGTTGCTAGAGTAATGCCGCACAGCATCCCAAGGTTGTTTTTGGTGACAGAGACTAGAATTTCGACAATCTGCACAGACTTCGAGCTGTTTTCAGAGCAAAGTACATCAGTAGAATTTTTCGCGTCTGGTTTGTGAAAACGACTAGGTTACTTTTGCCGAGATGCTAAAAGCTTGGACTCGGCTTATACACGCTATATATGATTGGTCAGCCGGTTTCGATCTGTCGGTAAAGTTTGGTCGTTCGGTTAGGTTCGTGAATGAGTCGATTGTATGGTGCTGATGGTTGTTGACGTCTGTTAAGATGATATTTTTTTTCCGATTGAGTCAACCAGCTTTCTATCGTCAGCCCATTTTTCGTGTTTGAAGCTGCAGGAACCGAGCCGCATAAAAGACTGGTAGTGGGGGAGGAGGGGGGCAGGGCACAATGACCCTGGACAAGGCTCAACCATGTCACGTTCTGCGAACCTAGAAGGTCGATGAAATTTTCTCTGCTCGTATGGCACTGATAAACGATGAAAATAAGACACAAAATCATTCAAAATCACACATTTTGCAAGAATTAAATACAAAATATTCTCTTTGTTTAATTGGCGTACGATTACTTGATATGATCTCCGCGCGAGACCTATATTACATTAAGATATGACTTCTTTAAAAACCTTCTAATGTGACCCATAATATAGGCGTATCGCTATCTTCATATAACACTCTAAAATATCTTTAAAAAAGAATGACTAAAATTTGTTGTATAACAAACTAAAAAATTACAGTCTTAATTTCAATCCGTATTAACTAAACTTTTCAAAACACCTTTATACCAGTGTTTGAAAACGACAAATAAGCATCGGCTCTGACAGGGAATTCAATGATTTTTCTTCCTTCATTGTCTCAATCTTCTCATGGGCTGCCTTGTCACAGATTCTGAACAAACTGTGTAACCAATGGGATGTAATAACACCACTGCAACTGTTTTCGCGCTGGTTTGCATTTCGATAATCAGCCGACATGTTTCCTTGTTATAGAGCTGTGGTGAGCAGCACTGAAAATTTCACAGCTGAGCTTTTCGGTCGGCCGTACCTCTAACTGATAAGAGTATTAACTTTGAAGTATTTTTCTGGCTATTGCTTTCTCTATCCAGAGTATTTGTTGTCTATAAATGTTTTTTTGGATACCCTCCCCTCCCTCGGGAAATCCGAGATGAACGAGGATAACCTTTTATTGTGAAAGGCACTGATGTTTTCATTAAATATGTATTTTTAAAAATATGTTTTCTCTTTGTAATATATTTACTTAATAGTTCACCAGTTGCGTTTTGTTAAAAACGATGTCGTGTAAAATTTTAGGATGCAAATCAAATAGAAGACGAATCTAGATCTAAGAATCAAATGGCATTTTCGTTGAAAAAATTCACTGCCACGGAGGCTTTTTGAGACAGTATGTTTCCTCCACAAATGTCTCAACATCCTACCGATAAATTAAGCTAAGTCTCCTCGTTGATAACAAAAAACGTTTAAAACCGGGTGTGTTTAATACTGATCATCCTTGAAACCAGTCTGAATCAACATTACACAAGCTCCTCAAAATGTAAGTAACCTAAATAACTATCTGATCTAACCTGATGTTTTCAAACTATCTAACAGCAACAGATCTGTGTATGGCATCTCGACGGTAAACTTCAAAAACACTACTCCGGTCCGTGCCATAAGAGGCAATCTAAAGAACTGCAGAAACAACTCCATCATTCAGCACCATTCCTCTTGTTCACTACAAAAAAAAACAACAACAACACAAACGTTTCAAATACACTTTAACCCTTTAGACCCTAACATCTGTACGCATAATCTCCATACTGTTCTTCATATATTTCTTAAGGTGCTATCAAGGAGAATTTGTTTAACAATCAAGAGCTTCCTTAGTTGATGATCATCTCGTTAATTCTCACGACCTTCACGTTTGGTTCAGGGGGGATATTGTTGGGAGAAATTAGATGTTAGTCACTCACAGGGGTTTAAGGGTTCACTGAATTTCTAAATGCCACAAAATACAGTAAAGGTCGACGGAGCGATATCGAAGATAGAAGAACAATTCACATTAATTAATTTAGTGGAACAATACTGAAGCGTAATTTGATTGAGTGTCGTAAAATTCAAAATCACAGTACATCACAATGGAAAATCAGAGCAAAGCAAATATATCAAAAGAAGCCAACAGGAACTCAAAATTAAAACAAGAACTCCTCGAAGCGCGGGAAAACGCGAGTACGAAGTCGCTATTTGTTTCAGTTTGCATCTGATCGTGAGATGGCGCGAGCTTTCTGAACCAATCAGAAAATTTCGCGCCATATCCTAAGCCAGTAAGATACGAGACTAAAACCAAACGCGACCTAGTCACTCGCGTTTTCCCGCGCTTCGAGCACTTTGCTCATATTCACACTAAATTCTCATTGGTTTTTCTCAATGTTTTCCTTCGCTTTGATAGGCTATACCTTGACGCAAGCGAAGTGTTGATGACGTGCAAGAGGGTGGGGTCCCTGTCCTTCAGCATGGCCAATAGCTGGTCCAGGTATAACTTATTTTGTTCATGTTCCTCCAGCTTGGCTTCCATGTCTTTTACAGCTTCAGTCTGCACAAACACAAATACCATTAAACAAGGTCACATCGACAAAGCTCCAGCAGATTTCCAGCAGAAGGCTTTGTCTTGAAGATTCGCCGGACTACGCCGGTTTAGAGATCTTAAACCTGTGCTACTATTTTAACGCAAACTATTCATTGATTGGGAAGAACACACATGAAATTTCACTCACAATACGCTGGATAAACTTGAGAACGTCGCTTGCAATAACAACCAATCTTGCATTAACTTACCAAAGTATTTATCTTGTTTTCTGATTCCTTCAGCTTCTTGTCTTTTTGTCGAGCAATTGTTTCTGCGGTGCTTACCTGTTTGGTTAAATACTGGGTAAGAAAGAACAGAACAGAGGAGACATTAGTTTGTTAAAGTTAAAACAAATTTGTGGACATTGATGTAAGGTGGAAAGCTCACAAAATCACGTATCCTTTCTTATAAGGCCTGACAACTCAAGGAACAGACAACAGAGCTCTGCGCAAGTCAAATACGATAATAACCAAATAACAAAAGATCAGTAAAAAGCGCGAGATTAGTCATTGTGTAACAGGAATTTTTCTCCTTAATAGTTTACAACGAGTCCGATGATTTGCTTAACCCCTTGACCCCTAAGAGCGACCAGCATCTAACTTCTCTTTACAATATCACCACTGAATCAAACATTAAGGTCACGAGAATAAAGAAAATGATCGCCAACCCGAGAAGCTTTGATTGTTCAACGAATTCTCCTTGTCGGTACCAAGGGGGATGTATGGGGAAGAGTATGAAGAATATAGATACTGATGTTAGGGTTGACTTTGAGTTCCTTACATTGACTATCTCATTATTTAACAACGCCCAAACGAAATGCGCACTATTTAGGTACTAGAAGACTTTTACATAACCTCAATTAAACACGAAAGGGGTTGAATTCTTGAAAGTACTACAAATCCTCGACTGCGTTTCGGGTTTGCATACCTTTGGAGAATTCTCTTAACTCCTCGATTGCTACGTAAACACGAAAATATCCTCTGTTACATTTTTGAAATATTTCTTGAAAATAATTCGACGAGTGACAAGCGTGTTCACATACTCTCATCTACACACACCTTTTGACCAACGAGAGCGCGCGTGTACTATCTTAGATATCTTAACAATACTTACAGTCTCCACATCACGAAGCTCTTTGTACTTCTGTTTAAAGGACTCGTTTTCCTTGGCTTCTGCCGCTAGTTTGGCCACAGCTAACTTCAGTTCATCGACTTCTTTCGTCCTTTCAACCAAGAATATGTTCTCGAGTTTTAAATCCTCAACCTCCTTTGCGTTGTTCTCCGCATCTTTCTTTTGAGCCTGACTCCTTTCGCTTTCTTCCAACTCGGCTATCCTGTCCAACAGCTGTTGTTTCTCGGAAGCGGCATCCTCCAGCTCTTTCTGCAGCTTGTTCGCCCTCTCTTGGCTCTGTTTTTCCATTTCACGCATCTGGGCGGTCAACTTGATAATATTTGTTTTCATCTCCTCTGCGTCCTTGCTCTTAGATGCTACCTCTAGGTTTTTCTGTCTCAAGTTTTCCACTCTGTCGTTTTCACCTTTTTTGGATTCTCTTCTCTCGCGCTCTAACTCCTTCAACTTCTCAACCAACTCTTTCTTCTGTGCTTGGCTTTTCTCCAACTCCTGTCGAAACATATCGCCCTCGTCAACTTTGCGAGTGAGTTCTCGGTTAACTTGCTTCAATTTCTCCATTTCATTTACCTCCATTAACAATTCATTGTGCTTTTGCTTCAGTTCTGCAAGTCTCGAAGCAAGCTCATTTTGACCAGAGCTGGACTCTTGATTCATAAGTCTTAGCTTCTCTAGTTCCTTTTCTTGAGAATCACAGGTATCGCGTAACTGTCTCAAATTCTCCAGCTCCTTTTCGTTGGACGAAAGTTCGTTGTTTCGAGCGTAAAGCCTTTCGATTTCGCGATCCCGCATAGCCGTTTCATTCTTAAGCTTTTCCTCGAGGTCATCAATTCTTCTCCGCAATTCTTCATTCTCTTGTCGAAGCTCCTCCAACGCACGGTCTTTCTCGACCAAAGACTCGTCCTTCTCTGACAGCTTGCCGCGCGCTACGCTTCGCATTTTGAGTTCCTCATTCTCTCGCCGCAAGCTTATCAGTTCGTCCTCTCTCTCATTAAGCGTGTCACTTCGTAAACGCAGCTCTTTCAACTCCTCTTCTTTGGCGGCAAGCTCATGACGGACAGCCTCTAACTCCTGAGAAGCGATCACCTCGGATTCCTCGTCGATGACTTGATCCAGCTCGTTCAAACCCTCCATCAAATCCTCACTGATTTCCTCCTTGATTTCGTTCCCTTCTACACTTCCTGGGACAGGTGCAAACTCCAGCTCGTCTTCACCACGAACCGAAGATACTTCTGAGGTAATGCCTGGTTCTTGAGAGGCATCTTCAGTAGCATCTGTCATCCTACATACAACAGGAATACATAACACACGTCAACTCTTTAACTCTTATGAGTGACTGGTTCTTATTTCTCCTTTCAATATTGCCCTTAAATCAAATTCAAAGGTCATGAGAACAAAGAAAATGATCACCAACCTAAGAGGCTCCTGATTTTTAAACAAATTATCCTTGTCAGTACCATAGGAAATGTAACAAGAACAGTGTGGAGATTACGAAGACTAATGTAAAGGTGTACGGGGTCAATAAAACGTCTGCTTTTCAAAAGGTGGTAAACTTTATCAAGTAGAAAACAGGCGTTTTGACCCTTTCGCTCTTAAGAGTGACCAAGAGGATTTTAGATAGAAATGAAAGAGATGGTAAGTTTTGAGCTCGGTAAAGAAACAGAGAAAGATGTTTTTCGTCTTGTCACGCTCGTCACGCTCGTCACGCTCTTGTCACAAAAAACATCTTTCTCAAGAGGATTGTGTTCCTACAACAGCAATACATTCTTAGCAGAACGGTGAAGAGAAAAAGGACAAATATGCACGAACGCATTTGTTCGATTCAATACCGAATTCTCTGGCTAATATTGTTGAAAATATGTAGCAGATAATGCACAGAATCGATATTTAGAACTTCGAAGTGAAAGGGTGTACCTACTGTACAAAATATTTTTCGTTTTTAACTTTCAAATAACCTTGACATTGGAAAACTGACGTGGACATCTTTATTTTAGCCGAATGTTAAAGTTCACTTAACAAGTTTAACATATATTTTCTAGGCCGTTTGGACTATAGCCTCTTTCTTCGTAAAAGGATTTTTTTTACACCTACCATCCATCAACTGTATCTTTATTATCGTCATTAACATCAGTTGAACTATCTGTTGGTCGTCTACAAAGCCTGAACACGTGATCGGGTGCACTCCACGCCATTTGCAGTCTCAGAGGGCATACGTGATCAGCTACTTCCTCTCTATCATCTGCACAAAATGACATCAATATATTAAGCTATTGCCAAACGTTGCGACATATTTCTGCTGAATTTGATAGTAAGGAGTTTGGTTATGCCTTTCAAACAGAAAGCTAGTTCCTCTAGGAATAAAATTTTTCATTTAAATGGATAAACAGAAAGCTTTACCTTCACATTCCTCAGACACTTCCACCAAATAGTACTCGTTAGCCTTCCCAGGCAACTGAAACTTCTTGACAATCAGTTCCACCGCTTCTGTACATGGAGTCTTGGCTGATAAGGGAATGGATCGGTAGTCTAAATCGTCTTCGTACCCTTCGAGTTCAAACAACATCTGAAAAATAATACCAGAGAAATTAATGAGATTAAAAGAGCATAGCACAATCTATCTACACCGCTGAGCGGAAAAAAAACCAGTGACAAAAGTGATTTTAATGCCCCTCGAATAGGTCTGGAATTTGAGTCAAATTCCAGACCCGTGGAGCAATTTTCACAGTGGAAAAAGCTTCCTTTAAATTAGTCAATAACCATTTAATACGATAATTGGCGTGCAAATATGAAGATCAACTGTGCAATACGTCTTGAGCCGATAACACAAAAGAATAATTAGGCTCGATACTACTGAGTTGAGAGAGGTATTGTAAAGTATTGTAAAACTTTCATTCTCCCTCGCCACATTCGTCCGGATGAAAAAAAATTTCCTTCTTATCCGGAAAGACAACTAGAAAACACAGAGACAATAAAAGAGAACTACAGGTTAAACAAGCTCCGGTATTGTAAGGCATTGTTACTTCGAGTTGAGAGAGGTATTGTAAGGTATTGTAACTTCGAGTTGAGAGAGGTATTGTAAGGTATTGTAACTTCGAGTTGAGAGAGGTATTGTAAGGTATTGTAACTTCGAGTTGAGAGAGGTATTGTTAGTGTAAGATATCTTTCCCAAGTACTCATTACAAAGACCGCCCACTAGAGTTTGAGCCCAGACCGTTTGCCATGAAGTCCGACCAATTAAGCCTCCACTTCTCTCACACACTGCAGGAGAAAAAGTCAAAACAATCTTACCTTAATCACTCCTTCATCTCTGCACCTCAATTCAAAGCGCTGTTTGTCAGGATCACTCCAACGACACTGACGTAACAGAGGACAATCTGCATCAGTGAGATCATGGCGTGAACCTGAAAGGAAAATGGGCAGATTACATTAATGTTAATGACAACAAACAATATATTGCTGAGGAGAGGGGCGATAGCAATTCAACAAAATATCAGCTGAGATTGTTGACAAGATCCTGGTTGCTTAAAACGAGGATAATGCCGTCCACAGAATGAAACGGCACAGTATGGCGATTTTTGTGTCGGGCAATGCTGTAAACTTTGGGAAACAGATGCTCGATGTGAGAATAGAAAAGATTAAGGAGAAATGCTACTCTTATAAAGTGGTGCAAAAAATCAGCATTGACGTGTTATTTAAAACTAAAAATGACACTTCTAACAAGTGTTTTGACATATTTAAAGATTTTCTTGTTTTTCTTTTCAATCCACATTTCAAACCAGGGAAAGGGAAAGAATAATACAAATAGTATAGTACAGATAGTATTTCAAGAGGCCTACCTCCTTTTCCTAATCCCATTTCACAAACATAATACCTCCGTGGATCGTCCACTAACTCGTATTTCTCAAAGACAAGTTTGATAATCTCAGCACTTGTAGTTGTCATGTTGACCATGAAACTGCAATAATTCATCTCCTCAGAGAGAGCTGTCGGCCATATTCGAATCAATCCCTGGGGACCAGCCTGCAGAAGATACTGCATTGTGGGATTGAGTTTCTTTGTCGCTGATGAGGAAGACGAGGATGAGTGGTGGAAGAGCTTGGTCAGCTTGGACGAACTTGTGCTCAGAGATAAGCTGTCCAGAAGTCTTGTCACCCTGTGGATTGATGGCAGTTGTGGTGAGGGAACCGAGCCACAGCATGAACAGAAATGATTATTGTAAGCTACATTTATTTTCAGATTTATCAGCTAGTATCCGCAAAGACAACTGGGAGGCAAGGAGCACAAAAGCAGACTAAAATTACTCTTACACCCTTGGTTTAGAAATCCTTAAGACATCGCAGTAACCCTTTAACTCCCATGAGAGACCAAGAAATAATTTCTCCTTACAATAGCAATACAATATCAAGCAGACAAGTGATGAGAATAAAAAAAAATATCCCATAACAAATTCTCCAAACTCACAGCATAAGAATTGTATGACAAAAAGTAAAGAGAATTACTGATTATTGATGCCATCTTGGAAGAGAAAGGGTTAATAAATAAAAATTATGGTATAATAACGGCACTCAAACAGCACTATCATAAATACTAGGCACAAAAGAAAGTATAGCAATTCAGAGACCTTGAACTGGACTATCTGAATAATACTTTTTTTCCACCATCACTTCCTCACCATTACGAGTTCATACCTTTTGTGTTTCTTTTCCTTCCGTCCATGCTTCTCACTTTTTGAACTTTTTTCTCCTGACTTGTCCTTGTCTTTAGAGGTCTTTCCAGGCTTCTTTGATTTCCCGCCCCTAGGTATTATTTCATAGTCCTGCATAACAAGAGCTCCAATTAATATCACAAAGGCGATAATCATATCAATGAAAAAAGGATGAGGACTTTCTTGTAACAAACTGCTGGTCACCAACCAAGCACTTTGAGTATGTAACCTCTCTATCAAACTCTACCCTTCTCTCATAAACATACACCACAAAAGTTATACAACATCCACAAAATTCACCATAAAGTATGGGTTTAGGAAGATACTGTCAGATTTAAATGATACCTTCACACTGCCTCGAAATATTATGATGGCCCAAGAGGGGGGAATCAGGTGCTTTAAGCCAGCAAAAACACAATTCATTGGTTGAAGAACATGCAAACATTATCGTTAATATCTTGTTAATCATCACCATTGGGAACCTAAAACCATTGGAAACTCAATACTGATCTTCTTGTGTACGTACACTGATTAACTTCAATTTTACATTAATATCTCAATATGTGAGATGTAAGTTAGTTTGCTGACAAAACAACACTCCAATAAGAAATAAAATCTTAACTTACATCAAGTTCTCTACCCAAGCTTTTTGTTTTCTTTGCTGTTTGTGACCATGAGGGTGGAGGCGGTGGAGGAGGCATGTTGATATCCTGAGAATGATCTTCACTGCCTGTTGTGACACCACTGGATATTGACCCAGTTTCTGCTCCCATATAAAAACCTGCTTCACTTCCGTGAGGTGAAGAAGAACCTGTGGAAGTGTCCAGTCCAAGTTCTGCTTGGAATGCTGGAGATCGTAAAGCATTAAGGACTGCCATAATTTTCATCTTCTCTTTCTCAGAGGCAGACTGCAGAGCACCTGTGAAAAATAGTAATTGTTAGTCAGACAAAATGCTCCCATTCTATTAACCCTTCTTTTGATATATGTCAAATTTACATGCTTATTGTGGCTATTGTGGGAAAAACAGGACCAAATTTGAGCCCAGTTGTTGTGTTTTGTTCTTGGACACTTTGCTCTCACATCACTTGTAAAGCTACTACATGTACTTCACAATGAAAATTAATTGCATTGCAGTAAAAATAAGTGTTTTGAGTATCACAGGCTATGTACACCTTGGTAAATTAGTATTATCAACTAAGTTGATGACATAAATTGGCTTGTCTTTTGCTTTGATGAAGGGCTAACACTACAAACGTCAGCTTTGAAACTCTTTACGGCAGCTAATTTACGTTATCAACTCATTTGATAATACTAAATTACTTTGTTATACTCTCCCACTGATGCAGCACCACAGTTTCTTTAGAAACTTACCCCCTTTATTCAATTATCTGCACCTTGCTTAAGTCAATAAAAGCCCTCCCTTCTCCCCCTAGATTCAAATATATTTCAAATCGATTTGCATTGGCACCATACCTTGAATCTCCATTTCAAACATGTCCTCTTCTTCAGGGTGGAAACGTCTGTATATCTCAGAGAGGATAACTTCACGCTCATCAGGAGAATTAATGCCAATCTCCTCTGGAATGAAAGATTAAACAACATTTATTTCAAAGTTACTTTTTTAGCACAACTTCTTTGCATCAGTTTTCTGTTGGTTAAAAGCAAAAGTCTACTAAAGAGTTTACACCTCAAAGAAACCAGAGTCAAATACTAACCAAGTAACTGGAAATTGATGTTTTTTAAGACTCTTCCATCCACATGATGCTCTGAAAATACATAAATAGAAACACAATGTTTTAATTTCATGCAGAAACTCATTACACATTCAATTTTGAAGAGACCTGTTGTGTTCGCTAAACATTGGTTTCAACGAGTTGTGCAAAAACAATAATCTTTTTATCATGGGGATTGCCATGTACTTAAAAGAACAAGTTATTTTGACTGTCTCTGAGGCAATGACATTTAAAAAACTGTTCCCTGAAAAACTTAAAAATTGTAAGTAACTATTGATATGAGGAGGTGATAGTTCAAATTCTAATTTTTAGGTTTGATCTATTACTGTCCAATCATCATTTGATATCATGTTCACTGAAAACTTTCAATTAAGGTTGGCACAACAAATACTGTGCAATCATACAAACCTCTGAACTCTGTTGCAAAATGTCCCAAACCAATGAAATCTAACCAGTCCACACAATCATCTTCCGTCCACACCTCTAAAGCAAGGTTGTGAAATCTTTTATCTTCTTGTGGCTGAAAGCACAACACAAAGAACCTTCACTTGACAGTACTTTAAGGGTAAAGTTATCTTGAACTCTTTCACTACTATTCAAAATTATGAATCATGACAAGTTTTTGTAAAAAAAAAAATGACCATTTCACTTCCAAGATCTAACTGTTGTTTCTTGAAATTCTGTCATTCATTTCTTTCTTATCTTGCTCTGATAATTTAGAGTTAATCAAACAGTATCCTCTACAAATATTTTTCTCTCCTCTCATTACCTTTCTGGTAGACAATGTATCAATACTGTATGGAGAAATTACTAATGGGTCACAAACTGAGAGTGAATCATCAGGTCTCAACAATGTCTCTCAAAACATTTTGCACTTATTCAGTGATCAGGCACATAATGCACGTTCATTAAAAGATTTCTCTGTTAAAAATTACAAAATTGTCTTTACCAAAAACATGACAAAATGTCCAGGCCAGAAATAAAAGAGGTGTGTGGAATAAATCCTTAAGTGACCTTAGATGCAGCATTCACTTTTTAACTCTTAAGATCTGATTGTTAATTCTCCCTTCTAGCTTCAACTCATTCCCTTGTCAATAAGTTACGAGAATTTGGTGATAGATCAACATAACAACTTCTACCTGACTGTCTAAGTTTGAGTATTCTCATTACCAGGGAAAAACACACATGAACCTCCCTTTTCTTTTACCTGTACCTCTAATAGAGAGGAGGGAATAACAGGGGATGGCAAATCGCCTTCATATCCATTCTCAAACACATCTGAATCCTCTACTTCTTCTTTTACCTCTGCCTCATCAGAGCTAAAATGATAATGACAAACAACAATATGATTTAGAAAGATACTGCATGCATTTCGAATTTTTACTTACATCTCCATTGATTTGGTTTAAGATTTCTGCTCTGTTTAAATTATACATTGAGCCCTTTAACTCCCATGAGTGACCAACAGAGAATTTCTCTTTTCAGTAGCAATGCAAAATCAAGCAGGCAAGTGACAAGAATAAAGAAAAATAGTGATTTGCAGGATTTTCAGGCAATCCAATACCAAATTCTCTAAACTTAAACATTGTAAGAATTGTAAAGCAGATAGTAAGGAAAATTACTGATTAGATCTTGGGGGTGAAAGGCTTAAAATAACAAATCTGCCATTAGTGTTATTACTTTTGTTTGTTTTTTTGTTTTGTTGTTTATTTTTTTTGATGTCTCTAATTATGCTGTAATGACCAGTAGAACAACGTCTCAGAATTACATCTGAATTGTATCTAATATTCCCTACTTGGGGAATACAAAACTAAAGTTGATTAACCTCAATGCATGAGGTTACTTTTAAGGTCTCAAACCTTAAAATTTTTAGTAACCAATGTTAGCAAAGTGCTTTACGACTTTTAACTGAAGAATATTGATTTGGAATTTATAAATAAGTTCTTATCTTCTTGCAATTTCAAAGAAGAAGACTCTAGCTGTACTTCAGAGTTGGAGATTGTGAGGTGATCTTGAGAAGAAAAAGGATTATTAAATGAAAAAATAAAAAAGTGAAATTCATTGATAAACTACCTGGCAAACATTGGAGGAGGCTCAAACAAAATTTCATCGCTTCCCTCTGACTCTGATGTCTCTGTCATGATTTGCAATGGTGGATCCATTAGGCCATCATCATCCAGTTCAGAGCCTCTGAGTACTTGAGAGAAAAAACCATGTCATTAATAAAACACATAAATTTACACATTTGAAGCAACTTTATGTACCAATGTATATTAAGTAAATAATGATAACACATTTAATTTTCTTTTACATGAAATAATACGCACATTGTCACAAAATTAGTCAAACCAGACATTACAGAGTAACGGCTGTAAAAAATTTAAACATTCCAAACTATTTCCTAAAACCCTTGGCATTAATGTATAAATGGACGATACTAACTGTCTGACCTTAAAATGTGTGACCATATTCCAAGGATATCTTAACATATGCATGCCACTTTCCATGCAAATCCATCAGATGAATGACAATTTTACAACAATGCAAGCCTAGATGCATGATCAAAAAGGCTTAATCCAATGTTTTTGTACAATAAATTTCCTACAACAAACTCTTTCCAATACCATCCCTGATTTTGTTCTGTCTGGTGACTGATACTCTGAAAGAGGGTCTTCAAAGGCCCTTTATCAGCAAATATTATAAGAATACATCTGATTGTAAAAATACATGTTTAAGAACATTTTAGCATCACGTTCCATCACATTGTCTCATACTGTAATATATTTAAGAACCCTGAACATAGACTTTATACTACTAGTGATACATGTGCTCAAATAAGCAAAGATACTAAAGGGGCACAGTTTTATCTTTTACCAAACCAATTACCTGTGAATTGTAAATTTATTTTACAATCAAATGATTCAGTTTGCCTTCCATGTGATAAACTTCCAAGCTTTGCAACAGACATACCAAATTTTTGGAAACAAACAAAGCAAAAACTAACATGTGTCTTGGTTAAGAGTAAATGCAATATTCTCACTTATAAATCCTCTTATACCATGCCACAAGACTGAAACTAACCACAAACACTATCTTGAACAAAAACTGTCGCACCGAAATGCTATATTCCTCTTCAAATAGTTTCGATTCAAACATCACACACACATCCTTCATCCATTTTTAAAAGATAGAAAATACTAAAAAACAAAAATTAGAGGAAGTGATGAACATTCAAAACACGAAAAGGTTGTCAGCAGAATTCTTTTACAGAAAGAAGGTACTCACCCGAAAGAAGTAGCTCAAAATATGACAAGGCAAAGCAACCATTTCAAAAATTTTGAACACTTAAATGAAGTATTTTGAACTCATGTTGACACAAAGAGGCCCAAATTCTCTACACCTCTCTATCATCAATATAATTTCAACTTCAACAAACCTTCTAAAGGATCCATTTTTCACCACAAAATGTTTGACAGAAATGATTTTTCCATACAAAATGACTAGAACTTGCTTAGTAATCCTTGACAAATTTCACACACTGATATTTACACAGAGAGTGCCTTCCCACAGGAAGAAGACACAAGAATGATGAATCATAATCAATACAGGGGTGTATGTTTCACTTTTCAATGTGTTAATAAAAAAGATGATTAATTGCTCACACTTGTTCTTACCAATAATTCAACATTTGTTCAATAATTAATTTCACATCAAAATTTATTGTGGAAATAACTTGAACAAAGAGAAATTATTTAAAATTCAATTCAACAGATGGAGAATTATGGGCAGTATTGAATGCTCAATTGCCTACTTGAGGTCAATAGCTACTTACCACCAACATCTACCTCAATGACAAACTGCATGGGTCTTTGAACAACCTCTAACGTAAACATGACTGTCAAAAATCAGTGTGTTCTTCTTCTACAGTCTTCCCCACATTTCATAGAATTTAAAGGAAAAACATATTGTGCAATCAAGAGCAGGATGTCTTTGAAAAGGAACTAATCCTACAATTGACAAATATGGTGAAAAAAAACTCCAGGGAGTGGAAGATGTGGTTTTATTACAAGTCAATATTTAAAATCTTATTGTTCTTGAATTCCCTAGAAAAAAGCTAGCAATGATCAAAGTTAATTCCAAGGTTCAGGAAACTTGAAGAAACCTTTTGAAATCAATTTTAACCTATGGTAAGGATAGTTATCAAATGAAAAATGAACTGTTAGCATGTCTTTATTAGTCTTAATTGCCTATGTCTTAGTAATTTTAGAAGCACTTTTAAGATACTGAGCCAATATCAATACAAAATCAATATCAGTTCAGTGCAAATTAAAAGCTCAAAAGTGATTCAATATACATCAATCACCCTGCAAGGCTAGTATTTGAAGCTCATGAATAAAGAATAATCTTTTCTTGTCTCATGGCTAAAACAAGCAACAGTGAGTTCTGTCATGATATTGAAGCTTATCCAACACAAAGATCCACTAACATTGTACAATGATCTGACAAAAAGTCTCTTGTCTCATGTCACATGACAGTAAAATTTTCAAGCAGTTGCATAGCCAACAGGTCAATGTGAGTGAAGCTTTTGAAAAAAAACCAACCACAACTACAGTTACAAAATGCAAAGATTTAAAGGGCATTATCCATAGGTTCATAGGTAAGATGACTCATAAGCTCTACAGGTAAATCAATTCATAGTACAAAGTGGATAAGTATTTCTGATCTAAACTCTTTCTAACACTAGTCTGTAGTTTGAGACACTCTTTGAACAATTTTATATCAAGTTTCAAAGTGTTCAGCTGTCACATTTCCCATAAAGAGGTTAAAAAACCAAAATAATTTCCAATTACTTCATAGTTATTTATAGTAAAGATTTTTGACATGTATTTTGTAATTAGTGATTGGCTCAAAATAGTTCATCAAAACTATTGTTTAGTTTTCTCAAAGCCATCCAAGATGCTGGCTTGAATTATTTCCTTGCCCATGACTAGAAACATCAGATTTTTTCTAAAAATTATGCCTGTGATTTCTCTTCAAGATCTTCCTATTATGTTTTCCTTAAAATCACTTTTGAGATTGGTTGATAGGATTGAGTCATAGTTTTTTTTCTTTATTTCAACTCTACTATAAGCACACTGCCCAAATTCTAGTCACATAGCTAAACAATTAAATCACATGTTCAGTGGTGTTTACATGCACTGCCATCAGTAGGTGCCCAGGGGTCACACAAGGAACAGTACAAGTTACAGGCAAAAGCAAATAAGTCCAGTCCAAACAATCCCATTCTCAATTGTAATGACCTTCTACTCAGGTACTGAGGTCAGTGTCTCAGCATAATTGGACTCATCTCCGAAATCATTTGTGTACAGCAATTCCTTTCCAAGAAACCAAAATTTTATTATGGAAGCAAGTTCACAAAAGAATTCTAAACTACTGTATAAAAGAATCACTAACCTCTAGTTTCCTCTGCTTCTTCTCTCACAGGATTGTCAAAAGTGAGGTCTTCATCCCTCAACGTTACATCTAATTCATCATCATCATCTGTATAATCCAAGATTCCTATGTCATCTTCATCAGCATAAAGACTAACAGAGCCATCAGACATGTTATCTGAATAATGTAAATCATCCAAGTCCTCAAGTTGACTGAAAGAAGATGACACCAGGTTTTTACCTTCATCAGAAGTTTCCTCAGAGTCATATCCATCAATTGAAGGCTCATTGACAACTTCCCCATCATATTCAATGACAACTTTTGGCAATGTCATTCCTGAACTTCCATGTTCTTTTTCTGTTCTATTTCTGTCATTGTTATCACTCCTGCTCACCTCATTCTCATTGATATTACTTTCAATTTTGAATTCATTAGGATCATTTACATTTGAAGTTCTAATTTTTGATCCAACAGATGGCACTGTTCCCTTACCACTGCTGTCATCAAACTTTTCTAGGCCATCATTACGGCTGTCATATTCAACAACCACATCAGGTTCTTGATGTGCAGTCCTGCTTGCACCATATGAGTCTGATGACCATGATTTCTGGCTAGAATTCTCATCATAAGTATTTTTATCAGTAACTGATTGCTTTTCTAAGCCATCAAGATCTAATTTTGCTTTTTCTCCTTGCACAAAACTATTACCTTGAAAATTATATTGTCTATTACTCCCAGATGAACTCAGAGGCTGGCTTATAGCACTAATTCCATCCCTGAAATTCCTTGGTAAAGAATTGGTGACGTTTTTTTCAGTTTTCATACCATGCAAACCAACTGACATTGGCTGATTGGTTTTTTTTTCGGCATTAACTAAAGAGTCAATATTTTCTTTAATGTTCTCAGAATTTGTCGTCTCGTCCTCGTCTGTTAATGTGACTGGTTTGAATCGTCGACGGTTTGCCGACAAGGTCTTTTCAACAGGTTTTCGCTGTCTGGAACTATAGGGCGTCTCATATTTGGACAGTCGTGAAGCAATGGCAGAATCTAAGGGGGTCTGTCTGTTTGGAAAGCCAGCTCCAATCTTTGGTAAAATATAGTTATCTTCACTAGAAGTCCTTCCATAGCCCTGCCATTTTGCTATCCTTGAAGAAGGACTGTTATTACTGCTGGCTGTATCAGATCTTAACTGCTTACTATTATTCAATACATTGTCTTCAATTTCATTTTTAAGGGGATTATCCACCAACTTTGCTGACAATTTGCCAGTTGTTCTGTCAATTGACTGCGTTTTTTCAAACCCACTTATTGGAAATGATCGCTTTGTTTCTACGTTTAGCGTGTCGTAAGCTAAAGAGCCCAAAATCTCGTCGTCCTCTAACGGCGGGGGTGATGTAGGAAGAGGAGGTGGATCGTTGTCACCTCTGTGATGATCCTCATCCACCAACCGGATTTTGGGGTCATCTACCACACTAACTACGTTAAGATCTGTTCTTTCGGTCAAGAGCTCTCCATTTTCGTAATTTTTGTTTCTTTCAGGTTTCGGAGCCACTTTGGGACGATTTGTTCGCGGCTTATCACTAAGTCGCGGTGAAGATCTTGATTGAGAGAGTTCTCTACTCGAAATCGATAATCCTACATCGTTGGAAAGAATGAGCGCTGATGGAAGGTTTGGTTTTTCGTTTAACACGTTTACACGCTCATCTGAGAAAGCCTCATGGTCTTTAATCGAAGTTTGAGGACTATTTACATCAAAAGAAAAGTTGGAGTTGTTTTCGAGTTCTTTTCTTCGCGCCAAGGGTGAAGGTGATCTTCGTCTTGGACTGCGAGGCCTTGTTTTTGTCAAATTTTCGAGCGTGTATTCTGTCTGTGGTGGCAAAAGTGATCCTAACTCATCAACTAAACTTGAAGATTCCTCCAAGTTGTCTTTTGCACTAACTCGATTCACGTTAGCAATGGAACGAGAGCCATGATCTTCTCTCACCACAGAAAATCCAAACGGCTTGTTCGAGTCCTTCGATAAACCAGGCAACGCAAAAGCGCTTGGAGTAAAACCTCTTTTAGCCATTCTGTAGTAACAGTCTACTTGTAACGGGAAGCTTCGACGATGCCATTAGTAAATGAGGCAGTTAAACTTTCAAAACAAGCAATAATTTCAGCATGATAATTGAGTTTGCTTTACACTCAGCTGTGCATTCACTTACTAACACATGCATAATTTATGCATATTTGGCAGGCTGCGTGTTTGTTTGTGTACATGCCTATGTCACGTAGCGTGATTGACAGCAAGACATGAGTTGTAAACAAGTAGACGATGAAGTCCTTGCTCGCAAAGATAATTACAGTGATCGAAAACAAACGACTCAAGTTCTGTTAAAGGAACACATTAAATATGATACCCGATTAAGCCGGACCATAATGTTTGAGAGAATGCTTAACAATGAACCATTCAAGAACTAATCACCCCCTTCATAAAAGATGTCTTACGAACACTATTATCCGGTTTCAATCACATTCCTCCCCATTTACCTCTCTCGCAAGTTCTGTTTATGTTATGTGGCTTGAAATTGTGCTCATCTACTAATCGCTCAAGGTGGTGAGCAAACACCCAAAAAAACATCTTATTCCTCAAGAGCAGTCGCCCCCAAACTTTCCACTCCCTGAATAGAAAGCGACCACTCATAGTTCTAACCCGTTGGGATCACTTACACCGGAACTGATTAAGAGCAAACGTCTTGTTATAAGCCTTTCATGGGGAATTTTAAAGCTTTTTAATAGCTGAGGTTCAAATTTACCATAGTATATCGTGCTTGCAAAACCTCACCCTGAAAACGAAATCTAAACCCTCTAGCGGATATGATTGGAGCTGGGTCCAAATGACACTGCACAAATGTATTTCAGAGAATACAAAGGGTAAGTTTCTGAAGAGACTGTGGTGCTGCGTCGGTGGGGAAGTATCACAAGATAATTTTATTTTATCAACTGAGTTGATAATGTAAATTGGCATCCGAAAAAGTTTCTAAGCTGAAATTTCGAGCGTTAGTTCTTCGCCATTCGCTTTGACGAAAGGGCTGACGGTTTAAACGTCAGCTTGGAAACTCTTTACGGTGGCCAATTTGCAACTCAGTTGATAAAACCGAATTTTCTTGTATATTAGAGAGTTTGCTAGAACTTGGGCGTTCTCTACCGAGAGTGGCAGAAAGAACTGTTCGACCAGTCTGTCAGTTAGGATTGAACCTAAAAGTGTTAGCGTGATGCGAAAATGCTACGAGTGGGGGCAATCACGATGGACAATCTGAACCTTGTTAAGTAAAATTTTTCGTCCTTTCTGGCGAAGACATGACACGGCAAGAGTGGATTATCTAGTTGATTCTCTCCTCCCCAAGGTCCCTTTCACCGCAGAAGTATCAAAATTGAGGTGCATGCAAGTCACTCTGATTTCGAAATGTCCAATCCAATTTCCCAGGGTCTTGTATGTTTTCGGACGGTTCCGACGGAGAGAGGGAAATTAGAGAGATATTAGAAACTGGTCACCCCAAGGGTTAAAAGATTATAAGAACGACACTGACGATTAGAACATAAACAAAACAAAAAAAGAAAGAAAATATCCTACTCAATTGTTGCAAAGTAAAAATTTAATCTAGGACCATTTAAAATTACAAAAGTAGAATGCTGATTACGTCAGACGAGTTGTGTCCTAGCGCGATGTATGGTTTTCCAGAGAACTAGGATATTCTCTCTGCACACACGTTTAGAAGCCTTCAAAAGCCTGGTTCTTTAGGTATCGCTATCTTTGGGTGAACAATCCTTGGGTTGAGTCGTACTTCAGAGGTAACCCGCGATCTCGTCCCCTACAGAGAAAATACAGCAAAAGGTTCAGCTAAAAAACAAGATAATTTCTTTGAGCGTACAAGTATCTCTTGCTTATGGATTCAAGACACGATATCTCGAATCATTGTAGCGCTCCTAGAAAATTTCCCTCTAGCAAAAAGCCCACAAGGACTTATTAATTTCCGGGATGTCCAGACAGATCATTCGTAAGGTTCATGAAAGTTTCGCCCCATTGCAAGTTCGCTCCCTTACCAATTCGCTTCCATCACTACAAGTTGGCCCCCATAAAATGAAACGCGTTCCTTCACAAGAAGGGAACAATAACAGTCTTAGTAAAGATCCGATCTTGTCAGATTCGTCAGAAAAGGGACACTTTCTGCCTTAAGGAGACGTCATTATAAAACTGTCATAAAGGTGTGTTTTCTGATGATTTGATCCCGTTTCCAAAAAGCATTAGTTAGCTAATCAGTTCCCAAACTTTTATCTTTCATGAAGTTCATTACTTTTACCTCGGAACTATACTGAAAAGAAAAAAATTGAATTGGAACTAGGTCACTGTCGCAAATATTTGGTTCAGAAATGCCAGCCTACTGAATACTTACTTTTTAACGCGAAGAAAAAACTTCTCACGATCAAATGTTTCTGCACCTTCTACGTCGTTAAGACTTCCACATTCCAGATAGATATCCAAACACATCTGAAAGGATTTAACATAGTGCGATTAGTCTAGACAAGCTTTGTGTAACTCAAACGTGAAATACAACAAATGATAGCAATTTCACTTGAGCACACATTAAGGGCACATTATCAGGTAATCAGCCATCCTAGAGAAGAAAAAGGACCCCGATGATCATCTTGATAAACTTGATATTCAAGAAAAAACTAGAAAAGTTTGTTCAAAGGAACTCTACACACACAGGAGATCATCTGTCTGATCAGTTTTTCTTTTAAATAAAGTCTACCAAGAAGTTCAATGGAATCCTTTCCTGCATCATCATAATTTCCAGACTGGAAATCGATTTTAATAATTTAAACATGTACAATAGCACTTTTCAAATAAAAGAAAACTTTGAATAAGTCAGCCACTTTATTTTGAATAAGTTTCTTACGTGTTGGAGACATCGACATAAAAGTTCATTCAGGATGAACACGGATGTCACATCTTACAAAAAGAGACTAACGACGATTTCTTTCCTCTATCGGCCAATCATGCAATAGCTCCATTGACTTATCAACCATACCTACAGCCCGGGACCACCGTGGACTGTTCTTGCACAGGACACCTAACTTTCGCCTCTCTCTGCCCAGGAGAATAAATGAGGACTAGCGAATTGGCAGGGAAGCCTAAAAAAAATTTTAGGGGGTAACCAGAATCTCCTGGTTCTTGTCCCGTATCTTATCCAGGGGGAGAGGCGATTCCTTTATTTACTGTGGCAGTTGTAATAGACAGGTGGAGAGGGGGGAGGTGGAAAGGCACGAGGGGGAAGGGGAGAGTAGAGAGGCACAAGGGGTAAGGGCAAAGTAGAGAGGCACGAGAGGGAAGGGGAGAGTGGAGAGGCACGAGAGGGAAGGAGTGGGTGGAGCACTTTTGTCGTATAGAAGACAATCGCCCATGAGGATGTGTTGTGTTACAAACCTGTAAGCGGCGAAGCTGATTGGCTAATAGATTTAAAGAAGAGTCGTGCTCTGTTAGTTCCGGGTAGAAAACATTCACTTCCGCTTCAATCGCCTGAAAAACAAGTTACATTACAAAGCAAGACTCAGAAGCACAATCATAGCTACAGTTTTTGCATTATGCTTACATGCAGGGGGTATCCATGAATTCATGCTGGCTTGCAAGGGAAATTAAATCTGACGTATACCTTCGTGAGGCTGTCTCTTATCACCGTCTTCCCACACGTCACTGCTATGGAAAAAAGCGGCGGGGTTGTTGGATACTCCTGGGACAAAATCACTGAGACCTTCAGTTGAACTGAAAAAAACAAAAACACCATGATATTAGTCGTAGAATAAGAACAACAACAACCTTATTAACGACAAAAGCCAACCTTTGCTTCTTTCAAACACAGCTTGGAAGAGCATGTCACTTTCTTGAATGAAACCTTCTTCAATAAGATTTTTGAGCTCTGGTCTTTCCTGTAAAAGAGATTTTCTTTATTATACTTGGACTGCATAATATTGGAGAACATCGCCTGATTAATAGTCGCCGCCAGAGGGTAATATACTCATACCTGGAATTCTTCAAACGTTACTGGTTGCCAGGAGGTCAACTTGGTTGAAATCTTGGTAGGAAACATCTGTAGAGAATTCTTATTTCCTGGAATCGTCAAATTTTCTGAAAATTTAGATAGAAAGACAGAAATACTATCAACCGCATAGCTGTGTAAATAAAACTAAAACAGAACAGTTGAATCAAGTTTGCAAACGGCATTGACTTGGTTTACCAAAGCGAACTCTAAAAACGTGTCGTGCAAAAAAATTTCGTATCCGACGATGTGAGAGCCTTCGACGTACCCTCGAGTGCTCGAGCTTATCTCTGATTGGATAATAAAACTCGGAACATTTAAGAACGCCTCGACAAAGATTTCCAAGTACATATCGCTTACGCTCATGAAATTAGAAGTTTTTCTTATCCAAGCTTACCAAGGGAAGTCAGTTGTTGTTGCAGAGCGAGTCTGGCTAAGATTCTTGCTCTTATAGCTTTGATGGTTGCTTCCATATGAGACAAACTAACTGACGACTTTGGCAAAACTTCCTGCAATAAAAGTGAACAGTAAACCATTTGAGTGAAGAGCATCCATGCACAGTGCACGTTTAAGTAAATCGGAAGAAACCGCCCTTTTTAAACCACTGCTTATTCTACGTTTCAAAATACTGTGAAACATTAAAAAAATAAATAAAAATTGTAACATCCTCTTACATGTAGCTCTTTGGCCAAAAAGTTCAGTCCACAAATCCGCTGAACCCACATGTAAGGTTTACCCACTAGGCGGACAAAATCTGTAAAAGTAGTCATTCTGAAAAAGAGAATCAGGTCAAATCTTATTGACGAAAGGTAATAGACTATTTTATAGACTGCATTGAAAAAAATATTGATAAAAAAAACTTAACTACACAAACTCAAAAGGATAACGAAAGTGTTCAGTTTGTCTGGATATTTTCATGTCTCCCACCTTCTTAAGTTCCAAAACAATTTGAAAAACTGTTCGAATTTGGAAAAGCATAACAAAAAAAAAAGAACGTATACAGGTGGAACAAAGCTTTAAGAGTTAAGATGATGTGGCCAACTCGTTGATTGAGACTGAGCTTCTCAAGGCCTTTCCCAGTTGATGTGCAAAGCTTGTGAATGAGTTTAAGCTGAAATATTTTGGGCGCATAATCTATCACTCAAATATGCAGAGCACGTTTTACAGCAAATCATAACTCTGTTCATAAGAGAGCCGTTGAGCTCAATTTTCAACAAACAAAACAAAAAATATTTTAAAGCAACAAAAGAATGAAGAAAACTAGCCAGCACTGGGAGTATCACAGTCTCCTTTCAAGCCCTTCTTTGGGATGTCACACAACACTCAGGAGTGTTGCATGTCATCCTAAAGAACAGCTGCGATGGAGA